TCTTTAAACATTCTTACTGTTCATTATACTTGTCAGTGTCATTGTAATATGATAGGGCTTTGACTTTTGCACAAATATCATATTCGAAGTTCGTATTATTATTAGAATATATAATCAAACATTTAATTATAATTAATAAAACGGCTCCTCAAAGCTAGCTGTTACCACGCTCACTAAACAAATACCAATCAATCAATCAACACCATTAAATGTTAATCGGACAATACAGTATACATAGACATCCCTAACACAAATGCACAGACTTTTTCAGAATTATTTGTTCACGTTTTCATGACAAAAATACTGTTTTAATGTGACAAAAATAAACCCGGAAGTAACCATTAACATGAAACGAACATTTTAGGAGACATGTGAAGAGGATCTGATGGATTTAGATTTGGTATAAATGGGTAACTCACCGCTGATTACAGAATTCTTTGTTCAGTTTTCATGTAGTTCCAGAGAGTTTTTGAGCTAGCTAGCTTAGCTGTTACTAGCTTAGCTGTTACATCAAGCTCCAGTGTAACGTGACGGAAAGTGAATCAGGTAGCTGTAGATGACACCGAACTCAATGTCAGGAAGTATTTCTACACATTTAATGTCTGTAAAAAGAACTTGTGGTGCTTCATATGAATCTACGATCCCCAATTCCTTTATCTTCCTCGTGTATATATCTTTTTCTGAAGCTAAAGAGTGCGATGACATGACGTGAAGAGAACGAGCTATGACAGATTCATGGCTGTGGAGTCGTCCAAATGACCGACACGCTGGTTTTGGTCACGTGACTGGGAGATCCCTATACGTGTTTAAATATTATTTTTTCACTCACAAATCCTTCATATTTTTCCTGGTAGTTTATCTTTTGCGAGGGAAAGACTGTTACTATACTTCTAGCCAGAAGTATTTTGTCATCCTGAGGGACAGCTAAATAACAGACGTATGATTAACAGCATGATACATTTTTATATAAATACTATACCTGTATTATCTTAAAGTAGTACTAGAATGTAATATGCTGCTATCCAGAACATATAACTACAATATGTGTTTATAATATTTCGGGTGTTCATTTTGAGATGAATTATGTTAAAAAAACGGCTTTGAAGTCGGACCTTTTCACTTCTGCATAGAAACGCTAGGGGACGCCAAAATGGCGGCTATGACGTAGGAGAAGGGCATCTCACAGCAGCAGCAGTCTGGGCTGAATCTGTATTAGGTTTCACTGTCATCTGAACAAGGTATAAACATATTTACATCAGTTTTGTACATAATAGTGTGCAACTCTTTTAACCTTTTAGCCTTATTTGTGAGATTCAAGCTAATTAGTGTTGGGCAAGTTAGCTAACTCTACTTGATATCATAAAACATGCTAACAAGGCTAATATTCGTTTTTACATTATGCCAATTTCACTTTGGTTGCCTTAGATTTATTTGCCACAATATACATTGTAATATCCATAAATTCTAATCAAAATAACTTGAATTAAATAAATATTTTACTTTTATGAACAAAAAGCTGCAGAAGTTGAAAACATAGACTACATGTGATGCAATCATTGATAAAAATGCTAATTAAACCGTTAATAGGTGTTAGCATTTATGGATATTACAATGTACATTGTGGTAAATAAATCTAAGGCAAAGTGAGACTGGTATAATGTAAAAACGAATATTAGCCTTGTAAATGTTTTAACATGCTAACATGTCTCATAAAGCAGTGTGTCCCTGGATTAATGATGGTATTCGTGATATGAAGAGACTATGTCGGAAAACCGAGCGTCTGTGGAAGTCCACCAAACTTGAGGTACATAGGTTGCACCTCAGGGAACTTATGTCTTCTTTAAACGAAACGATAAAAAATGCCAGATCTGACTACTTCCGCCAGCTGATCACCATGAATAAGAAAAAACCTCAAGTATTGTTTGATACCATCAACTCTATTGTATGTCCTGCTGCTCCTCTTGCACCTGTGTTTTGTAAAGCTGACAGCAATGAATTTCGAACATTTTTTATTGATATAATCCAGGTTATCATAGATCAACTTCCAACGCTCTCGTTTTGCACACCTGATGCTGTTGAGCTTGTTCCCCATGAGTGGTCCTCTTTTAGCCCTGTTACACAAGCCAATGTCTCAGCTCTGGTAACCAGAATGAAGCCCTCTTTCTGTGTGTCTGATGTTCTGCCCTGTAAACTTTTTGTCAAAGTTTTTGATGTCATTGGCCCCTGGGTTACCAATCTGATCAACCTTTCACTGTCAACTGGTGTTTTTCCCAGTTCTTTAAAACATGCCATTGTGGAACCTCTTCTCAAAAAGCCTAATCTTGACCCTACGCATCTGAACAATTTCAGGCCCATTTCAAAACTTCCGTTTTTGTCCAAAGTGTTGGAGAAGGTGGTCTCTGATCAGTTGGTACCCTTCTTGGAGAAACACAACATTTTTGACACTTTTCAATCCGGTTTCCGTAAGCATCAACTCCACGGAAACCGCCCTGCTCAAAGTGTCCAGTGATATTATGATGTCTGCAGACTCTGGAAGATGTACTGTTCTTGTGTTGTTAGATCTCTCGTCAGCATTTGACACTGTGAATCACCAAATCTTGTTGACAAGACTGCGTGACCTGGTCGGAATGTCAGGACCAGTCCTTGCGTGGTTCTCCTCTTATTTATCGGGGAGGAGCTTTAGTGTCTCTGCAAATAAGTTCCTGTCTGACTCTGCTGATTTGCTGTGCGGGGTTCCCCAGGGCTCTGTTTTGGGCCCGATTTTGTTTTTACTCTATGTCCTTCCATTAGGGAAAATTATCCAGAGCTTTGATGATGTTTCTTACCATTTATACGCTGATGATATTCAGCTATACTGCTCTTTCAAGCCCTCTGAGATCCAGAAGTTAAGCTCTTTGCTGAAATGTCTTACGCAAGTTAAAAAATGGCTCGGTACAAATTCCCTCCAACTAAATTCAGACAAAACGGAGATGCTGGTGTTTGCTCCTGATGACGCGACTCCAGGGATTCACCAGTATTTGGGCGATCTGAGTTTGTCTACTAAAGCAAGCCTCAGAAATCTAGGCGTTAACTTTGACAAAGCAATGTCCTTAGAGCATCACTCAAAACTGCTGACAAGGAACTGTTTTTACCAACTGAGAAAAATCTCCAAACTTAGAGCAATTGTGCCAAGGGATGACCTTGAAATTATTATCCACGCCTTTGTGTCTTCCCGTTTAGACTATTGTAACAGTTTATTTTCTTGTCTAAACAAAAAGGAGTTGTCCCGCCTTCAGCAGGTACAAAACTCTGCGGCGAGGTTACTGACTCGCACAAACAGACGGGCTCATATTACTCCCATTCTAAAAGCCCTCCATTGGCTCCCAGTCACTTTTCGTTTCAATTTTAAAATCCTGGTGTTGACCTTCAGAGCCTTGCATGGTCAGGGTCCCTCTTACATTAGAGACTTGCTGTGTCCTTATACCCCCTCTCGGAGGCTGAGGTCTCAGGATCAGAACCTTCTCATGGTCCCTCGTACCCGTTACAAGACGAGAGGAGATCGCTCCTTCCAGGTGGTCGCGCCGACGCTCTGGAACGATCTTCCGCTTTCCTTGCGCTTACTTGATTGTGTTGATGTTTTTAAGTGTAAACTGAAAACATACTTGTTTGAAAAAGCATTTTAATTCCAGTGGGAAAGGGGTTGTTTTATGACCACCATGTTTTGTGATTGTAAATGTAAATGTACTTTTATTTATATTTGTATTTTTTGTGAAGCACTTTTTGACCTTTGTCTGTGAAAGGTGCTATATAAATAAATATTACTTACTTACTTACTTTTATGATATCAAGTAGAGTTAGCTAACTTGTCCAACACTAATTAGCTTGAATCTCACAAATAAGGCTAAAAGGTTAAAAGAATTGCACACTATTATGTACAAAACTGATGAAAATATGTTTATACCTTGTTCAGATGACAGTGAAACCTCCTACAGATTCAGCCCAGACTGCTGCTGCTGTGAGAGGTCATTCCCCTACGTCAGGGGTGCTCAATACGTCGATCGCGATCTACCAGTCGATCGCAAAGGTAGTATTGGTAGATCGCATTAAATAAATAAAAAATTACACATTCTAAACGAATTTATACAAAAAACTCCGGGCAAAGTGGAGATTTTTGAAAACTCCGTTAATGCATTTGTGTGTAGACAGAAATAACCAGAGTTTTGCGTTCTCGCTCGCCACAGTTGTCATGAAATCACGGACTCCAGGTAGTTGCTTTGAGTCTCTTTTAATAACAGAGATGCTCCAACAACATAACAGCGTGCACCACCCTTCAATATCCAAACTCAACACGTGCCAACTCCCTCCCAGGCTTGTCAAAGGCACTACAACATTGCCCCCTAGTGGAGCATAAAGTGGATCACATTTACATAACATCACATCTCCCCTCTTTAGCAGTTTTCTCCTCAAACAATACTTTTTTTTTCATTTATATAACAAAAATAATTAACATTTGCTAACGTTTAGCGGTGTATATTTAGTTCCACAGTTATAAAACAATAAAACTGCTGTAAAAATGTTTTTCAAAAATGAATAACCAAACAACCATCTGTACTGCTATAGAACCCAAAAACCCAATTTTTCAAATCTCACACATAGTCTTTGAACCTCACCGGTGGCCTAACAACTCGACCAGCAGAGGTCCTCTTTGGGGATGCCCCTAAGTTAGTGGGAACACAGGGCACCGATGCGCTGGTGGCAGCAGGCAGCACACCTGTATCCTCTGGAATAGTCATTTCACAGTCACTAGTCTCTGTTGCAGTCAGCTCAGCTGCTGGCTCAGGCACGTCTTGTAAATGCCTCCTGTTTCTGCGAGCTACAGTCCCATGTTCAGTTCTGACAATGTAGGATCTGGGCTCTGGCGCTTTTGCAATGACTTTTGCCGATGTTTTCCAGCCCGTCTCCCTATCCAGTTTAACAGCAACACTTTGACCAGCTTGCAGGGATTTCAAAGCCTTGGCTGAATGACGTCGGTTGTAGAAGAATCGGTAAGAAGACTTGGCCTGTTGATCTTTTAGTCTAACCATTCGTTTATCAACAGCAGTAGGGCACAGCTTTTGTGGTACCACTGGCACTGTGGTCCTGATCTCTCGTCCAAGCATTAATTGAGCTGGACTGTGACCTGTTGCAGTGATAGGCGTCGCTCTATAGCTCAAAAGTGCAAGTTGCGGGTCTGGTTGACGCAGGATCCTCTTGGCTAGAGCAACGCTCCTTTCAGCAGCTCCGTTTGCTTGCGGGTAGTGAGGACTAGATGTTGTGTGTTCAAAGTCATATGTCTCAATGAACTGTCGAAACTCTGCCGAGGTGAACTGGGGTGCATTGTCCGATACCAACTCGAAAGGAATACCCCACCTTGCAAACATACACTTGAGATGTGTAATTACCTGGTTACTACTTGTTGTAGGCAAATAAGAAATCTCAATGTAACGTGAATAATAATCTGTCGCTACTAAATACTGTTTACCATTTTGCTCACACAAGTCAACTGCTATCTTTTGCCAAGCACCCTTTGGCAGTGGAGTAGTTTTAAGGGGCTCCTTTCTTTGAGTGGGTTTGTTTTTAATACAAAACTCGCATGTACTCACAAGCTTTACAATGTCTCTCCCAACGCCGGGCCACCACACAGACATGTTGGCCCTTTTACGGCACTTTGTGAGACCTTGATGACCCACGTGTATCTGTGATAGTACAGACTTTTGCATTGAAGAAGGAATGACAATGCGGTCATCATGCATTAAGAGACCTCCAACCTCTGACAGGTGAGCTCTTGCTGTGTGAAACTTGAGCAGGTTGTGTGACAACCGTGACACATTTGAGGGCCAGCCTTCGCATGTATAGCGAATCACAGCTTGTAAAACATCATCATTACTTGTGGCCTCTCTGATTGAATCTAATCTATCTGCAGTGACTGGCCTTGTTTCCAACACTGATCGTATGTATGCTTTTATGTCATTTTCAGTGTCTGACACCTTGTCCTGCAGGGGGTTGCGAGACAGAGTGTCCGCCACAATGAGCTGCTTCCCTGGGACATGAACGGCTTCGGCGTTGAATTTCATCAATCGCATCAAGAGCCTCTGACACCTAACTGGAGCTTTATCCAAGTCATACGTGTTTATCAGTGGAACAAGTGGCTTGTGATCCGTTTGTAACACAAAACTTTCCATACCTTGCAAATATCTCCCAAAACGCTCACAGGCCCACACACTAGCGAGGCATTCTTTTTCTATCTGGGAGTACCTGCGTTCTGTCTCTGTCAATGTCCTTGAACAGTAAGCCACTGGGCGGAGTTCCCCACTGTGCTCTTGCAGAAGCGCGCCACCAAGGCCATAACTACTGGCATCCGCACTTACTACAGTTGGCTTTGTGACATCATAATATGCCAAGACGGGTGCTGTGGTCAGCATGCCTTTTACCCTTTTGAAGGCATTCTCTTGAGCCACGCCCCATGACCAAGCCGTATCACTTTTCAGTAGTGAGGTTATAGGATGCATTAATGTGGAAAGATCTGGAAGGAACTTTCCCAAATAATTTATCATCCCAATCCTCTGTCTCAGCTCAGATATATTAGTGGGACTGGAAAGCTCTATGATGGCCCTGATTTTCTCGATATCTGGTTTAATTCCATCTTTCCCAATGTAATGTCCAAAATACTGGATCTCAGATTTTCTGAAATGGCATTTGTCTTTGTTTAGTTTCAGTCCCGAAGCTTTAATTGTTTGCATTACAGCTTGAAGGTTTTGGTCATGGTCTTTTGTATCGTTTCCATAAACAAGAATGTCGTCCATAACCACCACTACTCCAGTGTGGTCTTTAAGAAGAGAACTCATTTTCTGCTGAAATATTTCTGGAGCGGACGTGATACCAAAAGGTAACCGCCGGAAACAGAAACGGCCCACCGGTGTAATGAATGTAGTGAGCTTCCTGCTGCTCTCCTCAAGCGGGATCTGCCAAAACCCACTTGAAGCGTCCATTGTTGAGAAGACCGTTGCACCTGACAGTTTTGGGGCAATATCTTCAAGATTAGGCAGAATGAATCTCTCTCTTTTAACTGCTTTATTTAGTTTAGTTAAGTCCACACAGATTCTTGGTTTCTTGTTCTTTTTAATCACAGGCACCATGGGAGCACACCAGTCTGTGGCTTCCTTTACTTCCTCTATGATGCCCATTGATTGCATTCGTTTCAGCTCCTCCTCCACTTGAGGCAGAAATGGAAATGGTATACGCCGTGGAGTAGCAATGCTGTATGGCTCAGCATCTGGCCTTAGCTCAATTTTGACTGGTTCGCACTTAAGCAGTCCAATGTCTCCAAATACATCATTGTATGACTCTACCCCATCTACTCTGCGCACTAGCCCCATGTTTATTGCTGCTCTGTTTTTATCAGTAGAGGACGCTGTTGCAGGTTTGAATATGTCTCCTCTGGGATTACAGTGACGTCTGCGCCTGTATCAATTCGGAATGTAATGGTTGAGCCATTTATTTGTAATTCTTCATACCATTTGTCTTCCTCACTCCCATTTTTCCTCGTCGACAGCTCCAAGGAACCATGAACTTCCTTCATCACTATCGCAGTCCATTGCTCTCACAGTATTCACAGTTTTGGTTTTGCACATTGCTTCAAAATGGCCAGTTTTGTCGCATTTGCGGCAGCGTTTCCCTGTAGCTGGGCATGCACCATACTCGTGCTGCCTACCACATCTTGTGCAGCTTCTCCTTTGAGTTGCTTGTTGTGCACTGCGATACTGTACATAGTCCTTGTTTTTAGCTTGTCTTTTAACATGTTCTGGTTGTTTGAATTTTCGAGCATTAACGGCACTTACTTCAAAGCTTGTCCTCGTGTCTGCATTCTGTGCTTTAATTTGCTCCGACTGCCGTGCAATACTTATGGCCTTTTCCAATGTTAAGTCTGGTTCAAGTTGAAGTTTTTGAGACACTTCTCCGTCCGCAATTCCGATCACAATACGATCCCGTATTTGTTCATCTTTTGTTTGTCCAAAATCACAGTGCTCTGCAAGCTTGTATAATTCTCTGACAAACGCCTCCACGCTCTCCCCGTGGTTCTGTGTGCGGCGGTGAAAACAGGCACGTTCATGAATAACATTTCGCCTTGGTATAAAATGTTCATCAAACTTTCTCATAACTTCTCCATAATAATCCACAACATCATCCGGAAACGCGAATGTGCTGAATACGGGTTCCGACTCTTTTCCCATAGCATATAACAACGTATTCACTTGTACGTCACCGTCTTCTTGGTTTAGCTTTGTGGCTATCCGAAAGCAGCTAAAGCGTTGTCTCCAGGTCGGCCACGCCGAGGGCTGGGTGAAGTCAAATGACTCTGGGGCTTGAAATTTCGCCATACCGTTGCTTCAGTCTTGTTCCACAGGTAAAAGAGTCACTTCTGACACCATGTCATGAAATCACGGACTCCAGGTAGTTGCTTTGAGTCTCTTTTAATAACAGAGATGCTCCAACAACATAACAGCGTGCACCACCCTTCAATATCCAAACTCAACACGTGCCAACTCCCTCCCAGGCTTGTCAAAGGCACTACAACATTGCCCCCTAGTGGAGCATAAAGTGGATCACATTTACATAACATCACAACAGTACCCCCCTAAATTCCTCTGATCACTAAAGCATGGATCATACTACCTTAAAAACTGTTCACTGTGAGATGCTCGCAGCAGCGAACATCCTCGCTCCACATCAGAGAGCAGCAAAGTGATCGCGGGGACTCACGCTCGAAAACAACTAAACCAGGACTAAACCAGGACTAAACCAGGACTAAACCAGGACTAAACCAGGACTAAACCAGGGCTGAGGACGGGGTCAGTGCTTGTAAACATACGTCTTACTCTTTACTCTGAGTGTCTTCTATGACTGTAAAAGTGCCGTTACCGGCGTCAGCATCAGAACTCCGCCCACTTCTGTGTTTTTCCCCAACGCAGGACAGGACGTAAGAGACGCACATGTTTGGAATGTTACGAATGTGATTGATCACGCAGATGTGTGGATGCAAATTATTTTATAAACGGAGGAGGGAAAATATTTGGATTTAAAAAAAAAACAGGCATGGCACATGGACATGGCACCACAGTCAAATGGCATCTGTGTTTTACTCAGTAATGTTTTACTGACACTTAGGTGACTGCACATGCGCAAACAATAGATATAAAGAATATTTTTTGAAATATATGATTTGCATTTTTGTAGTAGGTAGATCATTTTGACTTGATCCTTTTATAAGTAGCTCGCATGCTGAAAAAGTGTGAGCACCCCTGCCCTACGTCATCGCCGACATTTTGGCGCCCCCTAGCGTTTCTATGCGGAAGTGAAAAGGTCCGACTTCAAAGCCGTTTTTTTTAACATAATTCATGTATGTTATATACCGGCTCAGTTTACTCAGTTTACCTCACGCCCAACGCCTCCTGCTTCCAGACTGCGTGAACACCCTCTCCTCAAATATCACAGAAAAGCCTGTGTTAATCACAGCTCATTTAGTAAAGAAGGCAACACTGTAACGAGAAACAATACTTATTCATATTAATTACCTTATCTGTTGTTGACGCGGGCAGCCTCGCTCCGGTCCGGTTTCAAAAGACAAGACGAGGGAGGAGGACAGTGACGCTGCTCTGACACCTGATTGGCTGATAGGTTAACACAGTGATGTGTAGCTCTAGCGTCGGTTAGGATCAGTCTATGGTTAGGATTAGCATTTTTTACACAATTTTCAAATATTTTAACACAACATGTGTTAAAACAGTTCATACATACAATGTGTTAATTATTAACACATCATTTCTTAGAGTGCATGTTTAAAGCTGAGTCAATATTTGCTGGTCCCTGTGAGTCAGTATCTACAGGTCCCTGTGAGTCAGTATCTACAGGTCCCTGTGAGTCAGTATCTACAGGTCCCTGTGAGTCAGGATCTACAGGTCCCTGTGAGTCAGGATCTACAGGTCCCTGTGAGTCAGGATCTACAGGTCCCTGTGAGTCAGTATCTACAGGTCCCTGTGAGTCAGTATCTACAGGTCCCTGTGAGTCAGGATCTACAGATCCCTGTGAGTCAGGATCATTAGCCTGTCCGTCCGGAGGAGCGGATCCCTTTCTCAAATGGGTCTCCCTCCCTGTGGGTTTCCCTAGTTCTCCCCAAGGTTTCTCACTTTTTCCCACTGGGTTTTTTAAGAGTTTTTCCTTGTCGATGCAGGAGGGTCTTGTTGTCCAACAGAAAGGATTGGTGATGATCAGGACACTTTAGCATTCTACAACATGTATGGACATCTTCTGTGTGTGCTTTATATTCTTCATGTGTTTTAACTGTTGAGTCTCTGACCTGTGTTGGTGATTTCAATGGTTTTGTTAAGTCTCTGAGATGACTTCTGTTGTGACCTAGGGCTTTAGTAAGTAAGTAAGTAGTAAGTAAGTATTTATTTATATACCGCCTTTTCACTGCAGATCTGAGTCTCAAAGCGGTTTACAATTGTTAATTTTTTGGGCATTTGTCTCTCACTCCACACAGAGATGGGAGCGCGGTCGCCATCACAGGAGGCGCATGCTAGAACTATTGGACATATTTTTAGTGGTAGGGGAAACCGGAGTACCCGGAGGAAACCTACGCAGACACGGGGAGAACATGCAAACTCCACTCAGAAAGGCCCTGGTCCGACCGGGATTCGAACCCAGGACCTTCTTGCTGAGAGGCGAGAGTGCTATCCACTCAGCCACCGTGCCGCCCTTTACAAGAATACATTGTATTGTAATTGTATCTGCAGGTCCCTAGGACCCCAGCTTTAAAATCACAGACCCCAGCTTTAAAGTCACAGACCCCAGCTTTAAAATCCCAGACCCCAGCTTTAAAGTCACAGACCCCAGCTTTAATCCCCAGCCTGCAGTTCCTAGCTGCAGTACCGCTGTCCGCCACCAGGGCTCCTCAGCCTCTCTCTTATTTTTAGTGCGTGCGGCAGGAGTTGCCTCACTTCCTGTTATGTCTGGAGTCTGAGCGCGTGACCGCAGCGTCTGACACACGCACGCGCAGGGGGACAGTCGGAATCACGCGCCTCTCTCCTCTCTCCTCTGCTCTAACTTTAAAGCTGGGGTCTGTGACTGTTCATGTGTTAATGATGTCACATGTTTAGATCAATGAGAGGACCCCCTCTCTCAGCCCAAAGAGGCAGATACTGACTCACAGGGACCTGTAGATTCTGACTCACAGGGACCTGCAGATACTGACTCACAGGGACTTGTAGATACTGACTCACAGGGACCTGCAGATACTGACTCACAGGGACATACTGACTCACAGGGACCTGTAGATTCTGACTCACAGGGACCTGCAGATACTTCCTCACAGGGACCTGTAGATTCTGACTACAGGGACCTGCAGATTCTGACTCACAGGGACCTGCAGATACTGCCTCACAGGGACCTGTAGATTCTGACTCACAGGGACCTGTAGATACTAACTCACAGGGACATACTGACTCACAGGGACCTGTAGATACTGACTCACAGGGACATACTGACTCACAGGGACATACTGACTCACAAGGTCAGACTAAAGTTGCGTCCCCGAGCTTTAATGTGGAGGTATCTTTGCGGACCGAGGAGGAAGAGGAGGGACATTTCGGACGCAGCCGCGCGCCCAGACAGACACACACGTGCACTTTCACACACATACGAACACGCACGGGCCCCAGACACACACGCACGCGCACTCGGGAGCAGCGGAGTCTGACGCACCACTCACCCGCGGACAGGAGGCTCATCCCGGGCGCACACAGCCTCAGGTACCGTGACAACTGTTGATCCTAGTACAGACCCGGTCCAGAGACTAGGCCAGGTCCAGACCCGGTCCAGACCCGGTCCCAAGACTAGACCAGAGACCAGACCGGGTCCTGATACAGTCTGTGCGTTTCCTCTGTGACCGTAGCCTCGTTTAACCTACGAGTCCTGGTCCAGACCTGCTGTAGTCCTGGTCCAGACCTGCTGTAGTCCTGATCCAGACCTGGTTTAGTCCTGGTTTTACCCTGCTATAGTGCCGTTATTTTTGTTGACCAGGGAGAGAGACCATAGAGGGAGAGAGACCAGAGAGTGCGAGAGAGACCAGAGAGAGAGCCCACAGAGAGAGAGAGAGAGAGGCCAGAGAGAGACAAGAGAGAGACCAGAGAGAGAGACCACAGAGGGAGAGAGCAGAGACCAGAGAGAGAGACAAGAGAGAGACCACAGAGAGAGAGCAGAGAGAGAGCAGACAGAGACCACAGAGAGAGACTAGAGAGAAACACCAGATGGAGAGACAAGAGAGAGACCAGAAAGAGACCAGAGAGAGAGAGAGAGAGAAAGACCAGAGAGAAAGACCAGAGAGAGAGACCAGAGAGAGACCAGAGAGAGACCAGAGAGAGACCAGAGAGAGACCAGAGAGAGACCAGAGAGAGACCAGAGAGAGACCAGAGAGAGACCAGAGAGAGACCAGAGAGGGACCAGAGAGGGACCAGAGAGAGAGAGCAGAGAGAGACAGACCAGAGAGAGAGACCAGAGAGAGACCAGAGAGAAACCAGAGAGACACCAAAGAGAGAGACCAGAGAGAGAGACCAGTGAGAGACCAGAGGGAGACCAGAGAGAGACCAGAGAGAGACCAGAGAGAGACCAGAGAGAGACCAGAGAGAGAGACCAGAGGGAGACCAGAGGGAGACCAGAGAGAGACCAGAGAGAGACCAGAGAGAAACCAGATAGACACCAAAGAGAGAGACCAGAGAGAGAGACCAGAGAGAGAGACCAGTGAGAGACCAGAGTCCAGTGAGAGACCAGAGAAAGACCAGAGAAAGACCAGAGAGAGACTAGAGAGAGACTAGAGAGAGACTAGAGAGAGACCAGAGAGAGACCAGAGAGAGACCAGAGAGAGACTAGAGAGAGACTAGAGAGAGACTAGAGAGAGACTAGAGAGAGACTAGAGAGAGACTAGAGAGAGACCAGAGAGAGACCAGAGAGAGACCAGAGAGAGACTAGAGAGAGACTAGAGAGAGAGACCAGAGAGAGACCAGAGAGAGAAACCAGAGAGAGAAACCAGAGAGAGAAACCAGAGAGAGAGACCAGAGAGAGACCAGAGAGAGACCAGAGAGAGACTAGAGAGAGACTAGAGAGAAACCGGAGAGAGAGACCAGAGAGAGACCAGAGAGAGATCAGAGAGAGACATGTTGATGTAAATGTTGTTCTTTGGTTTCAGATCATGTCGGTGTCTGACGCTGCTCCGGGGTTCAGCTCTGGTCTCAGTCCTGGTCTCAGTCCTGGTCTCAGTCCTGGTCTCAGTCCTGGTCTCAGTCCTGGTCTCAGTCCTGGTCTCAGTCCTGGCTCAGACCCGGTCCATGGGGCGGTCCACAGCCTGCTCCGTCTCTGCCAGCCGGGGGAGAATGAGGGTTTCTCTCGTCGCGCCATCGAGAGTCTGGTGCGGAAACTGAGAGAGCGACGAGATGAGCTGGAAGCACTGGTCACTGCAGTCACCAGCAGGGGGCGCCACCCCGGCCTCTGCGTTACTATACAGAGGACACTGGACGGACGGCTGCAGGTGAGGGAGGGGCTCTGAGGGGGAGGAGCCAAAGGTTAGGGGTCAGAGGGGGATGGATTGAGGGGAGGAGTCAGAGGTGAGTCACACACAGTTTGTGTGTAATTTTGTTTATTTATACTTTTTGTTTGTACGAAGAGTCTAAAGACGCCAGGAAGAAAAGCTGGGATCCGAATAAAAACACACACACACATACACACATATGCCGCTTTTCCACAGTAACGGTACGGTATGGCACGGCGCGGCACGGCTGAGTTCGGGTGCTTTTCCATTTAAAATAGTACATCTTCAGTGTGGAAGGGATTGTCAGACCAAGTCATTTACGTGCAAAGTGTAACCAGTAACATTGGTGCGGTGCATGGATTTATTATAATATCGGTGATTGCAGGTTATTACCTCCAGGGGGCTCCTCTTACCCCCTGTAGTACTGACTCTTACCTCCAGGGGGCTCCTCTTACCCCCTGCAGTACTGACTATTACCTCCAGGGGCTCCTCTTACCCCCTGTAGTACTGACTATTACCTCCAGGGGCTCCTCTTACCCCCTGTAGTACTGACTATTACCTCCAGGGGCTCCTCTTACCCCCTGTAGTACTGACTATTACCTCCAGGGGCTCCTCTTACCCCCTGTAGTACTGACTATTACCTCCAGGGGCTCCTCTTACCCCCTGTAGTACTGACTATTACCTCCAGGGGCTCCTCTTACCCCCTGTAGTACTGATGCAGTACTGACTCTTACCTCCAGGGGCTCCTCTTACCCCCTGTAGTACTGACTATTACCTCCAGGGGCTCCTCTTACCCCCTGTAGTACTGACTCTTACCTCCAGGGGGCTCCTCTTACCCCCTGTAGTACTGACTATTACCTCCAGGGGCTCCTCTTACCCCCTGTAGTACTGACTATTACCTCCAGGGGGCTCCTCTTACCCCCTGTAGTACTGACTATTACCGCCAGGGGGCTCCTCTTACCCCCTGTAGTACTGACTATTACCTCCAGGGGGCTCCTCTTACCCCCTGTAGTACTGACTATTACCTCCAGGGGCTCCTCTTACCCCCTGTAGTACTGACTCTTACCTCCAGGGGGCTCCTCTTACCCCCTGCAGTACTGACTCTTACCTCCAGGGGCTCCTCTTACCTAACCTTGCCTGCAAGCTGAATTCTCGCGGTATTTGTGAGTTCACAAACACTCGAGAATACATCTTGTACCGCTCCCGCTTACACTTTTCGAGTCGAACCACTGGGTGTGCGAGCCAATCACGCGCCAGTCTGGGGGTTTAGGGCGGGATATCCGGGTTTGACGAAAGCAAGAAGTGCCGGGCCGAAGCAAAACAAACATGGCTACGCAGGAGGACGGACGCAAAGTCAGTTTTAGCAGAATCTCCAATTTCTTTTTTGAAAGATGAACAGCGAGAGGCGCTTTGTACATTTCTGGACGGCAACCTTGGTAGGCGGGCACACAGCGTCACTTCGCCCAATCAGCTTCAAGTATTCTGCTGCTTACCCCTCCTTTCCCCGAAAGGATTCTCCGGGAGAAATCCCAGATTGATATCGCGGAGAACGCGTTAGAGTTCTACACAATCATCAATCTGGCTTTTGCCAGGTTACCTCTTACCCCCTGTAGTACGGACTATTACCTCCAGGGGCTCCTCTTACCCCCTGTAGTACTGACTATTACCTCCAGGGTGCTCCTCTTACCCCCTGTAGTACTGACTATTACCTCCAGGGGGCTCCTCTTACCCCCTGCAGTACTGACTCTTACCTGCAGGGGGCTCCTCTTACCCCCTGTAGTACTGACTCTTACCTCCAGGGGGCTCCTCTTACCCCCTGTAGTACTGACTATTACCTCCAGGGAACTCCTCTTACCCCCTGTAGTACTGACTCTTACCTCCAGGGGGCTCCTCTTACCCCCTGTAGTACTGACTATTACCTCCAGGGGGCTCCTCTTACCCCCTGTAGTACTGACTATTACCTCCAGGGGGCTCCTCTTACCCCCTGTAGTACTGACTATTACCTCCAGGGGGCTCCTCTTACCCCCTGTAGTACTGACTATTACCTCCAGGGGGCTCCTCTTACCCCCTGTAGTACTGACTATTACCTCCAGGGGGCTCCTCTTACCCCCTGCAGTACTGAGAAAGACAGAGTGACAGACTAACAGAAAGTATTTAAATGAAAATTCAGCTCAGCGCGAGTGGTTTCTGAAAATACTTTAAAGGACTGACTCGGACACAGAACATGTGAAGTCACTGGTGCTGACTCTGCTCTGTACCATTTACTGACAAATATAATGTATGTAGTAAAAGTAAAAGTATGTGGTAGGAAATGGTAACTTTTGAACCCTTTTCTGCAGTGTTCAGACAAATGAATGAAACAAAGTCTTGATACGATCACATACGATTTATTAAAAACAAAAGTAAAGAGCAAACCAACAGTTTACAAAGTCCAAAGTACGTCTGAGACCAGCTCCAGACCATGTCCAGACCAGGTCCAGATGAGGAGAATGAGAAGTCTGCGGTCACTCACTGCGTTGGTAATCTCCTCACTTATGGGAATTCAACGGGTGAATAGCAATGAACAGACTACAGTCAAAATCCTAAAAATGCTAAACAAATAAAGTAGGAAGGAGGAGAGGATAGTGCTCAAGTTACCATACTTCTCCAGCAGGGGGCTCCCTATGCAGCTTGACTGACAGTCTGAGGCGTTTAGCCTTCCCTGAGTCTTACCTTCCTAGCCATATGCTAAACTAAAGAGGACTGTTTTAAACCTAGCCTTGAATAAAGAGATTCATGGATTGCACACCAGGTGTGCCAAACCGATCCAGGCAAATTATAATTATATATTATATATCATACATAACATAACATACAGCATAATATATAACATAATATACAACATAACACAATACACAACATAATACATATATTGTCTAATATATAACATAATATATAACATAATACAGCATATATATATAATATATACACCATATATGATATATTACCTAATTATATGCTAAATTAAAGTAGAGTGCTTTAAGCCTGGCCTTGAATGTGGAGACCGTATCTGCTTCCTTAACAGAAATGAAGCTGATTCCACAGTAAAGGAGCTTGGAGCTAAATGCTCTGCCGCCAACAGTGATTTTTGAGACCTTAGGAACCACCAGACGTCTGGCGTTTTGTGAGCGCTCGACTTGGTTGATACGACACTAACGTGTCTTGGAGATAAGAGGGAGCCAAGCCATTTATGGCTTTATATGTTAAGAGAAGGATTTTAAACTTTATTCTGTACTCCACAGGAAGCCAGTGGAGTGATTTTAACACCGGAGTTATGTGCTCCCTCCTTTTGGTGCTTGTTAAGATCCTAGCTGCTGTATTCTGAACGAGCTGGAAGCTCTTCAAAGAGGTTTTAGGGCACGCCTCCAGTAAAGCGTTACAGTCGAGCCTTGAGGTGACAAACGCGTGAATAAGTTTTTTCCGCGTCACTTTTAGGAAAGAAATTCCTCATTTTAGCTATGTTCCGTAAGTGGAAGTTCGCTGTTTTAGTTGCTTGGCTTATATAAGCCTTGAGGGAGAGATCTTGGTCAAAAATGACTCCAAGATTCCTCACAGTGTTACTGGGTATAATACTGACATTATCAGAGTGATTATCTGGTTAGTAAGGGAGTCACGCAGGCGCTTCGGACCGAGTAGGATCACTTCTGTCTTCTCCGGGTTGAGAAGTAGGAAGTTAAGAGTCATCCACATTTTAAGGTCCTTTATGCAGCACTGAGCTTTTCTAGCTGATCTGTCTGATTTGGCTTCATCGACAGATAAAGCTGTGTGTCATCTGCAGCAGTGGAAATTAATTCCATGCTTTTTAATAATGTTTCCTAACGGCAGCATGTAGAGAGTGAAAAGAATCGGTCCGAGTACCGAACCCTGCGGCACACCGAATTCTACTCCAGAATAAGGCGACGAGTTCTGATTTACGTTGACGAAGTGATACCGATCTGATAAATAGGATTTAAACCAGCCAAGGACTGTTCCTCTAAGACCTATATCACATTCTATTCTCTGCAGTAGAATGCTGTGGTCTATTGTGTCAATAGACACTTGTCCATTATCAGCAGCTAGTAGTAAGTCATTTGTGACTTCGACTAGTGCCGTTTCAGTCTATGATGAGCTCTGAATCCTGATTGAAAGACTTCAAACATATTATTTTCCTGCAGGTGGCAACAAAACTGCTCAGCTATAAGTTTTTCCAGGATTTTAGATATGAAAGTGAGGTTTGAGATCGGTCTGTAGTTTGTAAGTTTTTCTGGGTCCAGGTTTGTTTTCTTCAGAAGGGGTTTGATTACCGCGGTTTTAAAAGCTTGTGGGACATAGCCACATTGTATGGATGCGTTTATTATATTTACGATAGGCTCAATTATCAAAGGAAGTATGTCTTTGAAGAGCCATGTCGGGACTGCGTCTAACATGCAAGTTGAGGCTTTTGAGGATGTGACCACAGAGATCACCGCTGCTTGGCTCACAGCCATGAATTTATCGAGGCCCACTGAAGAGTCTAAGTGGGAAGTCACGTATGCCGCTTCAGCTTGTCCACTACCAACAGCAGGAGTAACCTCCTCCAGTTTGTCACGGATGGATGTAATTTTATTATTAAAGAAGTGACGAAAGTCGACACTGCTCAGTGAGCTTGGAATTTTAGGCTCGATTGCGCTATGGCAGTTTGTGAGTTTAGCGACGGTGCTAAACAAAAATCTACTGTTATTTTTATTGGCTTCTATTAAAGTTGAATAGTATTGAGTTCGAGCCCTGCGAAGGGCATTCTTGTAGTTTCGGAGACCTGCTTTCCACTCCCTGTGGACAGGCTCCGAGTGGGAGTGGCGATATAGCCTCTCCAATTTTCTGACGTCCTGTTTTCAAGTGTGGAGTTGAACACTGTACCAGGGCGACGATGATCTAATCCTAATAGTTTTCTGTTTTAAAGGAGCTGCTGCATTTAATGCAGATTTTAAAGACTCCATAGTGTTGTCCACCGTTTGGTCAATGACTGAGGGACTGCAGCAGCTTTGAACAGGTTCAACTGCAGCAGTATTCAACATAGGCTGTATTAGTTCTTTGAACCTTGTGATAGATTTATCATTTAAGGTTCTTTTCATTATGGTTTTATCTTGCGGCGCAGAAAAGTCCTCCAAATCGAGATCAAACGTGATCAAGAAATGGTCAGACAGCAACAAGCTTTGACGCTGGATGTCAACATTGGAGACATCAGAGCCGTAGGTCAGGACAAGGTCCAAGGTGTGGTTATGAATGTGAGTAGGTTCCTCAACATTCTGAGTAAAACCAACACCATCTAGTACGGCGCTGAAAGCTTTGTTTAAGCTGTCAGTGCTGTCGTCCACACATACGCACACACACACACACACACACATACATACATGGAAGGAACTCAGCCTCAGTGTGAGGGGGGAGCATCATGCTGTGGGGCTGCTGTTCTTCAGCAGGGACAGGGCAGAGCATCAGAGACAGAAATGGTTTAAACATGTTTCAGAACGATACAGTCCCGTTCTGGTCCTCTCTTCATTCATGGTGTTGATGACGTGTGCAGGTGGCGGGCCGGAAAGGCTTCCCTCACGTGATCTACGCTCGTCTGTGGCGCTGGCCCGATCTGCACAAGAACGAGCTCAAACACACACACTTCTGCAGCTACGCATTCGACCTCAAGTACGACAGTGTGTGTGTCAACCCCTACCACTACGACCGAGTCCCTGCTCCGTCGCATACAGGTGTGTGTGTGTGTGTGTGTGTGTGAGCCAGTGTGTGTGTGTGTGTTACATATGCAGATGATTGAAATTGTTGCTCCAAGGAAAAATATTGACTGATCGCTAACTTGCTGTGGTCTGAGCGGAGCCTGCAGGGCTGTTGTGTGTGAAGCTAATGCTAATGCTAATGTTGGCTGATGTATACTGTACCTTTTCAAATAAACTCATAAATGAAGGGGCAGAGCACAGAGCGATACGGAGGGACTGACAACAGGGGGCGCTGTGTGTTACATATACTGATGCCTGTGCCCTTTCAGGTCCTCATATAAAGGAGGAGATGGTGCAGGACTGTCTGCACCTGGACCTGACTCCGCCCCCTGACCACTACCAGCCCCGCCCCCACTCCATGTATCCCAGCATGCACCTGTCTCCCACAGGTGAGTGTCAGCTCAGGACTTACAGGGACCTGCAGATACTGACTCACAGGGACCTGTAGATACTGACTCACAGGGACCTGTAGATACTGACTCACAGGGACCTGTAGATACTGACTCACAGGGACCTGTAGATACTGACTCACAGGGACCTGTAGATACTGACTCACAGGGACCTGTAGATACTGACTCACAGGGACCTGTAGATACTGACTCACAGGGACCTGCAGATACAGACTCACAGGGACCTGTAGATACTGACTCACAGGGACCTGTAGATACTGACTCACAGGGACCTTTCTTGTGGCGCTGGTGTAATTCCCTCTCTCTCCTGCAGATGTCGCTGGAGTAACCGAGGTCCAGGGTCTGATCCACATGAGTCCAGGCCAGAGTCCTCCTCAGGCCCCGAGTCCGGACTACAGTAGCCCTCCACCAGAGACCCCAGCTAGCGAGGGGGCCGGACCAGGGACTGGACCAGGGACCAACTCAGGTATTTATTTAACAGCATGCTTCTCATACACGACAACATCATCATAAGACCTGTTATATAACATGGCTTTACTCTGGTCTCTCTCTGGTCTCTCTCTGGTCTCTCTCTGGTCTCTCTCTGGTCTCTCTCTGGTCACTCTCTGGTCTCTCTCTGGTTTCTCTCTGGTCTCTCTCTGGTCTCTCTCTGGTCTCTCTCTGGTCTCTCTCTGGTCTCTCTCTGGTCACTCTCTGGTCTCTCTCTGGTCTCTCTCTGGTCTCTCTCTGGTCTCTCTCTGGTCTCTCTCTTGTCTCCCTCTGGTCACTCCCTGGTCTCTCTCTGGTCTCTCTCTGGTCACTCTCTGGTCTCTCTCTGGTCACTCTCTGGTCACTCTCTGGTCTCTCTCTGGTCTCTCTCTGGTCACTCTCTGGTCTCTCTCTGGTCTCTCTCTGGTCTCTCTCTGGTCTCTCTCTGGTCACTCTCTGGTCACTCTCTGGTCACTCTCTGGTCTCTCTCTGGTCTCTCTCTCTGGTCTCTTGCTGGTCTCTCTCTGTTCTCTCTCTCTGGTCGCTCTGATCCTCTGACAGTCTGACCATGTGTTCCTCCTACAGTCTGACACCTCTCTTCTATCGTCTTCACAGATTCGTGGTCCAGTGTTAGCCCCGCCCCCTACAGCCCGATTGGTTCACAGCCTCTCAGTGGGAGCGACGCACATCCGTTACATCATCACCTGCCAACAAATAATCACTACTGTAAGTGTCCACAGGGGGTCCCCCTAGAGGGCAGTGTGTTACATCACCACAGTGTGACATCACCACAGCATATGGGCATTTGTTCCGCAGCGTTAGCTTAGCGCTGTAACAGGGGCAGAAGTGTTGCTAAGATGTTGCTAAGGCAATCTGGAGATTACCAGTGAATGAAGGCTCCTGATTGGTCAATTCTTAAATGGCTCATACCTGGATTTACATAGACAATTTCACAATATAAATTGAACTAGCAAGTTAGCATTGAGCTAACAAATTAGCATTGAGCTTGCTGGTTATTATTGAACTAGCTGGTTAGCATTGAGCTAGTGATTTAGCATTGAGCCTATGGGTTAGTAATTAGCTAGCGATTTAGCATTGAGCTAGCGTGTTCGCTAACTCGCTCCCTCTGTTTCAGGGTCGCAGCAGCACAACAACACTCCGTATCAACAGCCAGTGTCCAGCAAACCAGGTACAACAACCAACCCGGATTGGGTCCGGGTGTAGGTCAGGTCCGGTCTAAACCTGTCCTCTCTCCTCAGGTCTGGAGTCCTGGTGCTCCGTGTCGTACTTGGAGCAGGACGTGCGGGTGGGGGAGGTCTTCAAAGCCCCGGCAGGTTTTCCCGTCATCACTGTGGACGGATACATGGATCCATCTGGAGGAGACCGCTTCTGTCTTGGTCGACTGAGCAACGTGCACCGGACTGAGGCCAGCCACCGGGCCAGGTACCCCCCAGAGACCCAGGACTGATGCTGTAGACCCAGGACTGATGCTGTAGACCCAGGACTGATGCTGTAGACCCAGGACTGAGGCTGTAGACCCAGGACTGAGGCTGTAGACCCAGGACTGATGTTTTATGTTTCTGTTCTTGTTTTCTGACTTTCGGTTGAACTGGTCTCACACCGGGTCTCTGCAGGCTTCACATCGGTCGTGGTCTTCAGCTGGAGCACCGAGGTGATGGCGATGTTTGGATGAGATGTCTTTCGGACCACGCCGTCTTCGTCCAGAGCTTTTATTTGGACCGTGAGTCAGGACGCACACCAGGAGGCGCCGTGCACAAGGTCTACCCAGGAGCCTACATTAAGGTATGTGGCTGGAGAGAGGGTTAGCTGGTTTGGTTTGACCCTGGTCTTGACCCTGGTTTGGTTTGCCCCTGGTCTCTTGCAGGTGTTTGATCTACGACTTTGTCACAGAGAAATGCAGCGCGTTTCTTACAGAGAGCAAGACCACAGCAGCGGTGAGTTTAAGACCGAAAACCGAAAAACACACAATCAGGCCAACATGTGTGTATCATGTCCTCACATGTCCTCTGTATGTGTGTATCATGTCCTCACATGTCCTCTGTATGTGTGTGTCATGTCCGCTGCATGTGTGTCATGTCCTCACATGTCCTCTGTATGTGTGTGTCAGGTCCTCACATGTCCTCTGTATGTGTGTATAATGTCCTCTGTATGTGTGTGTCATGTCCTCACATGTCCTCTGTATGTGTGTGTCATGTCCGCTGCATGTGTGTCATGTCCTCACATGTCCTCTGTATGTGTGTGTCATGTCCTCTGTGTGTGTACCTGTGTGTGTCAGGTCCTCACATGTCCTTTGTGTGTATGTGTCAGGTCCTCACATGTCCTCTGTGTGTATGTGTTAGGTCTTCACATGTCCTATGTTTATATGTTAGGCCCTCACATGTCCTATGTGTATGTGTCAGGTCCTCACATGTCTTCTGTGTGTATGTGTTAGGTCCTCACATGTCCTATGTCTATATGTTAGGCCCTCACATGTCCTATGTGTATGTGTCAGGTCCTCACATGTCCTCTGTTTGTATGTGTTAGGTCCTTAAATGTCCTCTGTGTATGTGTTAGGTCCTCATATGTCCTCTGTGTGTATGTGTCAGGTCCTCAAATGCCCTGTGTGTGTATGTGTCAGGTCCTCACATGTCCCTTGTGTGTATGTGTCTCAGGTCCTCACATGTCCTTTGTGGGTATGTCTTAGGTCCTCACATGTCCTATGTGTATGTGTTAGGTCCTCAAATGTCCTGTGTGTATGTGTTAGGTCCTGTTAAGGAAGTTTCTACCCAATGAAGGAGAAAACTCAAAGGTCTTTGTCTGATCAAAAGCGTAAGTTTATTGTTAACATACGTACGGAGAGTCAGCACATACACAAGGCAGCATGTACTAGCTCTGAGGGCAGAGCCCCAAGTTTCCTGTATACAAGACACACACGAGAGACAGTCCCGCCCACAACAGATTGGAGGGGGCCACCCGTGAGGAGGCGCATGGGGAGCGTTTGGCGCCGTCTGGGAACGAGGTGCGAACAGACAGACAATGGTCTAAATGCAGGTCATACAGATGCAAGACACGGAAGACACAAGGGTGTGACAGACAGCAGGACGTAGAAGATGCACACATACAGACCGATAGATATGCAAGAGGCGAAAGGCACAAGGGTGTGACAGGCAGCAGGATGTAGAAGATGCACACATACAGACCGATAGATATGCAAGAGGCGAAAGGGAGGACAGTGATTTGCGCCATTGTCTGTAGGTGTCGGGGGGGGCCCGGCTCCTTCCTGGAACAGGGACATATGACATATGAATAGACACAGGCAGGGTTGCATGAATACTAGTCGCTTGCCATCACACTCCTTTCCCGTGATAATGTAAAAACCCCAGTTTTACAGAGATCACATTCAGGTGTGCGAGTATTGACCTTGGCCCCTGAGTAAAAGAAGAGTTGTTGATGGGCAGGTTACGCCGCCGTCACCCAAGCCTCTTGTATTACGGGGGTGTGGTCAAAGCTCTTCGCTGTGATACCCTCCCCCTAAATTGTGGGCGGAACAAGTGGAAAAATAAAAACAAAGTAAACAAGAAAGAAAAACGTTAGACAAAGTCGTCGTCCGAATCGCTGATATAATCAGGATCGGAGTTCAGTGGGACCGCGGCCAGGTCCGCCTCAGGGTCTCTGTGTTGAATGGACACAAAGTGAGTGGATATAATTTTACCAACGGCCCGAAACACCATGGGTAATACACATGAAAATAAAATCATAACGGTCAATAGGGCTAAACCAAGATTAATGAGCACACTTCGCCAGGAGGACAGGAGCCAGTCCAGACCGTGAGGAGTGTCCGTGACATTGTCCGCTTGCATGGCGTCCCGGAGTCTAGTCAGATTGGCTATGCCCTGTTGGATAAGACCTCCGTCCTCACCGTTGGCCGGAATATATGTACAGCAGGACGACCCGATGATCGTGCATACGCCTCCCACAGACGCGGTCAGGTGGTCCAGGACCAGCCGGTCGAACAGTGCCGCCTTGCAGTCAGTGGCACCGCTCCCTATGAGCGTGTGTGGAGCGTTAGTGGTCATGGCGATGTTTGGTCTTGGAGCGGCAAGACTCTATTTGCGTTGAAGCCTTGGCCTCAGCACTCGGTTGGGCAGAGTGCTCGGGATTTGGGGTGTGGCCTTGGGGTCCGGGGGCTGGGGAGTTGGGCAAAGGGGGGTTGCCTCGGCAACGCTGGGATCCTCTGGGTGTTGTTGTTGGCCTGCTTCACCGATGGTGGCCGCACGCCGGCCAACCTCTTCAGCGTAGGGAGCCGCGGATGGGCCTGGTCCGTCCGCGCCCTCGGTGTCCTCGTCTATGGCCCTCAGTGGCAGCACCGCACGACAGTGGTTGGCGTGGATCCAAGTTGTCCTCTCCGCGACCTTAACGGCAGTGTCCGTCACCAGGAGGGCGAGGAATGGGCCGAGCCAGCGCTTGGACCGCCAATGCTTTCGTCTCGTTTCCTTCATCAGGACCCAGTCGCCTGCGCAGCCTGTGGCAGGGCGCTCCTGACCTGGGCAGAAATAGAGGACAAAAGTGCATTAATTTCCTTACAATAGGACAGCATGTCGTCATCACACAAAGAGGTGCTTGGCAGATCTCTGTTCGGGGGTCCCGCGCCCAACGTGGGGCTAGCGGCAGAGCTTTGAGTGCCATTCTCTCGCTCGCACGTGCCTCCGGACCAGGGGGCGTAACTGCAGTGTTTACGTATATCAATGCCCAGAAATTCACCCACTTCCTCAATGGCTTTTGCTACAAAGTGACTCACCACCGCGTTGCTCGTGGCGTGTATGCCTGCAAATACTTCAGTCCATTTGGACCAGAGATCCGCCAGACCCAGACAGTATTACTTACCTTGGCATGGTGTGAGTTCAACAAAGTCCCTTTGGACATGTTGAAATGGGCGCAGGGGCGGAGGATGAGCAGCCTGTTGGATACTTTTGGGACTTACCTGGGTTGTGCGCGGGGCATATAGCGCATGTTTGGCTGAATCTCTGTGCAAATGCCGTAAACCCCTTTGTATACCAATTTTGTGTGATTAAATCACACATCATCCCTCCTTTTGAGGCATGGTCTCGACCATGTGCTAAAATTGCAAACTGTCTGAAGAAATGCCGTGGTAGGCACGGTTTGCTGTCTGGTCCCAGCCACACACACCATGCCGTCGTTGAGCCCCATTCCCCTCCCACAGCAGCGTCTCTGCTGGAGTAGAAAATATCAACGTCTTGAGTGAGGTAGTGTGTGTGTGTGTGTAGAGGTGCGTATGCCGCTGCCTTGTCCGCACGCCGATTCCCTGCAGAGATGGGATCAGTGGCATTAGTGTGGGCCTGGCATTTGCATACAGCGATCTCTAAGGGCAACATTACAGCTCTCAGCAGACGTTCAACCTGTGTGGAATTAAGAATTGGTTTACCATCAGATTTCATAAAATTGCGGTGTTTCCACAGTGCTTCCCAGTCGTGCACCACAGAGAAACCATAACGCGTATCACAGAATATGTTAACCGTTTTGCCCGCTGCCAGCCCCGGTGGGCGCGACCAGTTCAGCGGTTTGTGCTGAATGGTAGTGGGGCAAACTACCAGAGTCTATAGTATCAAAATCAGAACACACAGCATAGCCGACTCGGTTCTTCCCAGTGTTGTCACGTGACGCGGCTCCGTCTGTATATAAAAAAAATCAAGTCAGGATTAGTCAGAGGCACCTCTTTCAGGTCTGGCCTGGGAGTGCATATCTGTTCTATTGTGGCGATACAGCAGTGTGCCTCCCCTTCCTCTGGCGTGGGCAGCAGCGAGGAGGGGTTCAGCTGTGTGCATCCCTTCACCGTAGTTCAAAGAGCACCGTGTTGTACCCCAGCCAACGAGCCGCAGAAAGGCGAGAGGCCCTCTGCTCTAACAGGATCAGGGAAACAGCATGGGGCACAAGCAAGGTTAGTTCAGTGTATCCCACAAGGTCACGTGATGCTAGGGCCGCTTTCTCAGCAGCAGCCACAGCCCGCAGGCAGCGAGGCAACCCTGCTGCCACGGGATCGAGTTTTGCTGAGAAGTAAGCAGTGGGTCTCAGTGGCCCTCAGTGAGGCTGCAAAAGTACCGACTGTTCCGTTCATCTCCAGTTGCTTTTCTCCCGGATCGTCCTCAATTCATATTGTGGGCTTTTGTGCCAAAGTGGAGGCTCATTTCCTCCTGATCCATACTACTGTCATCCCTGGAGCAGGGGTAGTTTATCTCTCATCTGAAAAAGAAATATCAGAACACAAAAAAAAACACAAAAAATGCCCACTTTCGCTTGTCAATCTTTTTCCCAATTGGGCAAAACATAACTGCATTGACAGACGGTGTGTGGCATCAGGGCGGAGGCTGTAGCCAGATACAGAACAACAAAATGTATGTTACTAATTTTATACTCCCCTAAATGTGAGTTTACGAACCAAAGTTGTCCTCCGCCCAATGACCGCTCACTGCGGTTGGACCGAATCACTGTCAGGGCAAACAGCAGAGTGAGGAACTCCCAATATCTTCAGCGAGGTATTTCATCTCCGAGTACTTTCCGCAGAGTACTTTTCTCAGAGTACTCATCCCAGAGTACTCTCACTTTTACACCTGTTCAATAAAGGTCGTTATCTTTGAATCTCTAGTACTTACACCGTATGCTGTTGACAAAAAAGAATTATTCCATGATCACATTAAAACATTACAGACACATTTGTTATTCCATGATTCCGTTCAGCATTCCTCATTTCACTCCACACTCACATCACAGTCACATCACAGTCACATCACAGTCACATCACAGTCACATCACAGGCCGATTCCCCACGTTAGTATTGGTCCAGAGTTTGTTAAGGTCAGCGTAGTGTACTTTGACATGACACACAAACATATAACATACACAAAACATATAACACACAAACATGTAACACACACAGAAGGCCTGTACTTTTTAACTTTGTTATATTTTTCCATGTCCAATTCCAATTGTCTCATGAGCTATTTCTTATTGTTGCAACTTTCAGAGCCTGCAGAGCTTTAAAAGAGTTTTCCTAAAAGGATCCATTTCCAACTTTAGTGTTTACCACGTGGTCTATACTTCGGGCTTATCACAGATTGTGTCCCCTATATCTCTAATGAGCTCTTGTCACCTAAAAAAAAATGTTTTTTTTCCTTATTTTTTTTTTTCTTTTTCAATAAAGCCAGGTCGGATTCATTAAAAATGTAAATTAGTCTCAAACTTTAATACTTCACCTTTGTTTCACGATAAAAATGTTTTTGTTACTCATTAAGTAGCACAGATAGTGGTGCCTATCTCAATAAACGTACTCCGTTAGCCTATCTTCCCTACACTGCATGAATTTTCAAACTCCAAGTTATTGTCTGGGAACGACCGGAGAGAGCAGCTTAGGTCGTTCGCGTGGTTGACCTCCAAATTTTGTGCGGGCGTCACTATCCACTTGTTGTGGCTAATAACTTAGCAATCTCAGGGTTTGGTGTCAATTTCCAGTGGTAGTTAACTTTTGGGACCGGTGCCTCCTTTTATTTATCTATTTTTAATTGAGTCTGCACATAAGGTCTCGGCCTAGTAGATTAACCGGGGACAATGGGGAATATAGAAAAGAATGTTTAAGCTGGTTGCCCTGAGAATCAAAACACGTTAGCGGTGACGTAAATTGCTCTTTGGTCGTCTCTCCCCCCCGCTGCTAATGAGAATGTGAAGCGGGCCACTCATTTTAGGGGAGACAGAAAGGCTGTCACTTTTAGCACAGAATTTGTTGCCCCGGAGTCATCCAGAATTTTAACTTGTACACCACAGGTTGTTAGCGTATATTACGGGCATGAATTATCTCTAAAAAGTGCCAATTGCAATTTGTTGTTGTTCAACTTACATGAGCGGTCGCTTTGGTGACGAATGTGAACCCAGGTTTGGTCAGTCGCTCGTGTTTCCTCCGTGCCCGCCTCTGCCGTCCTCTGGCCCCGTGTTAGCTTGAGCGTTCCTCTGCCTTTAACGCCTCCTCCGGTAACAGTCCTTCGACCCATGTCGAGCACACAGTCTTTCCGCCGGGCTGTGGAAGTTTTTCAAAGTCCGCAGGAGGCCCAGGTAGCCCAAAGCGTTAGCATGTGGTCCATGAGGGTTGGTGAATAACCCAAACGTGCCGGTCACAATGGCTTCTTCTGTTTGCGGTGCGGGAACAACTTTCAAGGGGGTTTCCGCGGGTGCGTTTGGTATATCACGCTGCCCCCTCCGTGGAGAACAGTCACGGGATTTGGAGCAGTTTCTCTCTGTGCTCCAAAGCAGTTGTCGGTGTCTCACATATTTGTTTTCCCTCGCTTCTTCTTCTGTGGTTTCCTGAGCGTGTGTCTGTTTCCGCCTCTTCTTCTTCTGCGGTTTGGGCCCACTTCTCGCGGGTCTCAGCTGGTGCGGGCGCCGCCTGTGGTTGGGGCGTGGGGCTGGTGCTTTGAGGCAGAGGACAGAGCGCGGAGGAAAGGCGCCGACAGACCTGGATAGGGAAGAGGGAAAAGAGCCAACAGTAGTCTGCTTCATTTTTTAAAAACCCAACGCCTTGTTTGGGCGCGTACTTAGCATGGAGTTCTGCTCCTAGTGTGAAAGGATTAGTAGGTGAGAGAGGGCGTGTGTGTGCGCCTGTGTGTTCTCCGCTTTGGTGAAAGGCGGAGGAGCTATTGTTTTTACATATTTCTTTCTCTAACCTCTTTTGCCGTGATATTCTTAAAACCAAGTATATTTTTTTTCTTCCCTTCTTCTTCTAAATTATCACGCAGATGACCTGCACCATAGGCAAGCACTTCATAGCTTGCATCTGTAGATTGATTTTACCCATTTTCTCGTACGAACAATGGGCCTAACCCGCTTAGTCTCTCCCTGCTCTTACCCACTTTGGGGCGCTCCGTTCCCCCCCCCGCTGGTTCAACCAGCGAGCGCGCGCGTTCTTGAAAACGGAGCGGTTCTGGCTGAAGACACTCAGAGATTCCAGGGTCGCTTACAATGCGATACTAACGCGCAGCCGCTAGCTTCAATCTAGAACAAAAAGCCCCCCAAAAAATCCCGCACACAGACTATGCTGTGGCAATGAATGAAATACCCCAAAAATACATAAATAAACAAATCCCCGTGTCGACTTAAGGGCTGCCCTGGGCTCGTTACGCAGATGAAAAGACAAGACTCACCAGATTAGGTTCTTTTTGGTCTTGTGTGGCAAAAGGATTCCTTCCGTGCGCGGGACGAGCGCGCCCTCCTTTGTCCTCCAAAAAGGAACAGAGGCTGGTGATCCAGGTCGGCCAAACAAAGCCGCTCGTCCCCGCCGAAAGTATCCATGCCAAGACATGTCAGCAACGCCAAATTGTTAAGGAAGTTTCTACCCAATGAAGGAGAAAACTCAAAGGTCTTTGTCTGATCAAAAGCGTAAGTTTATTGTTAACATACGTACGGAGAGTCAGCACATACACAAGGCAGCATGTACTAGCTCTGAGGGCAGAGCCCCAAGTTTCCTGTATACAAGACACACACGAGAGACAGTCCCGCCCACAACAGATTGGAGGGGGCCACCCGTGAGGAGGCGCATGGGGAGCGTTTGGCGCCGTCTGGGAACGAGGTGCGAACAGACAGACAATGGTCTAAATGCAGGTCATACACATGCAAGACACGGAAGACACAAGGGTGTGACAGACAGCAGGACGTAGAAGATGCACACATACAGACCGATAGATATGCAAGAGGCGAAAGGCACAAGGGTGTGACAGACAGCAGGACGTAGAAGATGCACACATACAGACCAATAGATATGCAAGAGGCGAAAGGCACAAGGGTGTGACAGGCAGCAGGATGTAGACGATGCACACATACAGACCGATAGATATGCAAGAGGCGAAAGGGAGGACAGTGATTTGCGCCATTGTCTGTAGGTGTCGGGGGGGGCCCGGCTCCTTCCTGGAACAGGGACATATGACATATGAATAGACACAGGCAGGGTTGCATGAATACTAGTCGCTTGCCATCACAGTCCTCAAATGTCCTGTGTGTATGTGTGTCTCAGGTCCCCACGTAGACGCTCTTCGGGGACTCTGTGTGTTCCGGGTCTCTCTCGTAAAGGGGTGGGGCCTACAGTATCCTCGCCGCTGCATCCAGGACACACCCTGCTGGCTGGAGGTGCATCTACACCGGGCACTACAGCTGCTGGACCAGGTTCTGCACGCGCTGTCACCGCGCCAACAACACCACCACGACACGATGTCTCCACGGCAACCACACCACCAACACGACGCGTTGTCTACGCGGCAACACCATCACAATATGCTGTCTCCACAGCAACACCACCTTGACCTCTGACAGCAGACGCTCGGCGAGGCCCCCTTGTGGTCTTAGCAGTCTCACAGGGATGTTTATCTATGACGTTACACACCTCACTTCCGGGTCCAGGCTAAAGATAAGGGTAAAGCTTAGCCAGGCTAATACTTATGCTAACAGTAAACAAAAGGAGCACCTCCCCTTTGATAAGGGGGATTTTTTATTGTTATTTTAACATTAGCATGATAGTAGCATATTTGATTTCTTATGTAACTCCAGTTTTTGATTATTTTCTGAACCAATCAGCCTGTGCGCGTCACCAAAGCTTTGGACCCGGTTGTGAACGGTGACGTCACACCGAAAACAGAGCGAATGTTGTGAACGCCTTTCCACAGATATTACCTCCACAGGTTCACGCAGACGGGTCACGTGTCCAAAGAGATTATGCAAAAAGGGAAACGAGATGTCCTACGGGGGGCACTGGTCTGTTTCATTTTGTCCTAAAACACATAGTAGACAATGCTAACCTGCTAGCTCAATGAAGTACAATAGGGAAGTGCTCATGGTGAAGTTTGGCTCCAACACACTCTGGCACAGTTAACCCTCAAATATCAGGGACAAAAAATCTAGAAAATTACATTTGTGTGAGTTTTAAAGAAGTATTTTTTTAAGGATGGAAAATAGATATTTAGTCAATAACAAAAGTATCTTTTAATAGTCACGCCTATCTCCGCCGTTCTGACTAATGGGCCAAGAATAGTGCTCTACCAGGGCTTTCCAAAATGGCCGCGAGTGGTCCCGCCCACAAGAAAATTGTGAAAAAACGCATCTGCGCATGCGTCAGCCGGAGCAGCTCCATTAATTTAAACGAGTGACTTCTAAAGTCCACAGCAACTAAACTAGACTGGTCCAGAACACTCCCCTCAGCATTGACACACATGTGGAACGGAGCTTTGGGCCGAGAGCCAACTTTTGGACAATCCTGTAAAGACGTTTTCGAGAGGTCAGCTAATGCTATATGTTAGCATTGGCTAATTCTTATTCCGGGTCCACCCCCACAGGTCCGGGGTGGTATTGCAGCATGTCAGCGCACGTCATTTTGGCCACTTTTGAGCCGGGACCCGCCCCCACTGGTCGAAACATGTCAAGGTAATAACATCGCTAAAGCTAACCTAATATTGGTGTAGAAGAACCTAATACTTTGAACACAAGTCTTTGTTAGCAATGACTGAGATCACACGTTTGTTAGTCTTCACAAGGTTTTTCACACACTGTTCCTGGTATTTAGGCCCATTCCTCTCCACAGATGTTCTCTGGGGCTGAGATCTGGAGACTGAGGCTCCAGGACCTGAGTGTTTGGATCATTGTCCTTGCTAATTGAAGCAGGTTTTTACTCCAAACTACACATGGCTTCATTCAGTCCTTTACACAAATCAATGTTCCTGTTGCCTCTGCAGAAAAAACAGCCCCAAAATACAATGTTTCCACCCCCAATGCAAGCCATTCAAAAGAGTGAAAGTACCTCCAGAAATGCGGTTGTGAGGGTTTAAGGACAACATGAAACAGGCTCAGGTCAGAGGTCACCAGGTCAGGTGGACTATGTGACCAAGTGAGCGGTCAGCTGGAATTTATACCTCTTCTCTCGGGTTTGTGAAGCTTTAAGAGTCTCCTGTTTGTGCTTCATCTCATGGTCATCCACATCTGAGATGTACATGGTCAGAGCTCTAGAGGACCCAGGGACCAAAGACCAGGTGTAACTCGGGTCCAAGGACCAAAGACCAGGTGTAACTCGGGTCCAAGGACCAAAGACCAGGTGTAACTCGGGTCCAAGGACCAAAGACCAGGTGTAACTCTGGTCCAGGGACCAAATACCAGGTGTACCTCGGGTCCAAGGACCAGGTGTTACTCTGGTCCAGGGACCAAAGACCAGGTGTAACTCGGATCCAAGGACCAAAGACCAGGTGTAGCTTGGGTCCAGGGACCAAAGACCAGGTGTAACTCGGGTCCAAGGACCGAAGACCAGGTGTAACTCGGGTCCAGGGACCAAAGACCAGGTGTAACTCGAGTCCAGGGACCAAAGACCAGGTGTAACTCGGGTATACTGTATCGGGTCCAGTCCAAACATATTTATGAAGCTGTTTTACTGTTGCACAGAGCGGTACATTTAAGTGCTCCTTTGACTATGGGACCAATCAGGCGGCTCGATGGACAGATGTCGGTGTGGAGGACCAATCAGGCAGCTCGATGGACAGATGTCGGTGTGGAGGACCAATCGGGCGGCTCGATAGCCTCTGGGTCGTGTTCTAATGCAGTCAGTGTGTGGTTCTCGGCTTTTGTACTGTTCCGATCAGCTTTAACTGTAACAAACCTGTTCCTCTTGATTGTGGCGTTTTGTCTCAAAATATTTTAAAAATCATTTTAAACCAAGAAATACTTCAAAGTCTCTGTGTGTTCTTTCAGTGGTTTTACTCCTGCTGCAGTATTAGAGAGAAGTTAATATAATGGAAGAATTTCCAAACCTATAAACTTGGCTCAGAACAGTCTGTAGACAGATGGACAAAGCTAACAGTGAAGTCTGGCTCCTCTCTTTCAGGCTCCTATTGACTTCCTTATAAAAGTAAACTCCTCTGGCTCATTTTGGGCTTAAATCAGTGGTTTATCGCTCTCTGTGATCCTGCTATTTATATGTGATGTTGTCTTTGCAAATCCAGAAACGAGCCATATAAGGACTGACGAATCAGAAGCCTTCCATCTGGGGGAAAACTCCAGTTTGCCTTAGCAACCATCTTAGCAACACGTCTCGGACACATAACAACACAATAACAACACATTATTTTCTCATTGCAGTAGTTTTGCAAAGACATCAGACTCAAAGAACAATACATTTTGTCTCTTTTAGTCCAAGCATTTCTCAGCTATAGACCGGTTACTAGGAACATGGGTGTATTATATGATGCACATGGACGAGAGGCCACATATAATCTTCCGTCTCAGTCACTATTTGACTCTTTGGGCTGAGAGTGGATGGTCCTCTCTTTTTCATCTTTTTCTCTGAAAAAGCTGATCTAAAGCCTTATCTGTTGGAGATAGAGGCCACTGTTTTAGAGCGTTTTACAGAGTTCTAGTGGTCTGAAAGTTACATACCCAAGCTTTACTTCTATGTATACCAGCTTTAATTTGAGCCTTTATCAATGGGAATCACATAAGTTGAAAACTTGCTGTACATGACAATAACACATATTGTTCAAAGTCACTCCAACGAACTGTCGCTGTGTGGCGCCATCAGCCTGGGGGCGGGGCTTACGGTTCAAAATACCTCAGCAGCGCCTCACTATTGGCTGTTCATGAGTCCTGCCCAAGCGCACAGCCAATGGGAGCGCTTAGCCGTAAAGAGTGACGCAGACACGGGCCAATCCACGGCGAGGGGGCGGCTCTTCGTCATGGAGTCGCGGTGGATCTAAGATGGCGGCTCAGTTGTGCTTTTGCGTCTGTCCGTGCAGAACCCCGGCCCCGCGCCTTTTACGTTTTTATCACTTTTCTTTAATTTACAGTTTTTTGCGCCGTTAAAATGGAGATGAAAAAGAGGATTACCGAAGAGCTGCGCGGGAAGAAGCCATCAGAGGCGAGTATTCTACATTATTGCTGATATTATTAATTTTAACCTCTCCGCATCATCTCGGGACTTAGTGCGACTCAAAATAAACATGTCCTTTTTCTTCTCTCCAACACTGATCCCGCTCGTGTGCACATAGTTTCAGCCTGTGCTTAGATCTAATCATTTTATTTGTGCGTGAGGTTAAAAACCGTAGAGGATCAGCAGCAGGACGGACTAGGGGACTTCCCCCGGGGACGCTGACTCTGAGGCGGCTGCACACGGAGCCATGAGACCAACACACTCACACATACAATTACACATAAGTACACACAATTACACACAAGTACACACGCACACTCATGGAGGATGTGTGTGTGAGTGAGACCCGGGGACATGGAGCTGCCTCCGGGGGACGAGTCCAGGCTAGCGGCGTGTAGCATGTTAGCTGTGCTTTAGCTTAGCCGTGTGCTAGCAGCTGCAGATGCTGTGATGGAAGCTAGAGGAGTCTGTCGTTGTGGCGGCCATGTTGTTCCTGTCACAAACTAAAGTTCTAATGTTCCCTGTTATTGTTTCACAGTCGGTTACTCGAACCCGCTCACATTAGTCAATATTCTCCCTGTGCTGTTTGTGGAGCTGATCGCGATGTAAACAGGAGCACGTGGCCCTTTGTTATTTTTTGGTCAGATAATAATTCCACAGTTCCAGAGAAGCCTGTAATACTGACACATTCGTGTGGGGGGCCTCTTGTTCGTCGGGGGTCTGTAGTTAAGCTCAGCTGTGCAATTATATCTGAGATGTGGGAGTCTCTTCTACAAAAGTGTGTATGCAGCAGTTTCCTTAAAACCACAGGTTTTGTTAAATCAGAGCAGTTTGATCCTATATGTGTAAAATGTCTCCAGTCATCAGATTTGTGTTACAGCATTATATTAATATTGTATTTAGCTTGTTTCCACACTGAGCCCAGTCTCAACCTGGAGACTGGATGAACTAAGTATTTGGCATGAAAACCTGCGTCTACCCGCTGTAAGCCTTGGAGACCATTCAGACGTTTGTAATGCAATTGTTTATATTTTACCCTTGTGCTTAAAGAGAATCAAAATATTTTGGTTATTTGGAGTCACTGGCGGGTCACTGAAGGTGAAGGTGTTTAGGGAGATGTTTGTACAGTGTACTGTGTATGAAACAGGTGTTTCTAGTTACAGTTGGCTATTTGTGATTTCAGCAAAAATAGAAGCTGAAAATGTTTTTAAAAAGTGTGAGTTGCTGAAAAGACTGAACACCTGTAATCTGCAGCTGTAGATACATGTTTACTCCGAACAGTGTGACATCACCACCAGTGTGACATCACCACCAGTGTGACATCACCACCAGTGTGACATCACCACCAGTGTGACATCACCACCAGTGTTAGAAGAAGCTGATTTGAAGATAAGATAGTTTATTGATCTCTGATGAAGAAATGTACGTGTCACATCTGGCATGGATAGAATCACTCAAGATTGTGCAAAAGACAGAAATGTGCAACATGTTAAACACAGGATATATTATGTACAATAAAAAGTGTCAATCAAGAAACATTGTCAATAGTAGTGCAGGTTTTTCAGTCCTAATGCAAGTGACTTAAAGTGACTCATTGTACAGTCTGACAGCGGTGGGGATAAAGACCTTGCTCCTACTTGCACTGAGGGTGTCTCAGTCTTCCACTGAAGGAGCTCCTCAGCTCCTCCTCAGTACTGTGCAGTGGGAGGTGTTGTCCATGAAGGAGGTGACTTTGAACATAAGTTGGACCCAGTTTCCTTATGGGCATTTATTCGGCAGCGTTAGTTTAGTTCTGTAACAGAGGCAGACGTGTTGCTATGACGGTTGCTAAGGCAAGCTGGAGATTCCCCCTGAATCAAGGCCTCTGATTGGTCGATTTACACACAAACAGCAGGATCAGAGAAGCCAAAAGGCTGAGTGCGACACAAACCTTACTGAGCTAGAGGAGTTTACTTTTAAGTGGAAGTCAATAGGAGCCAAACTTTGTCCATGAGCACTTCTTACAAAGTGAATGTTGTGGATGCTCGAGCGACACTCAGATGAATGTTCTCTACAGACTCGTCTTACAGCGTGTGGCTGTGAGCTGCAGGATAAGCCGCTTTGAAAGACACTGAGGGCATCTGTGCAGGGAGGGGGCAGGGTGTGTGTGAGGGAGGGGGGGCGGGGTATGTGTGTGTCAAACCGGCCCAGACCCTCGCCCCCTGCAGAGACAACAGTTTGACAGGAGCTTATGTTGGTAAGACAATTACTGAACTTATTAGAAAGAAGAGCTTTGAACTGGACACAACTGTGCGTGTGTAGACTAGGGCTGGGCCATATAAACGGTATAAATGGTAAGCGATATAAATTTGGCCAACGGTAGAGATCTTTGTTATACCGGCGGTAGGTCATTATGTCATCAAATTTCTGAGTTGCATGTGACGAAAGTGCTCCGAGGGACAGGAAGTACATTTCCCCACTAAAAACAATGTAAACATTCACTGATTCAGAGTTAGATGTTCTTTTTCTGTGGCGTGTACAGTTGTGGCAACTGCTCATATCAAGTGGGGAACCTATGGAGTCTCTACTTTTCTAAAAAATATTTCTCTAACTGGTGTCATTTTATAGGAAAATGCCTAATAAGGAACGGGAGAAATGCGCTAGCATTAGCCTGCGTAGCATCTGCGGCCACAGAGATAGCTGACAGTCTTTACTTCGCTTACTTTCATAGATACTGTCAGGGATGAAGCAGACGGAGACGGATCGTGGTGAGCCAAACTCTGGAAGTTTATTTAAGTTTCTCTCAAGTTCCAGTGGTTTCCTTTGTTTCTTTCTCTCAGACAGAATAAAGGCAGTACACAGTTTATATAGTCATTGTCACGTCACACATCGAAAGACGTACGTGTCACACAGACAGTCACATCAGAGTCAAAATAATCAGTCCTTGTACAGTTCTGCACGTAGGCCATATTGCTATCTAATACTAACAATACAATGCAGTATTTTGTGTAGTATACGGTTGTAGTAACCAAGGCAACAGAAATAAAGAACTGTTAAATACATTTTCTAATTGCAGCCCCCGCTGTTAGCTCACTCACTGCTGTTAGCTTAACGCTACAAAGTTAAGCTAATACTTTTGGTTATTTACAGCTCAACAAATCACCAAAATGACAATAAAGGGTCAGATTTCTGGCTTCAAATGCTTCTAAAGTTAAATTTGTGCCATATTTATTGTATTATTGATCAGAACTATCATCTCAGACGTGTTTCTGTTGATACCAGAGTGACTCCACTGTCGTCACTATAACAGCCTTAATCTTTCTCATTGTTGAAAAAAAATGGACTCATTCAAACACTACAAGGCGTACGCTGCATTAAAATAGTTTTCACTCATAATAAGTGATACTAAGCCGCGAAAAGCTCCTGTGTCTGCGTTTTCCAGCATTGCCCATTCTATTTAATAGGAGAAAAATACTTCCTGTCCTACGAACATATGCCCCACACCCTTTTGGTCACGTGGTTGAAACTCTGCAATGCTGCTTGGAAGTTAAAGTTCTATAATGTGCTGTTTAATTGCAGTTTTGCTCAATACATTTAAATAACTTTAAATAAAAATAAAATAATAATAAAATAATAATAACAATCTTGACTATTTCATTCAAGAACCTGCTAGACCTATATTGAAATTCACACCAAATTATACCGCAATATCGCCCACCCCTAGTGTAGACCATGGATCTACACACACCATGGATGATAATAACTGGATAGTGTATTACTAGCTTGGATCTGTCCCATCCACGGCCACAGGGGGCGCTGTGGTACTGCAGACTAAACCAGACTAAATTCATGTGGGCTACCTAGAAATTTCCCCCTTTATATCTCAATGTAAACTAAAACGGCTCGACCTCAGCTGACAGAGAACCTGACGGAGAACCTGACAGAGAACAGTGTCCCTTGTCGTCCTGAACTTTTTTTCTTCTCAAATCCTTCAGTTTTCTTTTAATCCACATTCTACTGCCACAAACTTGTGTGTGTGTGAGAGAAGTTTGTTTATTAATTTAAATATTCTTCTACATTCTTTACACACGTGCACGGAGGTTTTCAGAATTATTTGTAAACGTTTTATGACAAAAATACTATTTTAAAGTGACCAAAAACGGTCCAGAAGTAACTATTAACATTAGTGGAACATTTTGGGACACATTTGAAGAGGATCTGATGGATTACGGTTCGGTTTATAAATGTGTCAGTCAGTTCTTTGTTCAGCTGATACTAGCTTAGAACATGGACTCAAACACTACAAAGCATAGCTGTTACTAGCCTAGCCACGGTGCAACCTTTGGGAACTAACCATTATTATATATATATATATATATATAATAATTTTTTTTAGTTGATTAATCGCATAGTAATGATGAGTTAACTCACGATTAATCACATTTTTAACATTCTATTTCAAATCCACTCCAATTGAAGTTAAATGACACATTGTTATTCAGACCAAATGTACTTAAATCTGTTTGACTCGCTCACAACCTTCTACTTTTGGGCACAACCAACAAGAGCTGTTAATGAAAGGGAAAATGTAGGTACCCCAGCTTTAATTTTGTGAGTTTGGTTTCATTTCAGCGTGTCTCCTCCTTCGTGTGTCACACAACATCAGAGAATGGCCCCTGTGCGTGTATATATATGTGTGTATATTAGGGGTGGGCGATATGGCCTAAAATTCATATCGCGGTATAATTTGGGTCATAGACGGTAGACGGTATATATCGCGGTATAATTTGGTGTGTGAATTTCAATATAGGTCTAGCAGGTTCTTGCATAAAATAGTCAAGATTGTTAATTATTTATATATTAGAATCTAATATATATTTTTTGAGTTAGAAAATCAGTTGTGAGACGAATAAAGAGACAAATAACATACATTATTTATGTATGTTACAGTAAATACCATTCACTGTAAAAGCAATTTTTAAAAAGAAAAACATATGCATTCATTTAAAATATAAAAAACTCAAATGATGAAAACAAAGTCTGTAGGAGTTAGACATGGTCATTATTTATAGTGTCTGAGAGTTTTTGTGCAGGTGCATGACTTCAGTAAAAGCTGTTTGTTTACAAAGCTGGTCTTGCCATTTGTTGACGCTCCCTAAGCGCTTTTCTCTGCGCTGGATGATTCAATGGATTTTATGTTCATTAAAACAGCGCATTGGATTTGAACAATTGATGTAAATGATCATTTTGGCACAAATAATTTTGTTTAACAAAGTAGCTTTCGTGAGATATTGACCGCGGAGGTCCGAATCTGACGCAAACTTTCCCAAACTTCTGATGTGATGCTGCTGCGGACACGGCACATGGATCTATTTTGGCTCACGCTGGCGCTTCGAGCTTACGCCCCTTTGACACCGATTGGCCAAAAGGTAGACTCTTAAACTGTGATTACTGTGTGTGTATTTACCTCTGCTGGGGCCGCTGTGACAACAATACAGAGACAGAAACACGGTGTTAATGCCGTGCTGTTGTTCGTTGTTTCCAGTGGTGTCCAATAGTGCTAGGCTAATGTGCTAGGCTAATAGTGCTAGGCTAATGCTGCTGAATGCCGGTTTGTTTTGGTGCTCTCTGCTGGCGTCAGAGCCTGCGCAATTTAATGACATAATGACGTATCGCAATATGCCGGTATAACAAAAATCTCTACCGTGGGCCAAATTTATACCGTCTACCGCTTATACCGTTTATACCGCCCAGCCCTAGTGTATATATATATGACCATGTTACCGCTGTCACCATCACACACGCACGTGTCTGTGGCATTCTGAGTGATATGATTATAAATGGGCGGGTCATTCGGACATGCGTTAATTATTTTTTAACGCGTTAATGATATCGGTAATTAACGTGAATTAATGCGATAATTTTGACAGCCCTTGTTTTTTATATATATATATATATATATATATATATATAAAATTTAAAAAGACTAATATTCGTTTGGGGGGAAAAAATATATATAATCATAGATATTTTAAGATTTGAATTATATTCAAACTCCGAAGTCAAAGCTCTAGTGTGTATCCTGTGCAGGTGTGTATGTATCCTGTGCAGGTGTGTGTGTGTGTGTGTGTGTGTATCCTGTGCAGGTGTGTGTGTAGATCCTGTGCAGGTGTGTGACTGCAGTACCTCCTGTGTCCAGGTGGCGGAGCTGCTCTTGGACAGCTGTGTGTGTGCAGATGGAGAGCTGGATGGTCTGACCGACGACTTCTCGAGCCTCGAGGTCCTGAGCGTCTGCAACACAGGCCTCAAGAGTCTGAGCCGCCTCCCCAGTCTGCCCAAGCTCAAGAGGGTACTCTCTCTCTGCTCTCTCCTCTCTGCCTCTGCTCTCTCTCTGCTCTCTCTCTGCTCTCTCTCTGCTCTCTCTCTGCTCTCTCTCTGCTCTCTCTCTCCTCTCTGCTCTCTCCCCCTCTGCTCTCTCTGCTCTCTCTCCCTCTGCTCTCTCTGCTCTCTCCCCCCTCTGCTCTCTCTTCTCTCTCCTCCTCAGTTGTGATGTTGCATGTTCTCTTCATGCCCTGTCATGCTCTGTCCTCAGTTGGAGCTCAGTGATAGCTGTCTGTGTTCACCTGGTCTCTGTCCTCAGTTGGAGCTCAGTGATAACTCTTTGGTCTCACCTGGTCTCTGTGTTCACCTGGTGTCTGTCCTCAGCTGGAGCTCAGTGATAACTCTCTGGTCTCGGGGTTGGACGTTCTCTCGGTGAAGTGTCCGTCTCTGAGCTACTTAAACCTGAGCGGGAACAGCATCAAGGACATGAGCGCCCTCCAGGGACTGGTACGGGAACTACACACAGATACATACACATACATATACATAAAGATCCATACAGATATATACATATACATACGCGCATATACATATACATTTACATATATATACCAACAGATACATACATTTACATACATATACATACACTAACCAGGGATCTATAATAAGGGGATACAGTATTGGCTTCTGTCCCACATGGTCCTGTATAAACACACGTCACCCAGAGACATGTCCATAGAACTGTAAAATAAAACTGACCTCAGCTGAGAACCTGACGGAGCGCCCTGGCGGAGCGCCCTAACGGAGCGCCCTTGGCGGGGAGCGCGCCCTTGGCGGGGAGCGCGCCCTTGGCGGGGAGCGCGCCCTTGGCGGGGAGCGCGCCCTTGGCGGGGAGCGCGCCCTTGGCGGGGAGCGCGCCCTGGCGGAGAACCTACAGCTTTCATAAAGGAGGATTCTGTGGATGTGTTTTTCATATATCCACTTTAGTGAAACAAACTCTGCTCTGATTGGTCAGAACGCTGCCCTCTGATTGTTAGTTTTTTGGAGCAAAGCATCATGGGAGCTTGCGACTGCACAGAACCAGGAGGACCAGACGAATGCCCAATTATAAGCGAGTTCTGCTAATTTTTCAGTGCCCCTGGGGGGGGGCGCCACCAAGCCCCGGCGATCCAAGATGGCGCCCTATTCAAATGAATGGTTGTGCTCAGTGGCGCTTTGTGACGGCATGGGGGCTGAAAGATTAGCGGAAGTGGCCTGGAACTCTCAAAGATCTATGGGAAACTCGCCTGTATTTGGGCATCGTCTGGTCCTCCCGGTTCTGCGCAGTGGATGATCTCCCATAATGCATTGCGCCAAACACGCGTGTGTGGGTCTCACACGGGGTCTCACGCACGTGCACAGAGGGGCTCGGCCGCGCTCTGACCAATCAGAGCAGTTCATCAGAGCGGGAGTTGGAGCGAGAGCCAGACGAGCAGAGTTTGTGGCACTAAAGTGTGGATTTAAACAAAACCGAAGGATTTAAGAAGAAAAAAAGTTCAGGTTGACAAGGGACACTAAAATCCCCACAAAATCTGATCTTTATTAAAGCTGTAGGTTCTCTGTCAGGTTCTCTGTCAGCTGAGGTTGAGCTGTTTTAATATGCATTGAGTTCTATGGGGAAAATTTATGGGAAGCCCACGTGAATTTAGTCTGGTTCAGTCTGGTTCAGTCTGCAGTACCGCGAGAATCCCCCGAGCATATGAGTTATTCAGCTACAAGCTGTAATACCCTATCCAGTTATTATAATAGATCTATGGGGGCCACTGAGCACAAGTAGTAAGTAAGTAAGCTTTATTTATATACCGCCTTTCACAGACCAGAGTCACAAAGCGGTTTACAATTGTTATTTTTTTGGGCACTTGTCCTCTCACTCCACACAGAGATGGGAGCGGGGTCGCCGAACTGGACCTATTGCCAGACCTATTGTACATATTTTTAGTGGTAGGGGAAACCGGAGTACCTGGAGGAAACCTACGCAGACAGGGGGAGAACATGCAAACTCCACTCAGAAAGGCCCTGGTCCGGCCGGGATTCGAACCCAGGACCTTCTTGCTGAGAGGCGAGAGTGCTATCCACTCAGCCACAAGCCACTGATCTGAACAGACGCCATCTTGGGTCAGAGGGGGTTGGTTCTGGCCCATGGGGGGGCAGCTCTGAGCTAATACTTATTATAGATCCATGGAAACACATATACACATACTCTGTCCTGGTCCCGGTCCTGGTCTCTAACATGTCTCTGCAGCAGAAGCTTCCTGGTCTTCAGTCTCTGGACCTGGATGAGGATGAGGAGGATGAAGAGTCCTGGAGAGAGAAGGTCTTTGAGCTTCTGCCACAAATCCTGTTTCTGAACGGCTTCGACCAGGACCACAACCAGGCACCTGATGGTAGGTAGCTCCTGGTACAGGCTCTTGATGGTATGTAGCTCCTGGTACAGGCTCTTGGTGGTATGTAGCTCCTGGTACAGGCTCTTGGTGGTATGTAGCTCCTGGTACAGGCTCTTGGTGGTATGTAGCTCCTGGTACAGGCTCTTGGTGGTATGTAACTCCTGGTACAGGCTCTTGGTGGTACGTAGCTCCTGGTACAGGCTCTTGGTGGTATGTAACTCCTGGTACAGGCTCTTGGTGGTATGTAACTCCTGGTACAGGCTCTTGGTGTTACGTAGCTTCTGGTACAGGCTCTTGATGGTACTTTGTTTCAGATGATGACGATGATGAGGCTGGTCCCCATGGCGACGATGACGACGATGATGAAGAGGATGAAGATGAGGACGAAGGCTCAGAGGACGAGGAGGTGGGACTATCCTATCTGATGAAAGAGGGCATCCAGGTGAGCAGCGGCTCTACACAGAGCTCCTCTGGCCTCCTGTTCCATTGTCCATCTGTGATGTCGCATGTACCTCTGTTTGGGAAACACTGCTGTGGCAGAGTGGTTAACCTTTGGTCATGTGACTTTAACAGGATGAAGAGGACGATGGAGACTACGTGGAGGAAGAGGACGAGGAAGATGGAGGTGAGTGTGACATCACCGCAGTATTAGCTCATCTCTGTCCCACCCATGGGCCCAGGGGCCACCTGTGGTCCTGCAGAACCTGACGGAGAGCCCGACAGTCACATGGTCCCTATGAGGGCGTGGCTTATGTAGTAGTAATGGTAGTAATCTTTATTTATATACCGCCTTTTCACTGCAGATCTGAGTCTCAAAGCGGTTTACATTTGTTAATTATGGGCATTTGTCTCTCGGAGATGGGAGCGGGGTCGCCAGTACAGGAGGCGCATGCCAGACATGTCTATTGGACATATTTTTAGTGGTAGGCGTGGCTTTTGTCACATGGTCCCCATGAGGGCGTGGCCTCTGTCACATGGTCCCCATGAGGGCGTGGCTTATGTCACATGGTCCCCATGAGGGCGTGGCTTATGTCACATGGTCCCCATGGGGGGATGGTCTATATCACATGGTCTCTGCTGTCTCAGTTAAATCCTGTTTCCTGGTGCAGAGGGCGGAGTCAAGGGGGAGAAGAGGAAGAGGGACGCGGACGAAGATGACGACGATGAAGACGAGTGACCCCCGCCCCTTGGAGCCTGCAGCCAATGACAGCCCAGAACCCGGACAACCTTCCAGAATGCACCTCTGTAGCCCCTCCAAGTTACACAGAGCAGCTTTAAAATGTCCAAATGTTTAGACTGTGAGAATAACCTGAAGTATGTTTGTGCTGCTTTAAAGCTGAGGGACGTGACTTTAAAGCTGACGGACACTTTCTTCTGCTTTATCCGTTACCGGGTTGCAGGGCCAGCAGCCTGAGTGCATAGCTAAAATTACGTCCCCCAGCTTTAACAGTCAAGAGTAAATGTGCTCAAGGACCTGGTTTTAAACTCCTCCTTTCTGGCTCTGGCCCCTCCCCTCTGGCTCCTCTCCTGTGGCCCCTCCCCTCTGGTCCCGCCCCTCTGGTCCCGCCCCTCTGGGCTGTTGCTCTCTGTAAATAGAAGTGTGGCGTCTGTAGTTTGTGTCATGTTTTTATTATTTTATTTTTTATTCCCGTGTGATGTCATCGAGTTTTGGAATAAAAGTGACTGGATTCAACTGTGCGGCTGCTTTTCTTCTGTGGGCTACACAAGGGGTTAGCAGTGCTTCTAATGTGGTTCATAAAAGGGTGGGGTGGTTAGCAGTGCTTCTAAGTTCATAGTGATCGAAGTACACAGAAGTCATTCAGAAAGTTTATTTGGCACAAATGAGAAATATATAAATAACAGTTTAAAAGTCAATAAATTAAATATAAACTTAAATAAAGCTGAGGTCTGTGACTTTAAAGCTGGGGTAACAGTGCCACCTGCTGGAGCCAACACTGCACGCACTGAGTCGCCCTCAGAGCTGAGTCAAAGTCGTGAGTCGTGTTTATGGACGACGAGTTGTGACACGGGTAGGAGGCATTCAGGCCCTGAGGAGAGAGAGCAGACTGAAGCAGACTGTGCCACAATCTTCATTCAGTGTAACACTATGTTAAGTACATGTGCAAACATTAGCATGTCAGCACATGTTAGTATGTCTGTTAGCATGTCAGCATGCATGTCAGCATGTATGTTAGCATATCAGCATGTATTGTCACTCCCGGATTCGTCCGGAAGTTCAGTTTGCGCATGTCAAAAAGTTTAATAAGTCCTTAAGTGGTGACTGGTTAAGTTTAGGCGTCTGAATTTAGGGTTAAGGTTCGGGTTAAGGTGGGTCTGAGTAAGATGGTTAAGGTGGGTCTGAGTAAGATGGTTAAGGTTATGGTTAAGGTGGTCTGAGTAAGATGGTTAAGGTTAGGGTTAAGGTGGGTCTGAGTAAGATGGTTAAGGTTAGGGATAAGGTGGTCTGAGTAAGATGGTTAAGTTTAGGGTTAAGGTGGGTCTGAGTAAGATGGTTAAGGTTAGGGTTAAGGTGGGTCTGAGTAAGATGGTTAGGGTTATGATACATGCAATAAATTAAATTTAATGCATGTATCATACTGTATTCAATATGATTAACAATAGTGTGTTCAAACAAAATATTTTATTAGATCGAGTTTTTTCCCCATTCTGTCGGGTTTCTGCACAAGTCAGATTTGGGCACAGCAGCAGTGTAGTTTCACAGGAGTCAATATGACTGCTTTAAACAAACTTTAAACAAAACTCTTACTCTTTAAACCCACATATCACAACACGGAACCATCAACACAAAACCATCAACACGGAACCATCAAAGTGACATTCGTGTCTTAATTCGTTCGTATTTAACTTTTAAAGCAATTCGCGGACTACATGTCCGCCATCTTGGTTTGCTTCAGCTGCCGTGAGACGCACAGGTTTGCATTACATCATTAACAGCTGAGGCAGATCATCTCGACGGGCAGACCAACTCCTCCAGTTGTAAGCTGTAGAGTTGCCACAGGACGCGTCATTAGCCTACGTCAGCAGCCGCGGAGGCTGCTATGAAAACATTAGCTTTGTGGTTTCACAGGAGCAGTTGACTGCTTAAACTAAACTTGGCACGAAACTTTGACTCTTAAAACCCACATGTGACAAAACGGGACCATCAACATCTCGCCTCAAATTGCATTAAAAGTGACATGCGTGTCTTAATTCGTTCGTATTTTAACTTTAAAGACATTCACGGTTGGCCATCTTGGTATGCTTTGGCTGCCGTGAGACGCGCATGCGCAGGTTTGCATTACATCATAAACAGCTGAGGCAGTGCATCTCTTCAAGGCAGTGTATCTCGGCGTTACACCGGGACGAATATGGGAGTGACATGTATGTTAGCCTGTCTGTTAGCATGTCTGTTAGCATGTTAGCACATATGTTGGTATGTCTGTTAGCATGTCAGCATGCATGTTAGCATGTCTGTTAGCATGTTAGCATGTCTGTTAGCATGTCAGCATGTCTGTTAGCATGTTAGCTTCTCACCAGCCGCTGCAGGACGTCCTGGTTTACCCCCCGACTCCACCGGGCGCGTTTCCGTTGACGCGCGTTGGCTGCTGTCCGTCAGCCGTCCGTAAAACGGACCAGTGGTCAAACCGGCTGCAGCAGCATGCAACTCTGGCTGTGCGTTTATCAGCCTGCTTTATTTTTGTAGGAGACATGTTTGGGCATTGTGTGAATGAATGAATGTTTGGCTGATGGAGGAGTTATGTATTGTCGGCGTGCATGTGTGCGTGTGCGTGAGAGCGCCCGTGTGTGTGTGTGTGTGTGTGTGTGTGTGGTGGGAGGCGTGTGCGTGCATGTGTGTTTGGGTCTGTGACTGCAGCGTTTATTATGATCCAGCCTCTTCGTTTGTTTTCTACTTATTTAGCGCATGATACACTTTTATCGGAGCCAACTCGCCTCTCTGCGGCTTTAGGCAACAGGCAGAGCTATAGTTTTAAATAGAAGAAGCGGTGTGTTGAATGAGCTGTGGCTATGATCAGTGCAAAGCACAGCATATTGAAGCATTGAGGACGTCGCGATGGATGAGGCAAAACTTATTGAAAGCAATTGGAAAAAGGGGAGAGAGCAGTGGCGGCCGGCCAATAGAGGGCGCTAGGGCGCCGCCCCACCACTCACAACTTGCCATGTTACCTTGAATAAAACGTTAAAAAAAATAATAACATTAAAATATTTCGAAATGTATGTGTGTTTTATTTCAGATGTGGAAGAAATACTTTATAGTTTATGCTGAGTTGGATTGATTAAGCTCATCAGCGCTGTCTGTGTCGGACTGAGGACGTATTTCCGCCTCAGGGCGCAAAAGATTGCGCCCTGAGCCGTCTATGGACTCTCGTTAAAAGTTGTACATGCGCAGTAGCTCCTCTTCAATGCAAGAGATAAGACGATTTGGGGGCGCAGGAGAAGTGCGCCCTGAGGGGGCGGGATCGCCCGCGACCTGTACTGTCACTGTCTGTGACGTCCGTTTACAGTGATTGACAGGTCAAGCTGTGGGAGTTTGAGACGAACGTAAACAGGCGCAACATGGAGAACGAAAAAAAGAATAATTCAGTTAGATCACTCAAAACAATACCGTTTGAGAGAAGATCATACCAGGAGAAGGTTGAGGTTAAAGAGCTTGGACCTGATCAGCCAAATATTACCATTAGTCAGCAGTCCAGCGACAGGGGGAGACGGTACACTCGTACTTTTTCCAGGACCTGGTTCAGCGCCAAATCTTGGCTTGCAGCATGTAGCGAGGCTAATGCTTTATTTTGCTTTCCATGCCTCTTGTTTCAAACATCAGGATCTGACCCAGCATGGATCAAGACAGGTATGACTGATCTGAAGCACTTTTTAGAAAAGGCAAAGAAGCATGAGCAGACTGGTATCCACATGCAAAATGCCCTCAAATTAGCTATGTTTGGGAAGATAAATATTTCATCCCAGCTGGATGAAAGCTACAGGGTAGGGATCAGAAAGCACAATGAGGAGGTTGACAAGAATAGGCACATCCTATCAAAAATAATAGACTGTGTCAAATTCTGTGGTGCATTTATATCTAGTCATCATATTCATAGCCCCCCCAGTAGAAAATTCCACCAGCCGCCACTGGGAGAGAGAAAAGAACTCCAACATATCCAGTGTTGTGAGATCTGTCTCTCATAAGTGCAGCTCTGTGTGTGTGTGTGTCTGTCTGTCTGTCTGTCTGTCTGTCTGTCTGTCTGGGAGCGCGCGGCGGTGAGGAGAGAGCGCCTCGGAGGTAGACGGGACAGAAGAGCGAGGTTTATGTAAAGATTAACATTACGCGAAAAATAAATGGTAGATTTACGATCAGGAAACAATTATTTAAATTAATACATGAAAAACATTACACACGTTTGTTAATAATCATTGTCATTAACAAATACTTATAACCAAGGACTACAGCATATATCAATACATGTTTAACAATGTTGTAAATATATTATTCCATTGCATTTTCAATGGAAAACGGACCCGACACGCGTCGACGGACGGAACAAATAGGATTGTTTCTATTTCGTCCGTCCACGTCTTTTGCACCCTCCGTTGACGGAATAGGTCCGACGTGCGTTGGACGGACGCATGCGGAGGCAGTGGAGCCACTTCCATTCACTCTCATGGAGATAACGGAGACGGAGATGAAACGGACATGTTTGGACGGATCCGTCGTCCGTTTTACGCGCCCGGTGGAGTCGGGGCCTTAAAGTTGCTGCGTCACAGAAGTGTTTGGTGTACCACACCAGAGGAGACGAGCAGTTCTGCAGCCGATAGAGGGCGCTGGAGAGCTCCTGTGCACCCTGCAACAGCCAATCAGAGTTAGCCCCGCCCCTCATTGTAAGCCCCGCCCTCACAGTTAGCCCCGCCCCCTCACCTGCTCGGGCAGAATCAGTGGCTCTGAGCACGAGTCTAGACGGAAACCCTGAAACACAAACACAGCGCCCCCTGTGGTCAGTGTGAGTACTGCCCCCTGTGTTCTGAAACCATGTGTTGTAAACATGGTGTGATGGATAACGTGGCTGTACTGTGGGTATTCTGCCCCGAGGCAGCTGTGGCTCGGTTAGAAAAGGTGACGAGACTTCTCTGCTGTAAATACGTTTCCCACAGTTTTATACTGGTTAGTCCTGGTTCAGCTTGGTTAGTCCTGGTTCAGCCTGGTTAGTCCTGGTTCAGTCTGGTTAGTCCTGGTTCAGCCCGGTTCAGCCTGGTTAGTCCTGGTTCAGCCTGGTTAGTCCTAGTTTGTCCTGGTTCAGCCTGGTTAGTCCTGGTTAGTCTTGGTTAAGCCTGGTTCAGCCTGGTTTGTCCTGGTTCAGCCTGGTTCAGCCTGGTACCTTTTCGCTCATGTCTTCCTTCACTTTGAGCAGAACTTCCCTCAGATTCTCCACGTCTCTTTGGCCTCCATAGTTATTCTGCAGTGTCGCCAAAACAACTAGCTCCGCCCCCAGCAGCAGCAGAAGACTCCAAGACCCACAATGCACTGCACCCAGAGGTCACACACTCAGTTAATGAGGAGGACCCCACAGAGGGAGGAGGAGGAGCAGCCCACAGAGAGAGGAGGACCTCACAGAGAGGAGAAGGACCTCACAGAGAGGAGGAGGACCCCACAGAGAGGAGGAGGACCCCACAGAGAGGAGGAGGGCCTCACAGAGAGGAGGAGGGCCTCACAGAGAGGAGGAGGGCCTCACAGAGAGGAGGCGGGCCTCACAGAGAGGAGGAGGACCTCACAGAGAGGAGGAGGACCCCACAGAGAGGAGGGCCTCACAGAGAGGAGGAGGACCCCACAGAGAGGAGGGCCTCACAGAGAGGAGGAGGACCCCACAGAGAGGAGGGCCTCACAGAGAGGAGGAGGACCTCACAGAGAGGAGGAGGACCCCACAGAGAGGAGGGCCTCACAGAGAGGAGGAGGACCTCACAGCGGGTCAGTGAGTATTTTGAGAACCATGGGAGGTTGATAACAAACTCTCAGTGTTTATTGACACTTTTGTAAATTGGAACAACCTGAGTGAGGAGGTGAACGAGGAGGTGAGTGAGGAGGTGAGTGAGTGAGGAGGAGGTGAGTGAGGAGGTGAGTGATGGGAGTGATGAGGTGAGTATATTTGCAAAAATTAATATAGTAACTATAGTAAGGGTCAAAAGTCAGACTCACAAATAAGAATAAAGGAGACTTACTGTTAGAGGCAGTAGTAGTAGTAGTAGCAGTAGTAGTAACAGTAACAGTAGTAGTAGTAGCAGTAGTAGTAACAGTAGTAGTAGCAGTAGTAGTAGCAGTAGTCGCAGTAGTAGTAGTAGTAGCAGTAGTAGTAGCAGTAGTAGTAGTAGTAGTAACAGTAGCAGTATGTGTTCATATTTATACTGACAGATTTCTGTCTTTCGTAGAATTCTCTCAGAGGAAGTTTGACAGAATCAGGATGAATCCTGAGTCCGTCATTGCATCACATCTGTGTCACCGCTTATGCTGCTGCTGCGGAGGAGGTGCTGCTACTTCTGAGGAGGTGCTGCTGCTGCTGAGGAGGCCCTACTGCTGAGGAGGCTCTACTGCTGAGGAGGCTCTACTGCTGAGGCGGTGCTGCTACTTCTGAGGAGGTGCTGCTGCTGCTGAGGAGGCTCTACTGCTGAGGAGGCTCTACCTGAGGAAGTGCAGCAGGTGGGGGCAGGAGGCTCTTCTTGAGGAGGTGCAGCAGGTGGGGGCAGGAGGCTCTTCTTGAGGAGGTGCAGCAGGTGGGGGCAGGAGGCTCCTCTTGAGGAGGTGCAGCAGGTGGGGGCAGGAGGCTCTACCTGAGGAGGTGCAGCAGGTGGGGACAGGAGGCTCTTCTTGAGGAGGTGCAGCTCCTGCAGGGCACTCTGCTCTGGAGAGCAGCTGCAGTGACAGACTGAGCCACCCTCTGAGTGAAGGGTCTCTCCTTCCATCCTGTAGCTGTCAGACTGTACAACGAGAGCTGTCCTTGCGTGTGCACTGCGACCATAGACTGTATAACAGACGTAGTCAGGCCTCTCTCCGCCGGGAAAACTAATGTGCCAAACATTGGGCTCTACTGGAGGGATTCAAAATGGCTGCGGGGGCTGGAAAATGTGAAAAAACGCATCTGCACATGCGTCAGCTGCACGAGCTCCATTCATTTAAACGAGTGACTTCTAAAGTCCACAGCGACTAAACTAGACTGGTCCAGAACACTCAGCATTGACACACATGTGGAACGGAGCTTTGGGCCAAGAGCCACTTTTGGACCATCCTGTAAAGACGTTTTCCAGAGGTAAGAAGATGCTATATGTTAGCATTGGCTTCAACAGATTCTGTGAACCCTCAGCAACTCCCCGAGACTTCTGGGAAAAGACCAGTGACCGCAAGACCTGCTCCAGATCTGGTCCAGACCTGGTCCAGACCTGCTCCAGATCTGGTCCAGACCTGCTCCAGATCTGGTCCAGACCTGGGTTTTTCAGCAGAATTCACTCATATTATTCTTGACATAGTTTGAGTTTTATTCAAAAGAATTTGCTGAGAACAGATCCTGTGACTCAACTTCCTGTGTGTGTGTGTGTCTCTGTCTTTGTGTGTGTCTCTGTTTGTATGTGTGTGTTTCTGTCTGTGTGTGTGTCTCTGTTTGAATGTGTGTGTTTCTGTCTGTGTGTGTGCGTGTCTCTGTCTGTCTGTATGTGTGTGTGCCTCAGTCCTGGGTCTACAGCCTCAGTCCTGGATCTACAGCCTCGGTCCTGGATCTACAGCCTCGGTCCTGGGTCTACAGCCTCGGTCCTGGGTTTACAGCCTCAGTCCTGGGTCTACAGCCTCAGTCCTGGGTCTACAGTCCCAGTTGTTAGTAAATAATGAAATCAGGACTGAAACAACAGTTTGTGAAAAGATCTTTATAAAATAACAGTTAAAATCAATGACATAATGTTTCCTGGTGCAGTACTCGCTGTGGCCACAGAGGGCGCTGTCCAGAGGCTCTATGGTTCATACTTCCCAGTTCCGTAGACTCCGGGCCGAAACTCCGCCCCCTGCTGGCTGCTGGAGCGTCGTCATGGCAACAGTTTGAGTATTCTATTTACACTGAGACGCCCCCTGCTGGTGGACTGTGGGAGTGTTCTCTGGGGGTACAGGTCCTGGCTCAGTCCTGGTTCAGTCCTGGCTCAGTCCTAGTTCAGACCTTAATGTGCATCAGGACTTGTTTTCGATGGGTCTGGAAATCCTCCGGAACTGTGTCTGAAAAACAGAATCAAAGAGAAGACACATGTCACATGGTGCATCACATGGTTGTCACATGGTGCGTCACATGGTGTGCCACATCGTTGTCACATGGTTGTCATATGGTGCTTCACATGGTTGACACATGGTTCGTCACAATGTTGTCACATGGTTGTCACATGGTGCATACCATGTCCTGTCACATGGTGTATCACATTGTTGTCACATGGTTGACACATGGTGCGTCCCATGGTTGTCACATGGTTGTAACATGATGTGTCACATGGTTGTTACATAGTGCGTCACATGGTGCATCACATGGTCTGTCACATGGTGTATCAGATTGTTGTCGCATGGTGTGTCACATGGTTGTAACATGATGTGTCACATGGTCTGTCACATAGTGTCACAATGTGTGTCACATGGTGTGTCACAATGTGCGTCACATGGTGTGTCACATGGTTGTCACATGGTGTTTTGCATGGTACCGTTGCAGCGGTAGCGCAGATTGGACCAGATGATGTTTTCTTGTGAGAAGCAGAAGACACCGAGTCGACCTCCTCTCATCGAGGAGTCCAGGAGCACGCCACTGTCTGCTACAAGCTCCGCCCCCTCATACAAACGCAGCCTGATGAGACATCAGGAGTCATCAGGAGGAGGAGCAGCAAGAGGAGCAGGAGTCATAAGGAGGAGTAGTAGCAGTAGTAGCAGTAGCAGCAGCAGTAGAAGCAGCAGCAGCAGTAGCAGTAGCAGCAGCAGCAGTAGCAGTAGTAGTAGCAGCAGTAGTAGTAGTAGCAGCAGCAGTAGAAGCAGTAGCAGCAGCAGCAGCAGTAGCAGCAGTAGAAGCAGCAGCAGTAGAAGAAGCAGCAGCAGTAGCAGTAGCAGCAGCAGTATTAGTAGCAGCAGTAGTAGTAGTAGCAGCAGCAGTAGAAGCAGTAGCAGCAGCAGCAGTAGAAGCAGCAGCAGTAGAAGAAGCAGCAGCAGTAGCAGTAGCAGCAGCAGTAGTAGCAGCAGTAGTAGTAGTAGCAGCAGCAGCAGTAGCAGTAGCAGCAGCAGTAGCAGCAGCAGTAGAAGCAGCAGCAGCAGCAGTAGCAGCAGCAGTAGCAGTACCTGATGTATCCGACTTGTGGCCTGTGGCTGAGGTTCCACCTGTAGGAGGTCCGGTCTCTCCAGCCCTGGTTCCGTGGGTCTCTCCACAGCAGCTTCACTTGACCCGCTGTGTCGCCCGTGTGCCACAGAGCGTTCCTCAGGTACTCACCTGGTCCTGTGTCCGACTTCACCGCCTGGAACCCGAGAGTGTGTACAAAAATGAGAGCGCAAAATGTTGGAGCAAAAACACCAAATAATGTGTGTAGCATTAACTTGCAAGCAATATTGAACACACACAGATGTGTCTGGTCTCTCTCTCTGGTCTCTCTCTGGTCTCTCTCTCTGGTCTCTCTCTGGTCTCTCTCTGGTCTCTCTCTCTGGTCTCTCTCTCTGGTCTCTCTCTGGTCTCTCTCTCTGGTCTCTCTCTGGTCTCTCTCTCTGGTCTCTCTCTCTGGTCTCTCTCTCTGGTCTCTCTCTGGTCTCTCTCTGGTCTCTCTCTCTGGTCTCTCTCTGGTCTCTCTCTCTGGTCTCTCTCTGGTCTCTCTCTCTCTGGTCTCTCTCTGGTTTCTCTCTCTGGTTTCTCTCTCTGGTCTCTCTCTATGGTCTCATTCAGCATTACCCTATTAGCTTCACCTTTAGCTGTAGCGCGGGCTCTGCGTTAGCTCGGAACGGCACGCTTTGCCAGTACGTCTGCTCCGTCTGTTTCCACATGACAACGTAGAAGGAGGCGGAGTCTTGGTATCCGAAGATGAAGCCGGCGTAGTCATCGTCCGTCACCGTGTTGACGTGGAACGTGCCCTCAAAGTCCACGCCGTTAAACGCTGTGTATCCTGCAGCACACACAGTTAGCTTTAGCTTGTCACACGCAGCTAGCTTTATCCTGTCACACACCGCTACTTTTTTCTCCTGTGGCCTAAACACCAGCTAAATATTGGCTGATTTTATAACACCTGTGCGAATGTGTACTAGCCTTTAGCCGTTAGCATCATGACACAACAACTCCATGGGCGGCCATCTTGGAGCCGGACATAAAACACGACATAACGATGTTCTCACCGACAGCGAGTCCTGGGTCACTGTTCATGGTCTGAACGATCTCCATCCCCTGGAACACACAAGACTGGGTAGACCTGGTCCAGACCTGGTTTAGACTTGGTTCTGTCCTGGTTCAGTCCTGGTTCCGTCCTGGTCCTGTCCTGGTTCTGTCCTGGTTCAGTCCTGGTTCAGCCCTGGTTCTGTCCTGGTCCAGTCCTGGTCAGTCCTGGTTCAGTCCTGGTTCAGACCTGGTTCAGGACCACCCAGTTGGGGTCTATCTGTGCGTCCCCCTCTGGGTCCAGGACCACAGTTTGAAACGCTCTGAAGTCGGTGAGAGTGACCTCAGCGTTCTCAGGACACGCGTCCAGGAAGTCCAGGACCGAGTCGTTGTCAAAGTCCAGCTCACAGACATCACCCACGCCGTCCACTGGGGGGAGACAGAGACAGAGAGACATGAGGCAGAGACAGAGAGAGAGAGGCAGAGACAGAGACCAGAGGTAGTCCTGGTCCCTGTGGGGGTTCTTACGGTCCTGGTCCCTCTGCTGGGGGGTTGTTACGGTCCTGGTCCTTGTGGGGGTTCTTACGGTCCTAGTCTCTCTGCTGGGGGGTTGTTAGGGTCCTTGTCTCTCTGCTTGCTGGGGGGTTGTTACGGTCCTTGTCCGTGTGGGGGTTCTTACAGTCCTGGTCCCTCTGCTGGGGGGTTGTTACGGTCCTGGTCCCTGTGGGGGTTCTTACAGTCCTGGTCCCTCTGTTGGGGGGTTGTTGCGGTCCTGGTCCCTGTGGGGGTTCTTACGGTCCTGGTCCCTCTGTTGGGGGGTTGTTACGGTCCTGGTCCCTGTGGGGGTTCTTACGGTCCTGATCCCTCTGCTGGGGGTTGGGGATGAGGCGGCAGTTGTCCTGATCGTCCAGAACGCCGTCGTTGTCGTCGTCATGGTCACAGTCGTCTCCGAGGCCGTCGTTGTCCGAGTCCAGCTGCGCCGCGTTTGCGATGTCCGGGCAGTTATCCCGAGAGTCCTGCAGCCCGTCCCCGTCCCTGCGCAGAGGCAGCTTTAATCTGAGTCTGAGGCAGCTCTAATCTGAGTCTGAGGCAGCTCTAATCTCTCTCTGAGGCAGTTCTAATCCGAGTCTGAGGCAGTTCTAATCCGAGTCTGAGGCAGCTCTAATCCGAGTCTGAGGCAGCTCTATTCCGAGTCTGAGGCAACTCTAATGCAGCTCTAATCAGAGTCTGAGGCAGCTCTAATCTGAGTCTGGGGCAGCTCTAAGGCAGCTCTAATCTGAGTCTGAGGCAGCTCTAATCCGAGTCTGAGGCAGCTCTAATCAGAGTCTGAGGCAACTCTAAAGCAGTTCTAATCTAAGTCTGAGGCAGCTCTAATCTGAGTCTGAGGCGAGCTGCCTCAGACAGATTATAGGACATGCATGATGATAAGACAGCTCCAAGGCAGCTTTAATCTGAGTATAAAGCCTAGTGTATACTCGCGCGGAGCTTACGGAGGTGACGCGACGTCACTTGCGCAACGCGTTGGTCACCGCAAGGCCCTTACGTTGCCTGCCGCGCAGCATCGAAATGTTCTAACTACGTAAGGGTCGCCGCAAGGAAGCTCCGCTGTGATTGGTCCGTGTGTGTGTATTGGAAGGAAGCACGGAGCGGCTGCAGCAGGGACATGGACGAGGCACTATGGAGCAGAGAGCTTTGTGCTTCGAAGGAAAAGCAGTTTGGGCTCAGAGCCTGATACAGGAGACTGTGGACTATCTAACATATATATAACTTATATCTAACATATATATAACTTATATCTAACATATATATAACTTATATCTAACATATATATAACTTATATCTAACATATGTATAACTTATATCTAACATATATATAACTTATATCTAACATATGTATAACTTATATCTAACATATATATAACTTATATCTAACATATGTATAACTTATATCTAACATATGTATAACTTATATCTAACATATATATAACATATATACTGTATAACTTATATATAACTTATATCAGTTATATATATAACTTATATCGCTCCTGTGGACTCACCACCTGCAGGAGGATCAGTGAGGGGCTGGTGCTCTGTGAACTGGGTGCAGCTCTGACTGCCACCCCCCCGACCCAGAAATCTGATTAAGGGGAAGAAAATGGATGGATGGATGGATATAACTTATATCTAACATATATATATAACTTATATCTAACATATATATAACTTATATCTAACATATATATAACTTATATATAACATATATATAACTTAAGTTATATATATGTTATATATATCTAACATATATATAACTTATATCTAACATATATATAACTTATATCTAACATATATATATATCCATCCATCCATTTTCTTCCGCTTTATCCGTTGTCGGGTCGCGGGGGCAGCAGTCTAAGCAGAGACGCCCAGACTTCCCTATCCACACACACTTCCTCCAGCTCGTCCGGGGGGACCCCAAGGCGTTCCCAGGCCAGCTGAGAGACATAGTCCCTCCAGCGTGTCCTAGGTCTTCCGCGGGGCCTCCTCTCGGTGGGACGTGCCCGGAACACCTCCCCAGGGAGGCGTCCAGGAGGCATCCGGAACAGATGCCCGAGCCACCTCAACTGGTCCACCTCAACCTCTCGACGTGGAGAAGCAGCGGCTCTACTCCGAGCTCCTCCCGTGTGACTGAGCTCCTCACCCTATCTCTAAGGGAGCGCCCAGCCACTCTGCGGAGGAAGCTCATTTCGGCCGCTTGTATCCGCGATCTCGTTCTTTCGGTCATTACCCAAAGTTCATGACCATAGGTGAGGGAGGGAACGAAGATTGACCGGTAAATTGAGAGCTTTGCCTTTCGGCTCAGCTCCCTCTTCACCACAACGGTCCGATACAGCGACCGCATCACTGCGCACGCTGCACCGATCCGCCTGTCAATCTCACGCTCCATTCTTCCCTCACTCGTGAACAAGACCCCGAGATACTTGAACTCCTCCACTTGAGGAAGGGCCTCTCCACCCACCTGCAGAGGGCAAGGCACCTTTTTCCGGTCGAGCACCATGGCCTCGGATTTGGAGATGCTGATTCTCATCCCAGCCGCTTCACACTCGGCTGCAAACCGCCCCAGTGCATGCTGCAGGTCCTGGTTCGTTGGAGCCAACAGGACAACATCGTCCGCAAACAGCAGAGATGAAATCCTGTGGTCTCCGAACCGGACCCCCTCCGACCCCTGGCTGCGCCTAGATATTCTGTCCATAAATACAGTGAACAGAACCGGTGACAAAGGGCAGCCCTGTCGGAGGCCAACATTCACCGGGAACAGGTCTGACTTACTGCCGGCAATGCGAACACAGCTCTGGCTCCGGTCATACAGGGATCGGATGGCCCTCAGCAGAGGACCCCCGACCCCGTACTCCCGGAGAACCCCCCAAAGGACACCCCGGGGAACACAGTCGAACGCCTTCTCCAAATCCACAAAACACATGTGGACAGGTTGGGCGAACTCCCATGAACCCTCGAGTATCCGATGGAGAGTATAGAGCTGGTCCAGTGTTCCGCGACCGGGACGAAAACCACACTGCTCCTCCTGGATCCGAGATTCGACCATCGGCCGTAACCTCCTCTCCAGTACCCTGGAGTAGACCTTACCGGGGAGGCTGAGGAGTGTGATCCCACGATAATTGGAACACACCCTCCGGTCCCCCTTCTTGTAGAGAGGGACCACCACCCCGGTCTGCCACTCCATTGGCACTGCCCCCGATCGCCACGCGATGTTGCAGAGACGTGTCAGCCAAGACAGTCCTACAACATCCAGAGACTTTAGATAATCAGGGCGGATCTCATCCACACCCGGAGCCTTGCCACCATGGAGGCTACCAACCACCTTGGTGACCTCAGCCAGGGAGATGGATGTATCCGCCCCAACATCCTCAGCCTCTGCCTCTGTAACAGAGGACGTGACGGGGGGATTGAGGAGAACCTCAAAGTATTCCTTCCACCGCCCGACAATATCCCCAGTCGAGGTCAGCAGCTCTCCACCCGCACCGTACATGGTGTTGGCAAAGAACTGCTTCCCCCTCCTGAGGCGCCGGATGGTTTGCCAGAATCTCTTCGAGGCCGACCGATAGTCATGCTCCATGGACTCTCCGAACTCCTCCCAGTCCCGGGTTTTTGCCTCTGCAACAGCCCGGGCCGCGGCACGCTTGGCCTGCCGGTACTGGACAGCTGCCTCAGGAATCCCCCGAACCATCATGGCTCGATAGGACTCCTTCTTCAGCCTGACAGCATCCCTTACTGCCGGTGTCCACCACCGGGTTCGGGGGTTGCCGCCGGGACCAGCACCAGAGACCTTGTGACCACAGCTACGAGCCGCCGCATCGGCGATTGAGGCAGAGAACATGGTCCACTCGGACTCCATGTCCCCCTCCTCCGCCGGGACCTGGGAGAAACTCTCCCGGAGGTGCGAGTTGAAAGTCCGTCTGACAGGGGGCTCAGCGAGACGTTCCCAGCAGACCCTCACTATACGCTTGGGTCTGCCAGGTCTGACCGGCTTCTTCCCCTGCCAGCGGATCCAACTCACGACCAGGTGATGATCGGTTGACAGCTCCGCCCCTCTCTTTACCAGAGTGTCCGAGACACGCGGCCGAAGGTCAGATGATACGACAACAAAGTCGATCATCGACCTCCGGCCTAGGGTGTCCTGGTGCCACGTGCACTGGTGGACACCCTTGTGCTCGAACATGGTGTTCGTGATGGACAAACTGTGACTGGCACAGAAGTCCAACAACTGAACACCGCTCGGGTTCAGATCAGGGGGGCCGTTCTTTCCGATCACCCCTCTCCAAGTGTCACTGGCGACTCCCACATGGGCGTTGAAGTCCCCCAGGAGAATAACGGAGTCCCCGGGCGGTGCACCGTCCAGTACCCCTCCCAAGGACTCCAAGAAGGCCGGGTACTCTGCACTGCTGTTAGGCCCGTAGGCCGTCACAACAATGAGAGACTTGTCCCCCACCCGGAGGCGGAGGGACGCGACCCTCTCATTCACCGGGGAGAACTCCAACACATGGCGGCTGAGATGGGGGGCAATGAGAATGGCCACACCAGCTCGCCGCCTCTCCCCGCGGGAAACTCCAGAAAAGTGGAGCATCCAACCCCTCTCAAGGAGTTGGGTTCCAGAGCCCAAGCTGTGTGTGGAGGTGAGGCCGACTATCTCTAGTCGGTATCGCTCAACCTCCCCCACGAGCTCGGGCTCCTTCCCCCCCAGTGAGGTGACGTTCCACGTCCCAAGAGCCAGATGTTGTGTGTGCATATATATATATGTCTCAGATATTTACCACTATTATTGTTTTGCTGTTTGTACTGAAAACTATTTAATAATAACTATGTTTCCAACAAGAACTGTGTCTTTATTCACAGCATCACAGTTGAAATGACTTATAAAATAATGAATCCATAAAACTATCACATAAACCCACAGTAGAAACACGTGTAATGAGCTCAAACAGCTTTGTTTGCTATTGTTGTTCTGAAGAGGACAAAGTAGCAGCGTAAATGGGACCGCTCCTGTGTGATCGCCCTCATGTGGTTTGTTGTGGGATTACAACATTCTCCTCAAAACTCCGTAAGGGGAACGCGCCAGTATAACATCAATTGTGCTTACGTAGGTCCACCGCAACCGCTAACGTAAGCCACGCCGCGCAAGTATACAATAGGCTTTAGACAGCTCTAAGGCAGGTCTAATCTGAGTCTGAGGCAGCTCTAATCCGAGTCTGAGGCAGCTCTAAGGCAGCTCTAATCTGAGTCTGAGGCAGCTCTAATCCTTACGTGTCCTGGTTGGTGTCACAGGCGTCTCCGACCAGATCGTTGTCCACATCGTTCTGAAACAAACAGATTTAAGATCAATTTCTACAGATCTTCACCGGTCTCCCTCTGGTCTCTCTCTGGTCTCTCTCTGGTCTCTCTCTGGTCTCTCTCTGGTCTCTCTCTGGTCTCTCCCTGATCTCCCTCTGGTCTCCCTCTGGTCTCCCTCTGGTCTCTCTCTGGTCTCTCTCTGGTCTCTCTCTGGTCTCTCTCTGGTCTCTCTCTGGTCTCTCTCTGGTCTCTCTCTGGTCTCCCTCTGGTCTCCCTCTGGTCTCTCTCTGGTCTCTCTCTGGTCTCTCCCTGATCTCCCTCTGGTCTCCCTCTGGTCTCTCTCTGGTCTCCCTCTGGTCTCTCTCTGGCCTCTCTCTGGTCTCTCTCTGGTCTCTCTCTGGTCTCCCTTTGGTCTCTCTCTGGTCTCCCTCTGGTCTCCCTCAGGTCTCCCTCTGGTCTCCCTCACCTGCATGGGGTCACTGGCCTCAGGACAGCTGTCACATGCGTCTCCGACTCCGTCTCGGTCGCGGTCCGTCTGCATCGGGTTTGGAACCTTCGGGCAGTTATCCAGAACGTTAGGGATCCCTGAAAACATATGACCGGACTGAACCGGGTCTGCGCCAGGACTGGACCAAGTCTGCGCCAGGACCGCGCCAGGACCAGGTCTGCGCAGGACTGAAACACTATTACTTTTAAATTTACATAAAATGTATTTTATTCAATATCCAGATTGCTAACGTTAGCATGTGAACCAGACTGCTAACGTTAGCATGGTAACCAGACTGCAAACGTTAGCATGTGAACCAGACTGCTAACGTTAGCATGTGAACCAGACTGCTAACGTTAGCATGTGAATCAGACTGCTAACATTAGCATGTGAACCAGACTGCTAACGTTAGCATGTGAATCAGACTGAAAACGTTAGCATGTGAACCAGACTGAAAACGTTAGCATGTGAACCAGACTCCAAACGTTAGCATGTGAACCAGACTGCTAACGTTAGCATGTGAACCAGACTGCTGACGTTAGCATGTGAACACCCTGTTCTTGCTGAACAGTGTTGGTGGCGTTGCCGTGGTGTTGGTGGCGTTGCCGTGGTGTCGGTTGCGTTGCTGTGGTTACCGTCCCCGTCCGTGTCCTGGTCGCAGGCGTCCCCCTGGCCGTTGTTGTCCGTGTCTCTCTGACTCGAGTTGGGGACAGTGGGACAGTTGTCGCAGGCGTCTCCGAACGAGTCCGAGTCTGAGTTCTGCTGGTCTTTGTTCGGGACCAGGCGGCAGTTATCCTGAGGACACAAAGGGACCAGGACTAGGATTAGGATTTGAACTATGACTGGGATTAGGACCGGGATTAAGATTAGGACTAGAGCCAGGATTAGGACTAGGGCCAGGATTAGGACTAGGGCCGGGATTAGAACAAAGAGTAGAACTGGGATTAGGATTTGAACCAGGAATAGGATTAGGACTGGGATTAGGATCAAGATTAAGATTAGGACTGGGACTAGGATTTAGATTAGAACTAGGACTGGGTCCTGGTCTAACCTCCACGTTCTTGATCCCGTCTCCGTCCGCGTCCTCGTCGCACTGGTCTCCGATCCCGTCTCCGTCTGCGTCTTCCTGACCGCTGTTCGGAGTCCGCACACAGTTATCCTGCAACACAGCACCTCCTCCTGTCACAGCACCTCCTCCTGTCACAGCACCTCCTCCTGTCACTGCACCTCCTCCTGTCACTGCACCTCCTCCTGTCACTGCACCTCCTCCTGACACTGCACCTCCTCCTGACACTGCACCTCCTCCTGTCACTGCACCTCCTCCTGACACTGCACCTCCTCCTGTCACTGCACCTCCTCCTGTCACTGCACCTCCTCCTGTCACTGCACCTCCTTCTGTCACTGCACCTCCTCCTGACACTCCACCTCTTCCTGACATAGCACCTGCTCCTGTCACAGCACCTCCTCCTGACACTGCACCTCCTCCTGTCACTGCACCTCCTCCTGTCACTGCACCTCCTCCTGTCACTGCACCTCCTCCTGTCACTGCACCTCCTCCTGTCACGGCACCTCCTCCTGTCACGGCACCTCCTCTGTGACTGCACCTCCTCCTGACACTGCACCTCCTCCGTCACTGCAATAGCACCTCCTCCTGTCACATCACATCCAGCTGTCACTGCACCTCCTCCGTCACTGCACCTCCTCCTGTCACTGCACCTCCTCCTGTCCCTGCACCTCCTCCTGACACTGCCCCTCCTCCTGACACTGCACCTCCTCCTGACACTGCACCTCCTCCTGACAATGTACCTCCTCCTGTCACTGCACCTCCTCTTGTCACTGCACCTCCTTCTGTCAATGCACCTCCTCCTGACATAGCACCTGCTCCTGTCACAGCTCCTCCTCCTGTCACTGCACCTCCTCTTGTCACTGCACCTCCTCCTGACATAGCACCTGCTCCTGTCACAGCTCCTCCTCCTGTCACTGCACCTCCTCTTGTCACTGCACCTCCTCCTGACATAGCACCTCCTCCTGACATAGCACCTCCTCCTGACACAGCACCTCCTCCTGACACTGCACCTCCTCCTGTCACTGCAACTCCTCCTGTCACTGCAACTCCTCCTGCACCTCCTCCTGACATAGCACCTCCTTGTCACTGCACCTCCTCCTGACACTGCACCTCCTCCTGTTACTGCAACTCCTCCTGCACCTCCTCCTGACACTGCACCTCCTCCTGACACTGCCCCTCCTCCTGACACTGCACCTCCTCCTGTCACTGCACCTCCTCCTGTCACTGCAACTCCTCCTGCACCTCCTCCTGACATAGCACCTCCTCCTGACACTGCAACTCCTCCTGCACCTCCTTCTGTCACTGCACCTCCTCCTGACACTCCACCTCCTCCTGACATAGCACCTGCTCCTGTCACAGCTCCTCCTCTTGTCCCTGCACCTCCTCCTGACACTCCACCTCCTCCTGACATAGCACCTCCTCCTGACACTGCACCTCCTCCTGTCACTGCACCTCCTCCTGACATAGCACCTCCTCTTGTCACTGCACCTCCTCCTGACATTGCAACTCCTCCTGCACCTCCTTCTGTCACTGCACCTCCTCCTGACATAGCACCTGCTCCTGTCACAGCTCCTCCTCTTGTCACTGCACCTCCTCCTGACACTCCACCTCCTCCTGACATAGCACCTCCTCCTGACACTGCACCTCCTCCTGTCACTGCAACTCCTCCTGCACCTCCTCCTGACATAGCACCTCCTCTTGTCACTGCACCTCCTCCTGACAGTGCACCTCCTCCTGTCACTGCAACTCCTCCTGCACCTCCTCCTGTCCTTGCACCTCCTCCTGTCCCTGCAACTCCTCCTGCACCTCCTCCTGACACTGCACCTCCTCCTGTCACTGCAACTCCTCCTGCACCTCCTCCTGTTCCTGCACCTCCTCCTGACACTGCACCTCCTCCTGACACTGCACCTCCTCCTGACACTGCACCTCCTCCTGACATAGCACCTCCTCTTGTCACTGCACCTCCTCCTGACACTGCAACTCCTCCTGCACCTCCTTCTGTCACTGCACCTCCTCCTGACATAGCACCTGCTCCTGTCACAGCTCCTCCTCTTGTCACTGCACCTCCTCCTGACACTCCACCTCCTCCTGACATAGCACCTCCTCCTGACACTGCACCTCCTCCTGACACTGCACCTCCTCCTGACACTGCACCTCCTCCTGACACTGCACCTCCTCCTGACACTGCACCTCCTCCTGTCACTGCAACTCCTCCTGCACCTCCTCCTGACATAGCACCTGCTCTTGTCACTGCACCTTCTCCTGCACCTCCTCCTGACACTGCACCTCCTCCGACACTGCACCTCCTCCGACACTGCACCTCCTCCGTCACTGCACCTCCTCCTGTCACTGCAACTCCTCCTGCACCTCTTCCTGACATAGCACCTCCTCTTATCACTGCATCTCCTCCTGACAGTGCACCTCCTCCTGTCACTGCAACTCCTCCTGCACCTCCTCCTGTCCCTGCACCTCCTCCTGTCCCTGCAACTCCTCCTGCACCTCCTCCTGACACTGCACCTCCTCCTGTCACTGCAACTCCTCCTGCACCTCCTCCTGTCCCTGCACCTCCTCCTGACACTGCACCTCCTCCTGACATAGCACCTCCTCTTGTCACTGCAACTCCTCCTGACACTGCACCTCCTCCTGACACTCCACCTCCTCCTGACACTGCACCTCCTCCTGACATAGCACCTCCTCCTGACATAGCACCTCCTCTTGTCACTGCAACTCCTCCTGACACTGCACCTCCTCCTGTCACTGCAACTCCTCCTGCACCTCTTCCTGTCACTGCACCGCCCTAATGTAAGCTCCGCCCACAACAAAGTTTTGGGTTACCATGGAGACCGGCTGCCCTCTGATTGGCTCACCTGACGGCAGTGGCGGTCGGTGTCCTGACACGGGAGCGAGCGGTCGGGGAAACCATCGATGTCCGAGTCCTGACCACAGGTGTTTCCGTTACCTGCCCACCCCACGTTACACTGAGGAGAGAGGAGACACTGAGCCAAAATGTCTGCCCACGTTACACTGAGGAGAGAGGAGACACTGAGCCAAAATGTCTGCCCACGTTACACTGAGGAGAGAGGAGACACTGAGCCAAAATGTCTGCCCACGTTACACTGAGGAGAGAGGAGACACTGATCCAAAATGTCTGCCCACGTTAGACCATAGACTGTATATATTAACCATGGATCTATTATAATAACTGGATAGGGTATTACAGCTTGTAGCTGAATAACTCATGTGCTCGGGGGATTCTTGCGGTACTGCAGACTAGACCAGACTAAATTCACGTGGGCTACCCAGAAATTTTCTCCATAGAACTGAATGCATATTAAAACAGCTCAACCTCAGCTGACAGAGAACCTGACAGAGAACCTACAGCTTTCATAAAGGTCGGATTTTGTGGGGATTTTAGTGTCCCTTGTCATCCTGAACTTTTTTTCTTCTTAAATCCTTCGGTTTTGTTTAAATCCACACTTTAGTGCCACAAACTCTGCTCGTCTGGCTCTCGCTCTAACTCCCGCTCTGATGAACTGCTCTGATTGGTCAGAGCGCGGCCGAGCCCCTCTGTGCACGTGCGTGAGACCCCGTGTGAGACCCACACACGCGTGTTTGGCGCAATGCATTATGGGAGATCATCCACTGCGCAAAACCGGGAGGACCAGACGATGCCCAAATACAGGCGAGTTTCCCATAGATCTTTGAGAGTTCCAGGCGACTTCCGCTAATCTTTCAGCCCCCATGCCGTCACAAAGCGCCACTGAGCACAACCATTCATTTGAATAGGGCGCCATCTTGGATCGCTGGGGCTTGATATTAACGGACAGAGTCACGACTATCTCCGCCGTTCTAACTAATGGGCCAAAAAATGTGCTCTACTGGAGCTATCCAAAATGGCCGCGAGTGATCCCGCCCACAAGAAAATAGTGAAAAAACACATCTGCGCATGCGTCAGCCGGAGCAGCTCCATTCATTTGAACGAGAGACTTCAAAAACTCACAGCAAGTTGTTATGGCCAGATTCCCGGCACAAGATATTCTAATCATTTAGGTCGATACATGCGTCTTCTTTCCCATGCGTCTGAAACCCGCTTCCCATCACTGTTTGAAACATTAAGACAAAGGCTGCTTGTCCACGGTCCTCTTTCCCATAACCTTCGCCACCACCTGCATGGGCCTATCTCAAATGTTCTTACAGCGTGTTCCTTGTTATCAAATTCGAAGGTCCTTTTCTGCGCTTAATGTATCTCTCTCAAACTTTCCCGTCTGCAGCTGCGTATGACTCATCTCTCTTGTGACGATTGTCCATTGTTCTGTCTGACACACCTCCAGTATAAGATCATAAGACATGTTTGTTGGGGAGAACAGACAGACGCGGCATCGCTCCAGGTCCCGCTTCTGTTTGACTCTTTTCTGCGCAGAAAATGTCATTTTTGTACTCATCACTTCTGTGAATAAAACTGCACCAAAGGACAAGTTTGTTTCCTCTCGGTTTCATTCATTTGAGGCAATAGAATTTCCATAACAATTTGGTGTCAGAAGTGGTCTCGAAGGCTTGACCGTTGAAACGCAGGGGTCCGGATTCGGGGGACTGATCGCCCGGGATTCAAAACCAATCTCGTCGCTTTCCCATATCTCTGGACGGGCGGACTGACCGGACGTGCTGAGTTTCAACCGTCGCCTCTCGGGATTTTCACACGAAAACAAACGGTAACTTGTTTAATATTTGACTTTCTATGCTTCAGTGGTGAATCCGAGAGGCACTTGTGGGTGCAGTGCATGTTTGGCTGCCAGCTGGTGACGGTGCTGCTCATTCTAATCCAGGCTGTTGGGAAAAAATCTAAGTTCGAGTCTTAGTCGGAGGTTAGAGTCCTCCGTTGTGAAAACAGGTTGGAGTCCTGTCAGAAAATCTAAGTTTATTCTTAGTCGGAGGTTAGAGTCCTTCGTTGTGAAGACGGTTAGAGTCCGGTCTAAATCTAAGTTTACTCTTAGTCGGAGGTTAGAGTCCTTCGTTGTGAAGACGGTTAGAGTCCGGTCTAAATCTAAGTTTACTCTTAGTCGGAGGTTAGAGTCCTTCGTTGTGACACGGTTAGAGTCCTGTCTAAAAAATCTAAGTTTAGTCTTAGTCGGGAGGTTCGAGTCCTCTCGTTGTGAAAACAGGTTCGAGTCCTGTCAAAAAATCTAAGTTTAGTCTTAGTCTGGGGTTCGAGTCCTCAGTTGATACTAGATCTGAGTTTGAAGTCTCAGATTCCAGCCATGTGGCTTAGAAGAAAAGGCACAGAGTCACCAGTTTGGGACGCCCCATGCATGACTTTTATGAGTAAGAAACATGGTGATGATTTTAGGGCATGCACTGAAATGTGGGTGGCTGAATTAGGTTTTCCCAAAAATGGCTCCTTCAGCTTGAACCAATTGGAAAAGATTAAATCGCAATTGGATGCTCGAGAAACTGTGTTAAAAAAAGGCAGGTCTGTACGTGTGAAAGATTTGAATTGTCTGGATGAGAACAGACGGTGGCTGAATGCGTGGATGACTGAGGCAAAGCTTAGGGAAAGTAGACAGAAACAATGTATAGGATCTGCGACTGATACTTCTCCATCTGCTTTTTTTTCGAGCATACCACCGATCCCACGTCAATACGACCGTAGGAACTCCACAGATGATTGGACCCCGCTGTACTCCGCTCTCTCACCCCCCCGGTATCAAGCAGCAGCAGCGGCACCTGCAGCAGCGGCACCTGCAGCACCACCAGCAGCAGCAGCAGCGTCAGCTGCCCTCCCTCCGCTGCTCCTCTTGCCTGCCCCAGAGGCTTCTGCATCAGCCCCTCCCCTCCTGTCTGGAGCAGCACACAGACACACTCACACTGCTCCTGCTACAATTCACAGTGTGACCCACGATATGGACAGAATCTCTTTAAATGACAATGGCATGACGCTGAGAGATGGAAAGACTTTACAAGCACCTATGATAGAATACCCTGGCCCCGAGGAGCATTTTTGTTGTCACAAGTACCGGACAGTCTGTGGGCAAAAAGTAAACATGATGTTGGTTTGATCAAAAACTGTCCACCTGTTCGTATTGAAGCTAAATCTGATTATAGACCGAGGCAGCGTCAGTATCCTTTGAGACAGGAGGCCATAGAAGGAATTACACCTGTTTTTGAATCATTTCTTGAGGCTGGCATTATTGTCCCATGTGAGGACTCACCAGTGCAGACACCTATTTTCCCGGTAAAGAAAATTAGACCAGCAGATAAACCTACAGAGTGGCGTTTTGTGCAAGACTTGAAGGCTGTGAACGCTGCGATCATCTCTCCTGTTCCCAATGTGCCTAATCCACACACTCTTTTGAGTCAGATACCAGCAGATGCAGAGTGGTTTTCTGTAGTGGACTTATCAAATGCTTTCTTTTCTGTACCTGTGGACAGGGATTCACAATTTTGGTTTGCCTTCTGTTTTAATGGAAAAAGATATACTTTTACCAGACTTTGTCAGGGCCTAAACTCAAGCCCCTCGTTGTTTTGTGAGGCTCTGAACCACAGTCTAGCGTCTCTTGTGTTGACAGACGGGACTGTTTTGATTAATTATGTGGATGATTTGATGATTGCTAGCCCCACAAAAGAACAATGTGAAGAGGACACAATTAAGCTTCTCCAACATTTGGCTGAGGAGGGCCACAAAGCTTCTGTTTCAAAGTTGCAATTTGTCAAACAAAATGTTGTGTTTTTGGGTCACATTATAACCCCTGAGGGTAAAACCTTGTCACAAAAGCGTGTGACGGCAATAGTTGATGCTCCGAAGCCCTCAAACAAAAAGGAACTTCTTTCATTTTTGGGAATGTGCTCATATTGCAGGCATTTTATCGCCAATTTCTCTGAGAAAGACAAGCCTTTACGTGATATGACTGTGGGGAGGAACATGTGTGCGTCCTCTCCCCTCGTGTGGACTCCAGAGGCAGAGCAGGCTTTCACAGACTTAAAAATTGCTTTGCAATCGGCTCCAACTCTGGGAATCCCAGACCCAAATAAGCCTTTTGTTCAGTTTGTGGACGAGAGATGTGGATGCATGACATCAGTACTTTTGCAAAAACATGGAGATCTACTGAAACCTGTTGGTTATTTTTCAAAACTTCTTGATCCTGTGGCGAGAGGTCTCCCTGCTTGTTTAAGAGCCATAGCTGCGTGTGAAACAGCAGTATTGGCATCACGTGACTTTGTTGGATTCTGTCAGCTTTTGTTGTTTGTTCCACATTCTGTTGCTTTGATACTACAGGAGCAGAAATCTTCACATCTTTCTGCATCTCGATGGCTCCGATATCACACAACACTCTTGGGATTGCCACATGTGACTGTCCATAAATGTTCTACACTTAATCCTGCCACATTGTTACCCCTCCCAGGAGAGGGCACACCGCACTCATGCATGGCAGAGCTGAATCAGATCTGTACTCCAAGACCAGATCTTTCTGATACACCATTGACTAACCCTGATTTAATTCTCTATGTAGATGGATCAGCATATCGAGACCCGGACACCGGAAGGTCGCATGCTGGATACGCTGTGGTGGACGACCATTCAGTCGTTCTTTCTTCCTCTCTACCATCGATGTACTCGGCACAATTGGCAGAGCTGGTGGCGTTGACAGAGGCGTGTGCATACGCAAAGGGGACGGTCTGTTACAATATTCACTGACTCCCGCTATGCATTTGGGGTGACGCATGATTTTGGTGCACTGTGGAAACATAGAAACTTTCTAAAATCTGACGGAAAACCAATTTTACACCACACACATGTTGCAGCATTGTTAGAAGCTATCTTGCTTCCATCTCAGATTGCAGTGTGTAAATGTTCTGCCCACACAGGTGCAACGGACTCTGTTTCATTGGGTAACGCTAGGGCGGACAGAGCTGCGAGAGCTGCTGCTAAACAGCTTCTCCCCTCATCAGCTTCCTTCTCGCTGCCCCATGCTGTCTCCCCAGAGACCCCTCCTCTTTCCCCTCCCGCCTCTCTGAAGGACCTCTGCTCACTCTCTTCCCCTGAAGAGCGGCGCACGTGGGCGGAGTCTGGTGCTGTTTTCCAAAATGGCGTCTGGGTAGGCCCAGATTTGAAGCCATGCCTTCCCAAAAGATTATTTAATTGCTATGCTAAGTTAACACATGGGTTGGACCATGTGTCAAAGGGGAATATGTTTCAAGCAGTCCAACAATTTTGGTTTACAAAAGGGTTTTCTACATTTGCTGCAGAGTTTTGTAGAAGCTGTCTGATCTGTGCACAGAATAACCCGGGTAGGCCGAGGTCTCTGGCACAAGCAGCTCATCCAGCTCCTACAAGACCGTTTGAACATGTCATGATGGACTTCATTGAATTAACACCCAGTGAAGGGAAAAAATTTTGTCTTGTAATGGTGGATATGTTTTCAAAGTGGGTTGAAGCTTTCCCTGCAAGACATGCGTCCTCCGCTACAGTAGCAAAAGCCATTTTGACTGAAATTCTTGTAAAATGGGGAATTCCTCAGAAGTTGTCCAGCGATAATGGGTCGCATTTTGTTAATGAAGTGATAAAACAACTGTCTGATTATTTGAAATTTGATTTGAAAACTCACTGCAGCTATCACCCACAATCTGGTGGGGCTGTGGAGAGAGAAAATTTCACGATAAAATCAAAACTGGCCAAATGCTGTCAGGAAACAAACCTTAGCTGGCCAAAATGCTTGCCAATTGTCCTGATGTACATGCGAATGAGAGTGCGCACGCGTAACAACCTGTCCCCATTTGAGATTTTGTTTGCAGCTCCCCCCAATGTAGGAATGGGACCTGCGGGACCTCAACCAGATGCCATCCTGTGCGAGGATGGCATGATAAGGTATTGTATAACCCTAACAAAGTCTCTTTCTGATATCAGAAGACAGGTGTCATCGGCCCTTCCCCAACGTGCGGACCATCCACTTCACAACATCCAACCCGGCGACTTCGTCCTGATAAGGGACTTCAAGCCAAAGAGCTGGAATCACCATCGCTGGCTTGGCCCATTCCAAGTTCTCCTCGTCACTCACACCGCTGTGAAAGTCCAGGAGAGGCAGACCTGGGCCCACGCATCGCACTGCAAACAAGTCCCAGCTCTTCTTGCGGAGCGTACAACGGAAGCATAAGGAGGATCTTACCCCCTCCCAACGCGAAAGGAGGGTCACACACACACTGCCCCCTCCCAACGTAAAACATTGTTAGAAATACATTGTTAGCTGCATCAGGAGAAAAGTGCTGGTAACTACACTCCTAGGTCATAGATGAGCAGAAGATAGGTAACACAAGAAGATCAACAAGTGACAATCCAAGTCCAGGATGCACAACCACCGGGAGCGCGGTCCCTGGCATCCATTCAGGCAGCAGGGCCTTTGCGGGATGAGAAAGACTTTGTGTGTGCTCATGTTCATTTCCTTCCTCATTGTGTTTCCACTGTTATGGTTTGAAGGTCGGGAGAATAAAAAGAACAATCAAACACAGGTCGTTGTCAATTACACTTCTAACACCTCTTCATTTACATCAAAACGTGTGAAGAGGGAAGATGTGGCCGAAATGGATTTTGCGTGGTCACGTGTTTTGGCTCAGTCAATGAATCACACCAGCGTGTACACACTTAATTTGTGGTATCAATATGCAAAATTCTTAGCAGAGTCACAAAATCGCTCAAATTGTTACATTTGTACTCATATGCCTATTGCATCATCAAACCCACACATCACACCTCTACCAATGGTCGATGCATTTACACATTTTCCAAAGATTCTGTATTCATCTGTCTCTGTTGATTATTTCAATGAGACCGTCACAAAGCGTACAGGTAAATGTCTCCCCCCACTCAAACCGGCTGTTAGTTCTGATTTCTTCAATTATTGGTTTAATGATGAATTAGATCCAATTTTTGGCCCGGTACATATCAGACCTGGTACTAAATTTGTATGTTACACTCTATCCATGACCATTACAGATTCTCCTATACAGATGGGACGGATCCCTATGTCATTTTGTTTAAATGTGTCTAACCCGTGTACTTCTTTTCATGGTAATTCAAGTTTAAACACTTCTCAGGCCGCTCCGGGTAGTACATGTGCTCCATACTTCACGGTTCCTGACTCAACAGGAACTAATCCTCTGAAGGGTGTTTTGTGGCTGTGTGGCTTCAATGTCTATGTGAAGCTACCATTTAATTGGATAGGTCGTTGTGCTCTGATGACAGCTTCAGATCACTCTTACATCATCTCTGCCATTCCTAGATCGCGAGGTAAGCGCGATTTTGCTGCTCATGATGCAGTTTGGGGAACGGATGTTCCAGACGATCACAAACTGTGGACCAAGCCAACAAAAGTACTTCTCTCCTTGTTCCCCCAGGTCGGTATAGGGAAAGTTATGCTTAGAATGGAAACCTTGAATTATCGGTTTTCAAGTTTTGTGAATTCAACTGTAACTATTCTAGAGGCCAACAGAGTAGAAGTAAATGCGTTGCGTGCCGTTGCTTTACAAAACAGGATTGTTTTGGATCATTTGGTTGCCTCAAGTGGAGGTGTTTGTGTTTTACTTAATCAGACCGCTTGTTGTACTTATATTCCTGATAACAGTGCCGATGATGGGATCATTGCACAGGGTATTCGAAATCTAACCACTTTGCGCGATGCGGTTAACCGTGATTTTGTTCTAGATGCTTCATGGTTTTCAGACTGGCGAGCGTGGTTGGTTCAAATAGGTACTGGACTTGGAGTAATATTAGTACTGCTAATAGTGCTGTCATGTTGTGTCATTCCTTTGATCCGTTCATTGATCCGACGTATGATCTCGTCGACACTCGTTCAACACACTTCTCTTAACCTGCATGTTGACTGTCTTGATGAGGACAGTGATCCATTTAGTGAGATGTTACTTGATGATTTTGAGTAAATTGGTTTGTATGTCTAACCCATTTTATGACGGATTTTCTTAAACCTACTAGGTGTGAAAGTTTTGATGTTCCGGGGTTTCTTATATTTTACTTGATATATTTTATTTACTTATATTTTACTTATATTTTACTTATATTTTACTTAGTACTTGATAGCATGTGTGTGATTGATTTAAGACAATCAAAGGGTGGATTGTTATGGCCAGATTCCCGGCACAAGATATTCTAATCATTTAGGTCGATACATGCGTCTTCTTTCCCATGCGTCTGAAACCCGCTTCCCATCACTGTTTGAAACATTAAGACAAAGGCTGCTTGTCCACGGTCCTCTTTCCCATAACCTTCGCCACCACCTGCATGGGCCTATCTCAAATGTTCTTACAGCGTGTTCCTTGTTATCAAATTCGAAGGTCCTTTTCTGCGCTTAATGTATCTCTCTCAAACTTTCCCGTCTGCAGCTGCGTATGACTCATCTCTCTTGTGACGATTGTCCATTGTTCTGTCTGACACACCTCCAGTATAAGATCATAAGACATGTTTGTTGGGGAGAACAGACAGACGCGGCATCGCTCCAGGTCCCGCTTCTGTTTGACTCATTTCTGCGCAGAAAATGTCATTTTTGTACTCATCACTTCTGTGAATAAAACTGCACCAAAGGACAAGTTTGTTTCCTCTCGGTTTCATTCATTTGAGGCAATAGAATTTCCATAACAAAGTAAACTAGAGTGGACCAAAACACCCCCCTCAGCATTGACACACATGTGGAACGGAGCTTTGGGCCAAGAGCCAACTTTTGGACCATCCTGTAAAGACGTTTTCGAGAGGTCTGCCAATGCTATATGTTAGCATTGGCTAATTCTTCTTCTGGGTCCACCCCCATCGGCCCGGGGTGGTATTGCAGCATGTCAACACACCTCATTTTGGCCACTTTTGAGCTGGGACCTGCCCACACTGCGTTAGACTGAGGAGAGAGGAGACACTGAGCCAAAATTTCTGCCCGGATTACTGCTGCAATCTCTCCAGTAGGGGTCAGGGTGCAGCAGTACTCTCTCTCTCTCTCCAGTAGGGGTCAGGGTGCAGTACTCTCTCTCTCCAGTAGGGGTCAGGGTGCAGCAGTACTCTCTCTCTCTCTCTCCAGTAGGGGTCAGGGTGCAGTACTCTCTCTCTCTCCAGTAGGGGTCAGGGTGCAGCACTACTCTCTCTCTCCAGTAGGGGTCAGGGTGCAGTACTCTCTCTCTACAGTAGGGGTCAGGGTGCAGTACTCTCTCTCTACAGTAGGGGTCAGGGTGCAGTACTCTCTCTCTACAGTCGGGGTCAGGGTGCAGTACTCTCTCTCTACAGTAGGGGTCAGGGTGCAGTACTCTCTCTCTACAGTCGGGGTCAGGGTGCAGTACTCTCTCTCTCTCCAGTAGGGGTCAGGGTGCAGTACTCTCTCTCTACAGTAGGGGTCAGGGTGCTGTACTCTCTCTCTACAGTCGGGGTCAGGGTGCAGTACTCTCTCTCTACAGTCGGGGTCAGGGTGCAGTACTCTCTCTCTCCAGAAGGGGTCAGGGTGCAGTACTCTCTCTCTACAGTTGGGGTCAGGGTGCAGTACTCTCTCTCTCTCCAGTAGGGGTCAGGGTGCAGTACTCTCTCTCTACAGTCGGGGTCAGGGTGCAGTACTCTCTCTCTCTCCAGTAGGGGTCAGGGTGCAGTACTCTCACCGCACACGTGATGGCGCCGCTTCTCTCCACTCGACATTGAGCGTTGGCGTCACAGGGGTTAAAGGTCAGACCCGAACAGGAAGTGCGGGCGAAACATCCGGCCGTCTGATTACCGAGGAAACCGGGACGACAACCACCACATTTGTACGATCCCTGAGAGAGAGAGATGATCAATAGGCAGCAGCAGCAGCAGTAGCAGCAGCAGCAGTAGCAGCAGCAGCGGCAGTAGTAGTAGTAGTAGCAGTAGCAGCAGTAGTAGCAGTAGCAGCAGTAGTATCAACAGTAGCAGCAGCAGCAGCAGTAGTAGCAGCAGCAGTAGCAGCAGTAGTAGTAGTAGCAGCAGTAGCAGCAGCAGCAGCAGCAGCAGTAGCAGCAGCAGGAGCAGCAGCAGTAGTAGCAGCAGCAGCAGTAGCAGTAGTAGCAGCAGCAGCAGCAGCAGCAGCAGCAGCAGCAGCAGCAGTAGTAGCAGTAGTAGCAGCAGCAGTAGCAGTAGCAGTACTTACCACTGTATTGACGCACACAGAGTTGGTCGTACAAACTTCTGGTTGTTCCAAACATTCATCGATGTCAGAACATTCCTGAAACACATGTTTCAGAAACAGAACCAGGACCAGAACCAGGACCAGAATCAGGACCAGGACCAGGACTAGGACCAGGACCAAACCCTGGACCATGAGAGGACCAGGTGGACTCACCTGTCTATGTTTCTTAGCAAAGCTGAGTCCGCTGCCGCTCACTGGTGCCCCCCACAGGCCGAGAGGACACGGGCTGCAGCTGAAGCCCCCCACAGAGTTCACACAGAGGGAGTGGCCATGACAGGGCCACACGGAGCACTGGGGGGGTAATGTATTTGCAGTACTTGTAGTGTGTGTTCTGTTGTTTGTACTTGTAGTACATGTAGTACATGCAGTACTTCTAATACTTGCAGTACTGGAATTACTGGCAGTACTTGCAGTACTCGTACCTCGTCCTCGTCCTCGCAGTGTGTCCCGTTGCCATGGAAACCGCTGGGACAGGAGCCACAGGTGAATCCTGGGAACTGTAGGCTCTCCACACAAGCCACGCCCTTAAAGCACGGGTTTGGGGAACACCTGGATCTGGGCTCATGGAAACCTGAGGGACCAGAGAGAGACCATGTGAGGCACCAGAGAGAGACCAGAGAGAGACCAGAGAGAGACCAGAGAGAGACCGGAGAGAGACCAGAGAGAGACCAGAGAGAGACCGGAGAGAGACCGGAGAGAGACCAGAGAGAGACCGGAGAGAGAGGTCTGGGTTCACTTACCACAAACCTGACACTCCAGGATGGTGTTGCGGATCAAAGACATCTCTTTCACCTGAATTAACACATTACATCTTGTTTAAATACCTAAACCAAAGTGTCTCTCTCTGGTCTATCTCTGGTCTCTCTCTTCCTGGTATCTCTCTGGTCTCTCAGCCTGGTTTATCTGTCTCTCTCTGGTCTCTCGCTCTCTGGGATCTCTCTGGTATCTTTCTGGTCTCTCTCTGGTCTCTCTCTGGTCTCTCTCTCTGGTATCTCTCTGGTCTCTCTCTGGTCTCTCTCTTTCTGGTATCTCTCTTTCTGGTATCTCTCTGGTCTCTCAGCCTGGTTTATCTGTCTCTCTCTGGTCTGTCGCTCTCTGGGATCTCTCTGGTATCTTTCTGGTCTCTCTCTGGTCTCTCTGTCTGGTATCTCTGTCTCTCTCTGGTATCTCTCTGGTCTCTTAGCCTGGTTTCTCTGGTATCTCTCTGGTATCTCCCTCTGGTCTGCCTCTGGCCTCTCTCTGGTCTCTCTCTGGTCCCTCTCTGGTCTCTCTCTCTCTCTGGTCTCTCTCCCTCTATAGTTTTTGATTGGTTCAATAAACAGGAAATAGTCAAGTATAAATGCGCTAACCATGAGCTAGCATCATGCTAACAGGCTAACGCCGCTCACCTGTTCTCTGATGTCCAGTCGCAGTTCTCCCAGGACTTGGTTGAAGATGATGAGCTGACCAATCAGAGCCTTCAGATGGTCACCTGACAGGAAACACATCAGCGCACACAGTCCCGGGGCGAGCTCATTAGCATATGTCTCTGTTAGCTATTAGCCATTAGCTAATAGCTCGCCGGCATCTACCCATCAAGTGTCATCCAGTGTTCTATTGGGCTTGATGAACCAGCAGTACCAGAAGTGGCCTCTAGTCCCACACAGCCAAGTGAGTTGAATACATGCATTAAGAGTTCCGAGCTTCCGACTCGACCGCACGGCATTGTGGGTAGTTTTCTCAAAAAGTTGGCATCAAATCCCTCTGCCGTATTGGATGACATGTTGTGAACGTGATCTCTCTTGTTTTCAGCCCATAGATTGTTTTAATAGTATAAAAAAATCACCAATTTCAGACATTTCGAAGGTAAAGATTTTTTCATGTACCAAAAAAGCAATGCATTTTTTTCTTGTGGTTTTAATAATAAAAATAATAATACATATACAACTTGTATAGCACTTTTTTGGACACTCAAAGACGCTTCACATGGGGAGTAGAATACAATAATAAAAAGGGGTTTACGGAAAAGCTTGTTTGAAAAGATGGGTTTTGAGACTGATTTAAAGTTTGGTAGTGAGTCAGAGTTTCTAATGGGCAGTGGGAGTGAGTTCCAGAGGGTTGGGGCGGCAATGGCAAAAGCTCTGTCCCCCAAGGTTCGGCGGTTAGTGGGGGTGAGGAGGTGGGTATCGGCTGAGCGAAGGCGGCAGGTGGGTTGGTGCTGCTGTAGGAGCTCAGTAAGGTAGGGGGCGGGGCCAGGTTATGGAGGGACTTGTAGGTGAGGAGGAGGAGCTTGTACTGGATGTGGTATTGAACGGGAGCCAGTGGAGCTGCTGGAGGACAGGGGTGATGTGTTCTCTGGACCAGGTGTGGATGAGGAGGCGGGCTGCAGAGTTCTGGATGTATTGCGGTTTTTGGAGATGAGTGGTGGGGAGTCCGTAGAGGAGGCTGTTGCAGTAGTCGAGTCTGGAGGTGATGAATGCGTGGATGAGGATTTGGGCTGTTGACTGGGTAAGGGAGGGGCGGAGGCGGGCAATGTGGCGTAGGTGGAAGAAGGAGGTTTTGGTGATGTGTTTGATGTGTGTTTGGTATGAGAGGGTGGGGTCCATTATGCTGAGGTTGCGTACAGAGGATGAGGGGGTGACAATGTGACCGTCAATGAGGAGGGTGAAGTTCTGGACAGAGGGCAGGAGAGATTTGGAGCTGATGATGAGGAGTTCTGTTTTGTTACTGTTGAGTTTGAGAAGGTTATTGTCCATCCAGGTTTTAATGTCGGAGATGCAATTAGTGATGGTGGAGCGAATGACCGGGGTGATGGATTTGGTGGAGATGTAGAGAAGCGTGTCGTCGGCATAACAGTGGAAATGGAGTCCATGATGGCGGATGATCTGACCGAGGGGAAGCATGTAGATGGTGAAGAGGAGAGGGCCGAGCACGGAACCTTGGGGGACACCATGGGTGACGGGGGAAGTGTGGGACTTCCGAAGTGGAGACGATCGGAGAGGTAAGAGGTGAACCCGAGGAGTGCTGAGCCAGAAATGCCAATGGATTGCAGACGGTGGAGGAGGATGGAGTGGTCTATTGTGTCAAATGCAGCGGAGAGGTCGAGGAGAAGGAGGATGGATAAGAAACCAGAGTCGGCGGCGAGGAGGAGGTCGTTAGTAACTTTAAGAAGCGCTGTTCCTGTGCTGTGGTGTGAACGGAATCCAGATTGAAACGTTTCGAAGAGATGGGAGGAGTGGAGATGTTGGTGGAGTTGGGTGATAACGGCGCGTTCCAGGATTTTTGACAGTAACGGGAAGTTGGAGATGGGTCGAAAGTTGTCCAAGTTGTCAGGGTTGAGGCCGGGTTTTTTCAGGAGGGGTGTGACGGAGGCTAGTTTGAGCAGGGATGGGACAGAACCAGAGGTCAGGGAAGTGTTGATGATGCAGGTGATGAGAGGGATGAGAATTGGTCGACAGGTTTTGAGGAAGGAAGATGGGATTGGGTCAAGCTGGCAGTTGGAAAATGTCCTGGTTGAGAGTGGTTTGGTGGTGTCAGAGGGAGAGGGGGGGGAGAAGAGGAGGAAGTGGCTGCAGGTGAACAGTGTATGATTTTGGTTTGGTAGAATGACAGGAAGTTACTGCATTTGTCTGCAGAGAAAGTGGAGGTTATATTGTCCTCGGGTTCTGTCAGATTTGAAAAAGTTGAGAATAGGGTGCGAGGGTTGGAAGAGTTTGAGTGTATGAGTTGTGAATAGTAGTTGGACAGTTTTTTAGATGTAAACACAAGATAGAGAGGTGTGCGGTATAGAGAGGTGTGCGGTATAGAGAGGTGTGCGGTATGGAGAGGTGTGCGGTATAGAGAGGGGTGTGGTATAGAGAGGTGTGCGGTATAGAGTGGTGTGCGGTATAGAGAGGTGTGCGGTATAGAGAGGTGTGCAGTATAGAGAGGTGTGCTGTATGGAGAGGTGTGCGGTATAGAGAGGTGTGCAGTATAGAGAGGTGTGCAGTATAGAGAGGTGTGCAGTATAGAGAGAGGTGCAGTATAGAGAGGTGTGCAGTATAGAGAGAGGTGTGCAGTATAGAGAGGTGTGCAGTATAGAGAGGTGTGCAGTATAGAGAGGTGTGCAGTAGAGAGAGGTGTGCAGTATAGAGGGGTGTGCAGTATAGAGGGGTGTGCAGTATAGAGGGGTGCAGTATAGAGAGGTGCAGTAGAGAGAGGTGTGCATTATAGAGAGGTGCAGTATAGAGAGGTGTGCAGTATAGAGAGAGGTGTGCAGTATAGAGCGAGGTGTGCAGTATAGAGAGGTGTGCGGTATAGAGAGGTGTGCAGTATAGAGAGAGGTGCAGTATAGAGAGGTGCAGTAGAGAGGTGTGCAGTATAGAGGTGCAGTATAGAGAGGTGCAGTATAGAGAGGTGTGCATTATAGAGAGGTGCAGTATAGAGAGGTGTGCAGTATAGAGAGGTGTGCATTATAGAGAGGTGCAGTATAGAGAGGTGTGCTGTATAGAGAGGTGCAGTATAGAGAGGTGCAGTATAGAGAGGTGCAGTATAGAGAGGTGTGCATTATAGAGAGGTGCAGTATAGAGAGGTGCAGTATGGAGAGGTGTGCAGTATAGAGAGGTGTGCAGTATAGAGGTGCAGTATAGAGAGGTGTGCATTATAGAGAGGTGCAGTATAGAGAGGTGTGCAGTATAGAGAGGTGCAGTATAGAGAGGTGTGCAGTATAGAGATGTGTGCAGTATAGAGAGGTGCAGTATAGAGAGGTGCAGTATAGAGAGGTGCAGTATAGAGAGGTGTGCAGTATAGAGAGGTGCACTATAGAGAGGTGTGCAGTATAGAGAGGTGCAGTATAGAGAGGTGTGCATTATAGAGAGGTGCAGTATAGAGAGGTGTGCAGTATAGAGAGGTGCAGTATAGAGAGGTGTCCGTACAGTGCTGCCTCTGAATGTCGTCTTCCCTGAGGTCACTCCTGATGATGTGCTCCAGGTGTTTGACCTTCTCTACTTTCAGAAGCTCCACAGATATGTCCAAACTACAGCTTTGGGTAAGTTTATGAAGCTCGTGTAAACATTCGATCCTCGTTAGTAGCATAAGCTACATGTAGCTCTAGTCAGTCGGTTGTGTTTACATCTAAAACTACAAGAAAAAAATGCATTGCTTTTTTGTTACATGAAAAAATCTTTACCTTCGAAATGTCTGAAATTGGTGATTTTTTAAACTATTAAAACAATCTATGGACTGAAAACAAGAAAGATCACGTTCACAACATGTCATCCAATACGGCAGAGGGATTTGATGCACACTTTTTTGAGAAAACTACCCACAATGCCGTGCGGTCGAGTCGGAAGCTCGGAACTCAATGCATGTATAGTCAAACAAACTAGCATGTTTTTAGCATGTTCTTAGCGTGTTCTTAGTGTTCTTAGCATTTTATTATACATGTTCTTAGCGTGTTCTTAGCAAGTTATCAGCATTTTATTAGCATGTTCTTAGCAAGTTATTAGAATGTTCTTAGCGTGTTCTTAGCATTTTATTAGCATGTTATTAGCAAGTTATTAGAATGTTCTTACCGTGTTCTTAGCATGTTCTTAGCATGTTCTTAGGATGTTCTCTGTTCTCACCGAGGATGGCTCCCACGTCGCTTCCCGCTGCGGTGGTAGAATCCTGAAACGGACAGTCAGCCAGAGCACCGGCTTTGGCCACACTGCCCCCGAGCTGCAGGCTGAGGTACTGCACTGCGCCCTGGACACATGTACATACCACTACTACTGTAGCCACAGCTGCCCTGGGGCAGATAAAAGGGAGGCAACTAATGTGTGTCCTCAGAACACACACCAGACTAATGTGTGTCCTCAGAACACACACCAGACTAATGTGTGTCCTCAGAACACACACACCAGACTAATGTGTGTCCTCAGAACACACACACCAGACTAATGTGTGTCCTCAGAACACACACACCAGACTAATGTGTGTCCTTAGAACACACACACCAGACTAATGTGTGTCCTCAGAACACACACCAGACTAATGTGGCTGAACAACAGTTTAGCACTTTAAAGCCACAGGGACCTTTACTGTTTGTGTGTTTAGCATGTAGCATGTTAGTAAGTGTGCATGTTAGCATGTTTGTAGCCCATAGCATGTATCATGTTAGCGTGTACGAACCTGCACTCTCGCGTACGTCTTCTCTCCGTGCCGCAGTTCCACTGTGTCGCTGTTTCTCTGTGATGTTCCCAAAGGAGGAAGTGAAGCGGCAGAATCGGCCAATCGGCAGTCGACGTAGAGCTCTGCGCTGAGACTCCGCCTCCTCAGACCGCCCAATCGCAGCACGAGGCTGTGACTCCGCCCATCAGCCAACGGCGCGTTCTGCAGGTTCAGCGTGTGGAGACGACCGTCTGCTTTAGAGTACCGGACCAGGACTGAAAGAGACCAGACCAGGACTGAGACCAGGACTGAGACCAGGACTGAAAGATACCAGACCAGGACTTGGACCAGGACTGAGAGCAGGACTGAGACCAAGACTGAAAGAGACATGGGTCTACAGCCTCAGTCCTGGGTCTACAGCCTCAGTCCTGGGTCTACAGTCTCAGTCCTGGGTCTACAGCCTCAGTCCTGGGTCTACAGCCTCAGTCCTGGGTCTGTTGTTGGTGAATCCACAACTGCAGTGCCTTGAATTAGGGTGAGACAAAAATATATTGAACTGAATCCTCCCCCCCTTCTCTGACCCCTCCCTCCTCTGACTCCTCCCCTCTGACTCCTCCCTCTCTGACCCCTCCTCCCTCTGACCCCTTCCCCCTCTGAACCCTCCCCTCTGAACCCCTCCCCTTCTGACCTCTCCCCCCTCTGACCCCTCCCTCCCTGACCCCTCCCTCTCTGACCCCTCCCCTCTGAATCCTGACCTTTGTTGACCTTCCCCATCAGAGCGACCTCAAGGATCTTGTTGTGGTCGTCCCGGTCGTAGAGTCCGAACAGAACGCCCCCGAGCTTCTGCGGCAGCGTCACCGTGGAAACCAGATACACGTCACTGAGCACGCTCAGTCCGGACCACAGCTTCTCCACCGCCACCGAGGTCTGAGCGGTGTCCCGCAGGGACAGGATGTCCAACACTGGGGAGAGTGGGAGGTTAGATACCAGAGGGAGACCAGAGGGAGACCATAGAGAGACCATAGAGAGACCATAGAGAGACCAGAGAGAGACCAGAGAGAGACCAGAGAGAGACCATAGAGAGACCATAGAGAGACCAGAGAGAGACCAGAGAGAGACCAGAGAGAGACCAGAGAGAGACAAGAGAGAGAGAGAGAACACTGAGTCGGTGTAAGTATTCCCTCAGATGAGCGCCTTCAGAGACCATGGGCCTCTTGTCTGCATCAGTTTGTGGTGCTGTGTGTGAGTACTGTTGCCATGGGAACGCTCAGTTTGACCCACTTTCATTTTCCATCCTGTGCTGGGGTCAAAGGTCACATGTGGCAGGGTCAAGTACAGTGAGTTCACATCTGGACCTGGTCTAGACCCAGCCTGAACTAGGACTTGGACTGGCTTTGGTCCTGCTTTAGTCCTGCTTTAAACCTGCTTTAGACCTGCTTTAGACCTGCTAATTAGTCCTGCTTTAGTCCTGCTTTAGACCTGCTTTAGACCTGCTTTAGTCCTGCTTTAGACCTGCTTTAGTCCTGCTTTAGATCTGCTTTAGTCCTGCTTTAGTCCTGCTTTAGTCCTGCTTTAGACAAGCTTTAGAACTGCTTTAGTCCTGCTTTAGACCTGCTTTAGTCCTGCTTTAGTCCTGCTTTTTACCTGCTTTAGTCCTGCTTTAGTCCTGCTTTAGACCTGCTTTAGTCCTGCTTTAGACAAGCTTTAGACCTGCTTTAGTCCTGCTTTAGACAAGCTTTAGACCTGCTTAAGTCTGGATATGATTTATTGAGACTTTCTTAACTTCCTCCTGTGTTTCCATGACAACCAGAAACATAAACACGCGCACGCGCATTCCCCAGATGCGCGATATTTTACTGCAGAGTGGAAACAAGCGGTCAGACCCAAAACCGGTTACAGTCCTAAACCAGGACCCGAGCAAAACCGGCTATAGTCCTGGACCTGGGCTGAAGTGCAACCTCAGTATCTGTGCAGATGTTAAAACAACTAAGTGATGTCACATGTCACACTGTCACGCGCAAAACCGTGAGGCACGTGACGCGCGCACGGGGACCGGACCCTCAGGGTTTTGTTAAAGTCCGTGACAAAAGTGAAGCAGAGTTTTACCTTGAACTTCCGGTCCATCCATGAGCCCGCCGACCCCCGGGATTAAGACCTGGACCAAAACTTGGACCCGAATCAGGACCCGAACTAGGACCCGGACCCGCACCTGGACTGACAACATCTCTGAGGATCTCTGGAGAACTGTGGAACCGGGGACTGAGGCGCAGACAGCAGAGAGGAGGGACCTGGGCACGCGCACTCCCGGGCACGCGCTCAAGACCACCGCGTGTGGAAAGTGTGGCGCGCGCACAGTCTACTTCATCAAAACACATGTTCATCTGAGCCAAAATGTCTGCGTCAGCTCCATGTCCTGGTCGTCATCAAACCTTTACTTCCTCTGAGTAATCTGTAATATGTCATCTGTAATCTCAGTGATTTGTTGTATGTAAAGTGTAATCTCTGAGTAATCTGTTATCTGAGTAATCTGTTATCTCTGATCTGTAATCTGAATCATCTGTAATATGTAATATCTGAGTAATCCGAAATCTCAGTAATCTGTAATCTGAGTAATATGTAATCTATGTAATCTGTGATTTGAGTAATCTAATCTCTGAGCAATCTGTAATCTCTGATCTGTAATCCACATAAACACGACATGACTCATTTAAATACATTTTATTAAAGTTCAAAGAGTGAAGCAGAAACTGTATCTGAGTTTTAAAGCTGGGTTCTGTAAATTCAAATTTTTAAAGTTACAGACCCCAGCTTTAAACATATGTAAGCAGTGAGGAGCCGCAGCACCTCCTCACTGCTCCTCCCTCTCATGCAGCACCGGCTCCTACTTGACTGCTCCTCCCTTTCCTGCAGCACCTCCTCCTCCATCACTGCGCCTCCCTCTCCTGCAGCACCTCCTCCTCAGGAGACTCCTCGCTCACTGCTCCTCCCTCTCCTGCAGCACCTCCTCCTCAGGAGACTCCTCGCTCACTGCTCCTCCCTCTCCTGCAGCACCTCCTCCTCCTCAGGAGGCTCCTCCCCCGTGTGCATAGTGACAGAGACGATGCCTGTGACCAGGGCGTAGCTGAACATGGCGCCCGCCGCCACCAGCAGCGACAGCAGCTGCTTCCTGCGTCTGTACGGCTCCACGTCGTCTGAGGGGGCGGGGCCAGGCCGAAGGGGCGGGGCTACAATCAGGAAACACACCACATATGGTCAGAGCACGTGACATCATTTGACCACAGGACAGGGGTCACACAGATATAAAGACAATGTCATAAACAGGAGAGATTTAGACTCTCTCTCTCTCTCTCTCTCCTGGGGTCTCTCCCTCTCTCTCCTGGAGGGTCTCTCTCTCCTGGGATCTCTCCCTCTCTCTCCTGGGTTACTCTCTCTCTCTCCTGGGGTCTCTCTCTCTCCTGGGTTACTCTCTCTCTCTCCTGGGGTCTCTCTCTCTCTCCTGGGGTCTCTCTCTCCTGGGTCTCTCCCTCTCTCTCCTGGGATCTCTCCCTCTCTCTCCTGGGATCTCTCCCCCTCTCTCCTGGGTTACTCTCTCTCTCCTTCAGGGTCTCTCTCTCTCTCTCCTGGAGGGTCTCTCTCTCCTGGGTTACTCTCTCTCCTGGGGTCTCTCTCTGCTGGGTTACTCTCTTTCTCTCCTGGAGGGTCTCTCTCTCTCTCTCTCTCTCCCGGAGAGTCTCTCTCTCTCTCTCTGCTGGGGGGGTTTCTCACCTGGCCCGGCGCAGGGGAAGTAGAGCTGCAGGATGTTGGAGCAGAACACACAGAGGTTACTGAGCGACTCCAGATGTTTCTGAAGTTTGGAATTTGGAAACGACGTCTTCATCAAAGGAACGAGATGAGCAAAGACCACAGCGTCCAGAGAGGAGGGTCTGAGGAGAGACCAGGACCAGGTCTGAGTCTGAGACCAGGTCTGAGACTCAGACCACAGCGTCCAGAGAGGAGGGTCTGAGGAGAGACCAGGACCAGGTCTGAGTCTGAGACCAGGTCTGAGACTCAGACCACAGCGTCCAGAGAGGAGGGTCTGAGGAGAGACCAGGACCAGGTCTGAGACCAGGTCTGAGACTCAGACCACAGCGTCCAGAGAGGAGGGTCTGAGGAGAGACCAGGACCAGGTCTGAGACTCAGACCACAGCGTCCAGAGAGACCAGGTCTGAGACCAGGTCTGAGACCAGGTCTGAGACCAGGTCTGAGACCAGGTCTAAGACTCAGACCACAGCATCCAGAGAGGAGGGTCTGAGGAGAGACCAGGACCAGGTCTGAGACTCAGACCACAGCGTCCAGAGAGACCAGGTCTGAGACCAGGTCTGAGACCAGGTCTGAGACCAGGTCTAAGACCAGGTCTAAGACCAGGTCTAAGACTCAGACCACAGCATCCAGAGAGGAGGGTCTGAAGAGAGACCAAGTCTAAGACAGACTACAGCATCAGTCCTGGGTCTACAGCCTCGGTCCTGGGTCTACAGCCTCGGTCCTGGGTCTACAGCCTCGGTCCTGGGTCTACAGTCTCGGTCCTGGGTCTACAGCCTCAGTCCTGGGTCTACAGCCTCAGTCCTGGTCTACTTACGAGTCTCCGAAGAAGAACTTGTGTTGTCCAAGTCTCTGAGAAAGAAGGTTCATGCAGTCAGCTGCCTCCTGGAACAACTGATGAGGAGGGAGGAGAGAGAGAGAGGAGAGAGAGAGAAAGAGAGAGGAGAGAGAGAGGAGAGAGAGAGAAAGAGAGAGGAGAGAGAGAAAGAAAGAGAGGAGAGAGAAGAGATGGATAAAGTATTAAATGGTGTCTGTCTGACTTTCACCTCCCCCTCTCCTCTCCCCCCTCCCTCTCTCCCCTCCCCCCCCTCCCCTCTCTCCCCTCTCCTCTCTCCCCTCCCCTCTTTCCCCTCCTCTCTCTCACCTCCTTCTCCAGCGTCTCCTCTGGCTCCACCTCCTCCTGACCCAGCATGAGTCTGAGTTTCTCCTTCTCCTCCCGCTGCATACGTCCAGGAGAGAACAGACTGAGAGGAAACGGGAGGTGCTCCGCATACCAGCGACGGGTCACCTCCACATAGTTCTTACTGTCCACCCACCAGCAGTAGGTCTGGAACACAGTTATTTATATATAACACATGTACAGTAACCCTAACCCTAACCCTTGCAAAAGTATTCGGCCCCCTTGAACATTTCGCCACATTTCAGGCTTCAAACATAAAGATATAAAATTTTAATATTTTGTCATGAATCAACAACAAGTGGGACACAATCGTGAAGTGGAACAAAATGTATTGGATAATTTAAACTTTTTTAACAAATAAAAAACGGAAAAGTGGGGCGTGCAATATTATTTGGCCCCTTTACTTTCAGTGCAGCAAACTCACTCCAGAAGTTCAGTGAGGATCTTTGAATGATCCAATGTTGTCCTAAATGACTGATGATGATAAATAGAATGCACCTGTGTGTAATCAAGTCTCCGTATAAATGCACCTGCTCTTTGATAGTCTCAGGGTTCTGTTTAAAGCACAGAGAGAACCATGAAGACAAAGGAACACACCAGGCAGGTCCGAGATACTGTTGTGGAGAAGTTTAAAGCCGGATTTGGACACAAAAAGATTTCCCAAGCTTTAAACATCTCAAGGAGCACTGTGCAAGCAATTATATTGAAATGGAAGGAGTATCAGACCACTGCAAATCTACCAAGACCCGGCCGTCCCTCCAAACTTTCATCTCAAACAAGGAGAAGACTGATCAGAGATGCAGCCAAGAGGCCCATGATCACTCTGGATAAACTGCAGATAACTACAGCTGAGGTGGGAGAGTCTGTCCATAGGACAACAATCAGTCGTGCACTGCACAAATCTGGCCTTTATGGAAGAGTGGCAAGAAGAAAGCCATTTCTCAAAGATATCCATAAAAAGTCTCGTTTAAAGTTTGCCACAAGCCACCTTTTAGACACACCAAACATGTGGAAGAAGGTGCTCTGGTCAGGTGAAACCAAAATCAAACTTTTTGGCCACAATGCAAAACGATATGTTTGGCGTAAAAGCAACACAGCTCATCACCCTGAACACACCATCCCCACTGTCTAACATGGTGGTGGCAGCATCATGGGCCTGCTTTTCTTCAGCAGGGACAGGGAAGATGGCTAAAATTGATGGGAAGATGGATGGAGCCAAATACAGGACCATTCTGGAAGAAAACCTGTTGGAGTCTGCAAAAGACCTGAGACTGGGACGGAGATTTATCTTCCAACAGGACAATGATCCAAAACATAAAGCCAAATCTACAATGGAATGGTTCACAAATAGACGTATCCAGGTGTTAGAATGGCCAAGTCAAAGTCCAGACCAAAATCCAATCGAGAATCTGTGGAAAGAGCTGAAGACTGCTGTTCACAAACGCTCTCCATCCAACCTCTCTGAGCTCCAGCTGTTTTGCAAGGAAGAATGGGCAAGAATTCCAGTCTCTCGATGTGCAAAACTGATAGAGACATACCCCAAGCGACTTGCAGCTGTAATTGCAGCAAAAGGTGGCGCTACAAAGTATTAGCGCAAGGGGGCCGAATAATATTGCACGCGCCACTTTTCCGTTTTTTATTTGTTAAAAAAGTTTAAATTATCCAATAAATTTCGTTCCACTTCACGATTGTGTCCCACTTGTTATTGATTCATGACAATTTTTTTTATTTTTCTATCTTTATGTTTAAAGACCTTATGCCGTGTTTGATTTATTTAGAAATACAGTTTTAATACCATTTATATTAGAAGAGAACTACTAAAGGTTTCAAAATCAGTTGTTGTTTTTTTTGTCTGATCCCCACAAATCAAAATAACCCCATAGCAACGCCCTTAGAGACAAAAAAACTTCACAGCCCTTGGTGACGTCAGAGTGGGCACGTTTCAACGCTGTAACATGTTTACAATTTGATATTCGTTATTTTTACGCGGATATTCAAGATGACAAGGCCGTGTACAGCGAGTCTGAAATTACTATTAGATTATAACACATTGTTGGCACTGAGATAGTCCAGTGGTTGTATCGATGGACTGCCAATCCAGATACTGGGGTTCAAATCCCACCTCAGACACATTTTCACTCTTCACTTTATGTGTAGTGAGCAATTGTCACCTGCAGAGGGCAGTATTGTGTTGGGCCTCAGTGGAGAGAAAAGGCAGTCCTGTGGCATAGATCCATGGTTTTCAATGCATGGGCGTTACCCGCTATGAGGTCACACACAGGTTAGAGCATAGACAACTTAAATTCATGAAAAACACGTTCTTTTTATAAAATATAGGATTTTTTTTGCCGGAATCTCTTTCAGATTGACATTGTCATGCAATTTTGATATCCACAATTTTTTTTTTTTTAAACCCGGCATAAGGTCTTTAAAGCCTGAAATGTGGCGAAATGTTGAAAGGTTCAAAGGGGCCAAATACTTTCGCAAGGCCCTGTATATATACAGAGACCAGAGGGAGACCAGAGAGAGAGACCAGAGGGAGAGACCAGAGGGAGAGACCAGAGGGAGAGACCAGAGGGAGAGACCAGAGGGAGAGACCAGAGGGAGAGACCAGAGGGAGAGACCAGAGGGAGAGACCAAAGAGAGACCAGAGGGCGAGACCATACAGAGAGACCAGAGAGAGAGCCAGAAAGAGAGACCAAAGAGAGACCAGAGAGAGATCAGAGAGAGACCAAAGAGAGAGACTAGAGAGAATGACCAGAGAGAGTGACCAGAGAGAGTGACCAGAGAGAGTGACCAGAGAGAGTGACCAGAGAGAGTGACCAGAGAGAGTGACCAGAGAGAGTGACCAGAGAGAGTGACCAGAGAGAGAGACCAGAGAGAGAGACCAGAGAAAAACCAGTGAGGTCTGACCAGAGCAGGGCGTAGTTTCTCGTGGATCAAGGAGGTGAAGGCCAAACTGTCAGCGCCCTCTTTTGCCGACAGGTCGTAGTCTGCATTATACTTCTGTAAAGAGACCAGACCATAAAGAGACCAGAGAGAGACCAGACCTCAAAGAGACCAGAGAGAGACCAGAGAGAGACCAGAGAGAGACCAGACCTTAAAGATACCAGAGAGAGATCAGACCATAAAGAGACCAGAGAGAGACTAGACCATAAAGAGACCAGAGAGAGGCTAGACCATAAAGAGACCAGAGAGAGACCAGACCTTAAAGAGACCAGAGAGAGACTAGACCATTAAGAGACCAGAGAGAGACTAGACCATAAAGAGACCAGAGAGAGACCAGACCTTAAAGAGACCAGAGAGAGATCAGACCATAAAGAGACCAGAGAGAGACCAGACCATAAAGAGACCAGAGAGAGACTAGACCATAAATAGACCCGAGAGAGAGACCAGAGAAGCCAAGGGTTCATGATGATGTCACACAGCTCTCTACCTGTTTCCGCAGGTGGATGATGATGTCATTGGGTTGGGTCAGAGTCTCGCTCTGATTGGTCCTAAAAGCAGGAAGTGAACCTGAGGACACAAACTCACATGTCAGAGTCTGGATTCAGCGTTAGCATCAGCGTTAGCATCAGCGTTAGCATCCAATCACATGAGAGAACAGCTACATGTTACACAGTGGACTTTAAAGCTGCACTAACTGAATTTGAGACATTTTCGAATGAGAACGCTGAGCTCGCCCTCTCTGCTCGCCCTCCCCGCACAGAGCTTTCGCCCCCCACTACTGCCCCCTCCCCCTCAGCCTCTGCTCATGCTAACTGTATACGGAGCTCACGTCTCACAATATGGACACATTTGCACGTGGATGGGGTGACCATAGAATGATAGAACCGGGAAGCGCGGAGGAACAATACTTTCTTTTGGATGTTTTCTTGTGTAAGCAAAACCATGTGTTTCATGGTACGATGACGGGATCTCTGAGCCTGGCCTCCTCCATCTACACCTGCGGACTGCCCCGCCCGACCCGCCTGGGAGTGCTTCGGTCCTGCACCGGTCACCACGTTCAGCGGCCACTGGTCCACGTTCTGTAGCTAGTGTAAGGGGATTTATATTGTTTTGTTTTGTGTTATGCCTGTGTTATTACCTGGCTAGGACCTATTTTGAGTGCACATTGATATGACGGTGATGAGGTCACAGGCGCAAGAAAAATGTAACCTCGGGTTGGAGGAGAGTTCGCTTGATGGGGAGCTGTAGACTGAATAAAGCTACGTTCCTGAGGAGCTGTCCCTCTCTGTGTGATTCTTCATACACCCACGACCTTTCTAACACAGGGTGATACTCGCTCAATGCAACTTGTGTTACACTGGTGGCAGCGGGTTGTGGACATATTTTTTTTTTTTGCATCTGGAGAGGTTGAATCGTCGCTCTGGGACACGTTGCACCACGGGCTAAGCTAACGGCAGAAACGTTGGACTTTTCCCCACAACGCTACGAGGAATAACGGACTGACTATTACGAGTGAGTTCGAGACTTCTGAGGTGGATTACGTTTGCATAGGCCCTGTGGATTTTTGTTGGTGTTGCATTTTGTGTCGTAGATAAGGCACGGTGCATAAGCTAACCAGCTATCTGCTAGGGGCAGTGTGTAATTCACGGATAACAACGGGTGTGTAAACGGAATACGCAAACATTTTTTTTTTTACAAATATTTGGACACATTTTTTTTTATGAGTAGAGACTTTGCCTGTTGTACATTTGAGGCAGAGGAGTGTTTTGTGATGCAACGATGGCAAATAACTTCTGGAACGATCTGCCTTTTTCTGCTGCCTCTAACCGCGCCATTCCACCGTACCGCCAATTTTTCATGGGGGACGGAAAAGAAGATTTTTCAAGATGGTGCCGTCGTTTTGAAGTCACAGTAAATGCTAATCCTGATGTTGAGGAAGACAGTTTGGCGAAACTCCTTCCTACATGCTTGGGGGGTGCTGCTTTTAGCTATTGGGACAGTTTACCTGATGCTGTAAAGTCAGACTTTGATGCCACAAAAGAGAAACTGAAAAGCGTTTTTGGACAGGCTGCATATCTATCAACATTTCAAAGCTACATTAATGCACGCGCTCGTCACCCGGGTGAGGCTTTACCTGTTTTTGCTGCTGAAATCAGTCGCCTGATGGAGGAAGCTTTTCCCACATATGGTGACAATGCAAAGAAAGGTGAGAAACTAAGGCGCTTTATTGCTGGACTTGACCCGTATCTACAGCTCAGATGTCACGAACAAGGGGTTGATACACTTGAAGATGCCCTTAAATATGCCGCTCAGATTGAATCTGCACACCAAGCTAGTAAATTGTTAGCGCCTGGTACTATGCAATCATTTTCCACTGACATGGTTTATCCTGCTATTTCACCCGTGTCATCCAGTCATTTTCCGGCAACTGGTGCACTAGGTATAAACTCGGCCAATGCAGATGATATGAAGAAGATGTTAAAAACTATTGAAACGTTATCAGAGAAAGTTGAGCACCTACAGTTGGCAGTGGACCGTCAACACAGAGACAAAAACAACTACACACATCGTTATAGGAGTTACACTCCTGAGGGACCTCGTGAGGACCGCCGTGACTACTCCAGCAGATCCTACAGATCTTCGCCGCGACGTCAAGACTACGACCTTGACAGCCATCATTCATCTCGTTGTGAGGGGGAGAACTACTGTCGTCTTGGTTCGTCGGACCGGCTTCCACGTCAGAGCCATTCTTCAGAGAGAGGCAACAACAACCGCGGCCGCTCTCCGGATCGCTATGAGAGTCGCCGATATCGCTCTCCCAGCCCAGGAAGAGTACGCTCCGAGTCCCCATCACGTCCAAAGCAGAACCAGGTAAACTACAAGTAGTTGACAATGAGGACCAATTGTCAGCTACAGAGCCCATCCTGGTCCAGACTGACAATAAAACGAATGACATTACATTTGTGACAGACATTGAGAAGAGGTATGTTTCAGTTGTTATCGAAGACACAATTGTACATGCTTTTGTTGATACTGGGGCTGATGTTTCGGTCATTAGCGAGGACTTTAGAATGAAGACACCTGCTCTTCAAAGGAAACCCATTGTGAAGGAGTTTGTTCCCCTCAAAGGAGTCGCGGGGGAACCACTTGACTCTGTAGGTTCCATCGCTGTTAATGTAGACCAGGGGTGCTCACACTTTTTCAGCATGCGAGCTACTTATAAAAGGATCAAGTCAAAATGATCTACCTACTACAAAAATGCAAATCATATATTTATTTCAAAAAATATTCTTTATATCTACAATGTATGTTTATGTACATGCAAAACCGCATGAGCCAATATAGCACAACACAACACAATTACCTATGTACATTTGTTGTCATTACCCGAGTTTACTGTGATGACTTGCACTGAACTGAATCGGCCAGGGATGCATAGTCCGGAAAATTGGTGGCAACTCGCTGACAAGTTTGTCGTGGTTTAGCTTTCCTGCACTGAGCGCGGTTGTTTGCGCATGTACAGTCACCTAAGAGTAAAACACAGATGTCATTTGACTGTGGTGCCATGTCCATGTGCCATGCCTGTTTTTTTTAAATCCAAATATTTCCCCTCCTCCGTTTATAAAATAATTTGCATCCACACATCTACGTTATCAATCACATTCGTAACATTCCAAACATGTGCGTCTCTTACGTCCTGTCCTGCGTTGGGGAAAAACACGGAAGTGGGCGGAGTTCTGATGCAGACGCCGGTAACGGCACTCAGTCATAGAAGACACTCAAGAGTAAAGAGTAAGACGTATGTTTACAAGCACTGACCCCGTCCTCAGCCCTGGTTTAGTCCTGGTTTAGTCCTGGTTTGGTTGTTTTCGAGCGTGAGTCCCCGCGATCACTTTGCTGCTCTCTGATGTGGAGCGAGGATGTTTTTAAGGTAGTGTGATCCGTGCTTCAGTGATCAGAGGAATTTAGGGGGGTACTGTGGCGTGCGAGAACGCAAAACTCTGGTTATCTGTGTCTACACACAAATGCATCAACGGAGTTTTCAAAAATCTCCACTTTGCCCGGAGTTTTTTATATATATTAGTTTAGAATGTGTAATTTTTTATTTATTTAATGCGATCTACCAATACTACCTTTGCGATCGACTGGTAGATCGCGATCGACGTATTGAGCACCCCTGATGTAGACCTTGCCCATAAACCTATGACACACACTTTTCAAGTGGTTCGAAACTGCACAAAACCAATCATCTTGGGTTGGGATTTCATGGTCGCCAATGGAATTGTTGTGGACACGCGAAAGATGACACTAGATGTTGAAGACAAAACTGTACCACTAGTTAGTCCACAGCAATATGCTCCTTTTCTAACTAGTGTGTCAGTTTCCTCCACAGTGACTATCCCGGCAATGTCAGAAAGGGTCATCTCTGCTACTTTGGATGCACCCCTCAAAGGACTTCGACCTAATGGCTATACAGGTGTGTTTGAACCTCATTATTCAGTTGAGACTACTGCAGGGTTTGCATGGACTGTAGCCAGAGTAGAACTTGGCTAAATTTGTGTTAAAGTGGCTAATTTAGCACATAGTGAGATTAAGTTGTACGGAGGCACTCAGATTGGACTTTTTCATGCAGTTTCAGAGGGCAGAAAAAGTGACTTCAGTATTATGGACAGTTCTGTATCTAATATTAATGTTCAGGTACCAAACGTTCCCAAGCATGTCACCAAGCCAGTCATTAAAAACTCAGACCTAACGGTAATCCAGAACCATCAACTCAATGAGACACTAACGTCATTTGCAGATGTTTTTAGTCAGCATTCACATGATTTTGGCAGGACTGATTTACTCACTCACTTAGGGGCTGGTGCTGTGTGTACTGGGTGCAGCTCTGGCCACCCCCCCGACCCAGAAATGGATTAAGGGGAAGAAAATGGATGGATGGATGGATGATTTACTCACTCATAAAATAGTCACAAACTGTGACATGCCAATCTCACAAAGGGCCTATCGTACATCTCCTGCTATTAAATCGGAGATTCATCGTCAAGTTGAAGCTCTTAAAGCACAGGACTTGATTGAAGACAGTACAAGTCCCTGGGCCAGTCCTGTAGTTATGGTGAGAAAGAAGGATGGCTCATATAGGTTTTGCGTAGACTTTAGAAAGTTGAACGCTGTTACCATAACTGACGCACATCCGTTACCGAGGGTAGATGACAGTCTCGATGCACTGTCAGGCTCTCAATTCTTTTCGACAATGGATATGTCCAGCGGGTACTGGCAAGTGCAAATGCATCCCACAGATCGACGTAAGACAGCATTCACAACCGAAGATGGTCTTTATCAATTTAAGGTCATGCCTATGGGCCTCAAAAACGCACCACCAACATTTCAGAGGCTAATGGAGTTGGTTTTGAGAGGACTGCATTGGACAACCTGTGTCATTTATTTAGATTACATCATATGTATGGGTAAAACCTTTGAGGATAACCTACACAACCTCACAGACATTCTCACTCGATTTAGACAAGCAGGTTTGAAGTTAAACCCTAAGAAATGTGACTTTTGCAAAACGACAGTTAAGTACATGGGACATGTTGTATCTCGTGAGGGATTGACTCTGGATCCTGTTAACAGTGAACGCATCAGTAACTGGCCGACGCCATGCTCACCTACTGAGGTCCGTGCATTTTTGGGACTCTGTTCATACTACAGACGTTTTGTGCACAGATTTATTGCACAACCACTTCATAAACTGACAGAAAAACAGGTCGTGTTTGAGTGGACTGAGGACTGCTCGGGTGCTTTTCAGACATTAAAGGAGGCGCTTATGTCTCCTCCAATAATGGCTTTTCCCAACTTTGATCAGCCATTTATTTTAAGCACAGATGCATCCAATTTTGCGGTTGGTTCGGTGCTTTCACAAAGACAAAATGGACAAGAACGCGTTGTGGCTTATGCGAGTCACGTGCTTTCAAAGACTGAGAGAAAGTGGTCTACATACGACAAAGAACTCTAGTTAGTTAGTTATTTATTTAAAAGGACAACGGACAGGTACATTAAAAAGATGGCTGCCCCAGATTTAGCACAATGCTAATTTCCATCTGTAGTCCTTAACTATGCTATTGTTTGGTCGGTCAGACACTTTAGACACTACCTGAGTTGTAATCCTTTTACCATTATTACTGACCACCGCCCTCTGCTCAGTTTAAGAAAGATGGACATCACGCACGACCCTACTCGACGCCGGGGTCGGTGGGCATTGGAGTTGGATCCCTACCTTTGGACAATCACTCACAAGGATGGAAAGAAGCACACGAATGCAGATGCAAGGTCACGTATACCATCAGTGATTCCTGATACAATGGAGGTGATTGTGTCTCCCTCTGCTGACATTCACACTCCTACTACAGAAAAAACAAGGACAGAGTTGCTTAATTCAGCTCTAGAATCACTCAAGACTAATCAAACATCGCAAGTATGTTTTGTGGACAGTGTTGCTGGACAGGTCTCTACTGGTATTAACATGTCACCACTTACTTTTGGTATGAATAATGCTGATATTGTATCTGCACAACTTTCTGACCCTATTATTTCAGATGTGTATAACTGGGTACAGTCTGGGAAACGTCCTTTTCTTAGGCAGGTTAAAGATAAGACTCAGAGGAAACTTTGGTGGCAGTTTCCCAAGCTTGTTTTGTGTGATAATTTACTATGCCGTAAAGGTCACATGGTGCCAGGGAAACCTGAGGTTTATCAAGTGGTGATACCATCTTTAATTATTTCTGAGACAATGCCTTTTCTACATGGTAACCCATGTTCTGGTCATTACAGTGCCGAGCGCACATTTAAGAAAGCGATGACAATGTGTTATTGGCCAGGTATGAGATCTGATATTGAGGACTTTTGTAACCGGTGTAAGTCATGTGAGGCCTTCAGAAAGCCTGTGCCACAGCGCAGAGCACCATTGCAATCTATTCAGGCTGACAGACCCTTTCAGTTTGTTTGCACGGACATTACAGAGCTCCCTGTAACTTCTGCTTGAAATAGATATGTCCTTGTGGTCCAAGATCCATCCATCCATCCATCCATCCATTTTCTACCCTTTAATCCATTTCTGGGTCAGGGGGGTGGCAATCAGAGATGCCACCCAAGTCTCATAGCACCAGCCCCTCACTGACCCTCTGCAGGTGGTGAGTCCACAGGAGGACGGCTGCTCTCTGAGTGTGAGCATAGCCTTGATCTTTCAGTGGGAGCTTTGGGCAAAGTGGGGTTAAGTGTCTTGCCCAAGGACACAACGACAGCAGTCATCAGTGGGAGTCGATGGAGAAGGTGCAGAGGTGGGAATTGAACCCACGACCTTCTGGGCTTAAGGCCAATGCTCTACCAACTGAGCTACTGTCGCCCCTGGTCCACTGGTCCAAGATCATTTCACCAAATATGTGAATGCTTATGCTATGTGTGATCAAAAGGCAGCTACAGTAGCACAATTATTTTGTGAGAGGTATATTCCTGAACATGGTGTCCCTGAGGAATTGTTTTCTGATCAGGGTAGACAATATGAATCAGAAATCATTCAAACAATATGTCGGAACTTAAACATTAAAAAGAAAAGGACTTCTCCATATCACCCAAGAGGTAATGGTATGGTAGAGCGGTTCAACAGAACTTTAAAAGGACAACTGGCTAAACTTATTCAAGACAATGTAGGTGAATGGGACTACTATCTGCCATCTATGGTTCTTTCTTTCAACTCTACACCTCACACGAGTACCGGATATTTGCCTTATTTTCTAACACATGGCAGGGAGCCCAGGTTACCTGCACATGTTCATGTGGCGTCACCCACAGATCCTGAAAGCCCACAGAACTATGGGGCAGAACTGGTCTCACGTTTGGAATATGCTTTTGAGGCAGTTCGCATGCACCGTGAGGAACAACAACTAAAACGTGAGCACTATTATGACAAACAGGTTAAGTTTGAACTATATGTATGTGGTGATCTGGTTTGGTTGGATGATCCCACTACATAAAGACAAAAACTTTGCCCAAACTGGACTGGACCGTTTAAGGTTGAAGCTGTGAATGATGATGACTAATCTATAAGCTGTTGGACATGAAACATCCTCAAGCTGTACCAAAAGTCATTCATTATGATCGTTTAAAACCTTTTCGTTCTAAGGACATTTTTCCGGGTGTGACACCACCGGTGCCTTGCATGCACACAGCCCCAGGGTACACAGCTTTATCTGGGTCACTTCCTGTTGCGTTTGGACAACCGGTTGAAAACCAGGGTGCAGGAACTAGGCCGTCTGTGCCATCCTCTAGGAGAATGACTGGTCGGGTCTTTCATGGGCCTGCACGGCAACAACAAAACAGGACATTGGGTGCCTCTAGTGGTGACGTTGCTACTAGATGTGGTCGCATTGTGAAGAGACCAACTCGCCTTCTCTTATAAAAAAGTTATGTTTATAAAAACAAAAAAAAGTGGAGAAAGTTTGTCAGGATTTATATGTTTTGTTTCTCCAACAGGTTAATGTTTAAATGAGGACATTTTATTTGAAGAAGGGGAAGAATGTAAGGGGATTTATATTGTTTTGTTTTGTGTTATGCTTGTGTTATTACCTGGCTAGGACCTATTTTGAGTGCGCGTTGATATGACGGTGATGAGGTCACGGGCGCTAGAAAAATGTAACCTCGGGTTAGAGGAGAGTTTGCTTGATGAGGAGCTGGAGACTGAATAAAGCTACGTTCCTGAGGAGCTGTCCCTCTCTGTGTGATTCTTCATACACCCACGACCTTTCTAACACAGGGTGATACTCGCTCAATGCAACTTGTGTTACACTAGCTTAGGTCCTGGATCATTAACCTGTCCGTCCGGAGGAGCGGATCCCTTTCTCAAATGGGTCTCCCTCCCTGTGGGTTTCCCTAGTTCTCCCCAAGGTTTCTCACTTTTTCCCACTGGGTTTTTTAAGAGTTTTTCCTTGTCGATGCAGGAGGGTCTTGTTGGACAGTTAGTGTCCAACAGAAAGGATTGGTGATGATCAGGACACTTTAGCATTCTACAACATGTATGGACATTTTCTTCTGTGTGTGCTTTATATTCTTCATGTGTTTTAACTGTTGATTCTCTGACCTGTGTTGGTGATTTCAATGGTTTTGTTAAGTCCTCTGAGATGACTTCTGTTGTGACCTAGGGCTATACAAGAATAAATTGTATTGTATTGTATTGTAAGCAGTAACAAAGACACGGGAAGTTTCAGGTTAGCCTCCGCCGCTTGTTTACCTCAGCTGTCTGTGCTAACCACAGACCTGTGGCTTTTCTAAAGAAAGTGGGGGCCAGTGGTCCACTGTGATTGGTCACAATCTGGACCCCAAACACATTCTCTTCCTTGTTTCACAAAAACTCGATCTAAAATAAAGGACGTTTATCCTTCTGCACTGCACGGATATGGACTGGATTTAACTCATGAATACAACAATAAAGTCAGCTTTAATGTTCAGATTTTTACACTGACCCCATTTAAATAAACTTGAGTTCTAGCAGTTCAGCAGCAGCAGTAGCAGCAGTAGTAGCAGTAACAGTAGTAGCAGCAGTAGTAGCAGTAACAGTAGTAACAGTAGTAGTAGTACTTGTACTTGTACCTGAGGGGCTCCTCCAGGGGTTGCTGATCTTGTGGACCTTCAGTGGAGCTCCAGAGAACTGAGCGTAGGCCTGAAACACAGCGTGAGGTCTTTACAGATGTCACATTAAAGAAACAGCAACAGAGAAACGGTGATGTCACACACCGGTGATGTCACACACAGGTGATGTCACACACAGGTGATGTCACACACCGGTGATGTCACACACAGGTGATGTCACACACCGGTGATGTCACACTCTGAGCTACAGTCGTTTACTTCTTCATGGAAGTCAGACTTCAGCAGACCTTCAGCTTCTCACTGTCCATTCATACAGTCCATGCTCCAGACCAGTCCGTACCAGTCCCGTCCAGTCCCAGTCCAGTCTAAGTCCTCACCAGCACCCTCAGACAGTCCTGGTCCAGTCTAGGTCCTCACCAGCACGCTCAGACAGTCCCAGTCCACAGACGGTAACCCGGAGTCTCCTTCCCACACAAACAACTGCTCGGGGGCCGCCATCTTGCCCGGAAATGTGCGCACCGAATGCGGAAGTGACGAGCTACTATATTATTATTATTAATATTATTATTTGTATGCATTATTATTATTTCTATTTATTATTACAAAGTTGAAGACAATATGACACAGATATTAAAGCTGAGGTCCGTAACTTTAGCCTCATAAATAACTTACAGGTCTCTGTGAGTCAGTATCTACAGGTCCCTGTGAGTCAGTATGTCCCTGTGAGTCAGTATCTACAGGTCCCTGTGAGTCAGTATGTCCCTGTGAGTCAGTATCTACAGGTCCCTGTGAGTCAGTATCTACAGGTCCCTGTGAGTCAGTATCTACAGGTCCCTGTGAGTCAGTATGTCCCTGTGAGTCAGTATCTACAGGTCCCTGTGAGTCAGTATCTGCAGGTCCTTGTGAGACAGTATCTACAGGTCCCTGTGAGTCAGTATCGACAGGTCCCTGTGAGTCAGTTTGTCCCTGTGAGTCAGTATTTGCAGGTCTCTGTGAGTCAGTATCTACAGGTCCCTGTGAGTCAGTATCTACAGGTCCCTGTGAGTCAGTATCTGCAGGTCCCTGTGAGTCAGTTTGTCCCTGTGAGTCAGTATTTGCAGGTCTCTGTGAGTCAGTATCTACAGGTCCCTGTGAGTCAGTATCTACAGGTCCCTGTGAGTCAGTATCTGCAGGTCCCTGTGAGTCAGTATCTACAGGTCTCTGTGAATCAGTATCTACAGGTCCCTGTGAGTCAGTATCTACAGGTCCCTGTGAGTCAGTATCTACAGGTCCCTGTGAGTCAGTATCTACAGGTCCCTGTGAGTCAGTATCTACAGGTCCCTGTGAGTCAGTATCTACAGGTCCCTGTGAGTCAGTATCTACAGGTCCCTGTGAGTCAGTATCTACAGGTCCCTGTGAGTCAGTATCTACAGGTCCCTGTGAGTCAGTATCTACAGGTCCCTGTGAGTCAGTATCTACAGGTCTCTGTGAGTCAGTATCTACAGGTCTCTGTGAGTCAGTATCTACAGGTCTCTGTGAGTCAGTATCTACAGGTCCCTGTGAGTCAGTATCTGCAGGTCCCTGTGAGTCAGTATCTACAGGTCTCTGTGAGTCAGTATCTACAGGTCCCTGTGAGTCAGTATCTGCAGGTCCCTGTGAGTCAGTATCTACAGGTCTCTGTGAGTCAGTATCTGCCTCTTTGGGCTGAGAGCTGATTGGCAGAGAGAAGGGGGGTCCTCTCTTTGATCTAAACCAGTGGGGGTGGATCCCGGCTCAAAAGTGGCCAAAATGACGTGCGCTGACATGCTGCAGTACCACCCTGGGCCTGTGGGGGTGGACCCGGAATAAGAATTAGCCAATGCTAACATATAGCATCTTCTTACCTCTGGAAAACGTCTTTACAGGATGGTCCAAAAGTTGTTTCTTGGCTCAAAGCTCCGTTCCACATGTGTGTCAATGCTGAGGGATTGTGCTGGGCCAGTCTAGTTTAGTCGCTGTGGACTTTAGAAGTCTCTCCATTCATTTGAACGAGAGACTTCAAAAACTCACAGCAAGTAAACTAGAGTGGACCAAAACACCCCCCTCAGCATTGACACACATGTGGAACAGAGCTTTGGGCCAAGAGACAACTTTTGGACCATCCTGTAAAGACGTTTTTGAGAGGTCTGCCAATGCTATATGTTAGCATTGGCTAATTCTTCTTCTGGGTCCACCCCCACAGGCCCGGGGTGGTATTGCAGCATGTCAGCGCACGTCATTTTGGCCACTTTTGAGCTGGGACCCGCCCACACTGGTTTAATACAGAGTTCTAGTGATCTGAGAGTTACAGACCCCAGCTTTAAAGTCAGAGTCACAGACCCCAGCTTTAAAGTTACAGACCCCAGCTTTAAAGTCACAGACCGGAGGTTTAAAGTGATAATAATATTATGATCCCACAATTTTAAAAGTAAGACACAGACACAAAATCAAAAACACATTTTATTAAAATTATTGCAAACACAATCTTTAATTGATCACAGCTCATGGTCATCTGTCTGTGTGTGTGTCTGTCCGTGTGTGTCTGTGTGTGTGTGTGTGTGTGTGTGTGTGTCTCTCTGTGTGTGTGGGTGTGTGTGTATGTGTGTGTCTTAAGCCTAGCGTACATCGACAGAGAAACTGGGGACAACTAGTTGCAAGGCGGCTTTTGGCAACTGAGAGGAGATGGTGGGAGATGATCAGTTGCCAAAATCGGTCGATGTGCGCGCTCTTACAACTGGAGATGATCAGTCGGTCTCCAGTTTCAGTCAGTTGCCCGTGTTCTACTTTTCGGCAACTAGTTGTCCTCAGTTTCGGAGATAAGACCCGATGTGCGCGCTCCCTGCGCCGCTCCGACAACATGTGTGTATTGCGTGTATTGCGCGCCCGCAACAGTTTATGTCAGAAAACACACTGTAGTTGAGGCCAGTTGCTGTCGATGTACGCGCTGTTATTCCCGAGACCGGTCTGATACTGGGAGTTGCCCGTTTTCGTCAGATTGTCGATGTGTGCGGGGCAGCAACTCATATGCGACGGATATAATCAGTTGCCAGTCCGATGTACGCTAGGCTTTACAGAGTGTGCACGTGTGAAATTCACAGTTTACAAGTTCATAGTCCCTGTTCAGTCCCAGTCCAGTCCTGGTCCAGTCCCTGTTCAGTCCCGGTCCAGTCCTGGTCCAGTCCCTGTTCAGTCCCGGTCCAGTCCTGGTCCAGTCCCTGTTCAGTCCCGGTCCAGTCCTGGTCCAGTCCCTGTTCAGTCCTGGTCCAGTCCCACCAGGCGACAGCTCTCGTTCCACAGTTTTAAAGCCGTTTCATCGTCTCGTCCTTCAGCTGCTGTCTCCTTCTCTGCACAATCACTGACACAACAACTAAAGTTACAGACCTGAGCTTTAAACATGTGTTATTTAGACTAAAGTTACAGACCTGAGCTTTAAACATGTGTTATTTAGACTAAAGTTACAGACCTGAGCTTTAAACATGTGTTATTTAGACTAAAGTTACAGACCTGAGCTTTAAACATGAGTTATTTAAACTAAAGTTACAGACCTGAGCTTTAAACATGAGTTATTTAAACTAAAGTTACAGACCTGAGCTTTAAACATGAGTTACCTGAAGTACTTCCCGCTCTTGCTCTCCAGTCCTGGCGTCACGGCGCAGTACACTGTGGTTTGACTGCCCTCGTGTGGCGTCTTCATGAACAGCAGCGCGGGAAAACTCAGCAGCAGCGCGAGGAGCGGGAACGACGATTCAACATGGCGCCCGAGCTCTGTCCTGATCACACCGGGGTGAAGACAGAAGCAAGACACACCCGAGCCTGGGGGAGAGAGGGTGACACAGGGGTGAGAGAGGGTGAAGACAGAAGCAAGACACACCCGAGCCTGGGGGAGAGAGGAGGAGAGAGGGGTGAGAGAGGGTGACACAGGGGTGAAAGAGGTTGAAGACAGAAGCAAGACACACCTGAGTGTAACGGATATAGAAATGCACTTTATATTTAGGCCCGAGCCCCAACTGGGGTAACGGCCTATTGCTTTTACCCTTTTTCTCATTTCCAATGAGTAATGCCAGTGGCCACCACTGTCATAAGTCACAATCTCCGGGCTGTGATCTGCACGCAACGGCACGGCATGGCTTTGCTCCTGCTGTAGTACACAGTGAAATGTATGGGGTCCTATGGGTGGGTGGGTGACCTCATGATGTCGAGGTGATTGACGAGAATCACCGAGTACCCAATAGTTGCGTTCGCCTTGTCGTTCGCTATAAAACGATGTATCATTTGTATTATAGGTTACCATGGAAACCTATATTGTTTTTGCTCAAAGATTTAAAAATTTATCTTATTTATCTATTTTTTCTTTTGCGCTTTGAACCTTAATTTGACCCCTTGAACATTGATGAAAAGTAGTGAAATTTTGCCCAAAATTCAGAACCGGTGAAAAATTAATTTTTTTGGTGTTTATTTTTATGGGACTGAAAACATTTCAGTATAGCGCCCCCTACAAAAGTCAGTTTACATTGCGCCTATGGGAGGGGGTCGAAGGTCAAGTTTGTCGTAGAACCATGAAATTTGGTACACATGTTCCTCAAGACAAGACATGAAAAAAAAGTTATTATGGCTCCGCCCCCTGACAAACAGGAAGCTCATTAATTTTAATGGGAAATGGAAAATGAAAATTGATATTTTTCACACATGTCGGTTGGAAATTATCTCCTCCTCGGCCGTTTCACCGATTTGTCTCATAATCGCTCCACTTGGTCTAAACACATGTACCATCAGTTATTGAATATAGAATTTGGATCAGTTAAACGTTGTCCAAGCAGCGGAGCGGCAAAATGTGACATTTGTTTAGATTTTTGACACAAGTAAATTTGCTCCTGTTTGCACAAACAAAGCCGGATTTGCACAAAATATTTATCCATTGTTCAGCTCCAGGGTCTTGGTCATTTGAAAGTGGAAATATTGAAATTGGCTCATTAGCACCCCCTACAGACTATGTCAAAATTTTACATGGGCCTAATAAAATTTCGTTTTTTCAAAATGTTTGACATTTTGCACATAATTCTGTTTTGTCATCTGGATTCAAAAAGTCAACGACAAAATATGATTATTTTTTACCCTGTTGCCGTGACGACGACAAACACTCCCCTGTCTGTGTCAATGGGAAAATCATTATATCTCTGAAAAGTACACCTCGCTCAAACATCAAACCAGCCGCGGCCGTTTCACTAATTTGGCTGAAAATCGCTCCACATTGTCTCAACACATGGACCATCAATAGTTGAATATAGAATTTAAATTAGTCAAGCGGTCTGCGCGTGACAGACTCCCAAAGTGTGGTTATTTTTATAGAGAGGTGTGAAGTTCCCATGTTATCCGATGGAGACTGTATGGACACACTCACAGATTGTATGAACAAACAGGAGCAGATTTACAAACTCTGATTTGCAGTAAACTTGACTCGGTTGTTCCACTCCTGGGCCTAGGTCACATGACAGTGTGAACAATGACATTGGCCCATTAGCGCCCCCTAGAGACTGAGTAAAGGTTTACATGGGGATACAGGTATTTAGGTTTTATGTTGTTTGATCTCATATTTGACCCACTGAACAAACACAAAAACTCACCAAACTTTGCCACAAGTTTTTTTCAGGCATTTTACAACATAAATGCCACCATTTGCACATACAGAGTCCGATTTGCACAAAATTTGAATTGATTGTTCAACTCTCGGGTTTGGGTAAACTGAAAGTGTTAAAGTGATAGTCTGTAACTCTAAATTAATTACAAATTTTAAGAAATGTGTTAAATTGACCTCCTGGCCTTAAATGTTGATATAAAATAAGTCATTTTATTAATTCTAATATTACGGGCAAGTCCCGCCTTCCCTGCTCTTAGCTATAACTCAGAATCCACGGTGCCGTCGAGGTCAACCAATCGAGTCATGCCAAGGGCTGTCAATCATCAGCGCTGATGCTCGCAGCTGCGCATGCTCAGTTGTTTGTTTTCGCGAAGCCTCCGAATCAAGCCTCTATTAGGATCTGGAACTACATGAAAACTGAACAAAGAATTCTGAACATCCGCGCTGAGTTACTCATTTATATACTGAACCTATATCCATAATCATTTATATACTGAACCTATATCCATAATCATTTATATACTGAACCTATATCCATAATCATTTATATACTGAACCTATATCCATAATCATTTATATACTGAACCTATATCCATAATCATTTATATACTGAACCTATATCCATAATCATTTATATACTGAACCTATATCCATAATCATGTATATACTGAACCTATATCCATAATCAGATCCTCTGCAGGTTTGTCCTATAATGTGCAATTCATGATAATAGCACTTCCTGGTTTGCCGCGATCGCTTTTTTTGTGCATAAAAACATTATTTTTTTCATTAAAACGTTCACAAATAATTCTGAAAACCTCCGTGCATGTGTATTAATAATGTATATGTATAATGTGTTCTCTGATTAACATGTAAAAGTGTTACGGAAACGTAGGCATAGACCAATCAGAAAGGAAGGGGGAGGAGCTTGCGTTGTTTTTATCAAATCAAGTACCTCTCTGTCTCTCTTTCTGACAAACTCCAGACAATCACTTTAAAGACTAAATTGCAGCAATAGCGCCCCCTACAGACTGAGTCAAGTATTACATGGGGAGAATGACGTTTACCTTTTCAAAGAAACAAACAATCACTGATCATAGGAATTCAAAATGCACAGTGTCGCTCCCATCAGGGCTTTAGGAAAATGGCGCGTCAGCTCCACCTCCTTTGCGCGGTGCGGCGAGGGCTGTTTGCTTTAATTTTGTTTTACATTTCCTGGTTGTATTTATTTTAAAATGTAATTTTGTGTGAATTTTATTATTTTGACGTTTTATTTTGAAATTCCCGGAAGTAAGCGCTGCTCTGCTGTGTTTTATTTTGGTACTCAACTTTACTAACGATGTACTGGGTCTTATACATAGACTATAAATATTAACAGATGTAGTCACGTCTATCTCCGCCGTTCTAACTAATGGGCCAAAAACTGGGCTCTCATGGAGTGATTCAAAATGGCCGCGGGGGCTAGAAAATGTGAAAAAACACATCTGTACATGTGTCAGCTGCACAAGCTCCATTCATTTGAACGAGAGACTTCTAAAGTCCACAGCGACTAAACTAGACTGGTCCAGAACACTCAGCATTGACACACATGTGGACCGGAGCTTTGAGCCAAGAGACAACTTTTGGTCCATCCTGTAAAGACGTTTTCGAGAGGTAAGAAGATGCTATATGTTAGCATTGGCTAATTCTTATTCCGGGTCCACCCCCACAGGCCCGGGGTGGTATTGCAGCATGTAAGCGCCCGTCATTTTGGCCACTTTTGACCCGGGACCCGCCCCCATCGGCTGCTCCGCTGTACAACTTTCCCTCTCAAAGCCACGCCATACGCTTCAGAGGGTGAGTTCTGTCTGTGAGAAAAATCATATTTTCAATCATTTAGCTTTATTTTTTGCAATATTTACTAAGATATGTTTAGTAGGACATTTTTTAGGATGCAATGAACGTACTTTTAACATTTTCTAGCGCACATTTTTAGTTTTTCTGTACTTTTTATTTAGCTAGCTTACCATGTGCTCAAGTGTATTGCCATGCTCACGTTCCGTTTTCATCCAGTAGGGGGAGCCAGTTTGTCCACTGTGACTAAAAATGTATATTTTTGGTCTGTCACACTGTGTCCTGTTGTTTGTATACGGCTCGTGGACGAGTTTACAGCCGTTACATCAGTCTGGATGAAACAGGGGTGAGAGAGGGTGAAGACAGAAGGAAGACACACCCGAGCCTGGGGGAGGGGGGGGGGGGGGGGAGAGAGAGAGAGGGTGAGGCAGGACACCCCCAAGAGGAAGGATACCCTCTTTCCCTGAACCCAAACCCTGCTGCAGACTGTAAATATGAACATTTCTGCAGTCTGTTGAAAAGCCCCTCCCTCAGGAAAACACACCTGTGCCTCAGCTGCATCAGCCCCCTCCTCACCCCTCCCCCCCCCTCCTCACCCCTCTCCCTCCTGCTCAGTTCTCTTGTGAACAGAACATTTGCCAGTTTGCTCTGTCTGTAGCTCTTCAGAGGAGAGTAACTCCTTCTGCTGAAGAACAGGTCGTCCACATCCACCTCCCCTGCAACAGAGAGACACCAGGTAAGACACCAGGGGAGACACCAGGGGAGACACCAGGGGAGACACCAGGGGAGAGACAAGAGATAGACCAGAGAGAGACCAGAGAGAGGGACTGGGACCAGGTTATGTAGAATAAACAACTTTGCTTTTATAAAAAAGTCCCTTCGTGTGGCTCTGAGCTCTGCCCTCTGAGGCTGAACTTTCTTACCTCCTTTGTGGGCGATCGAGGACACGTTGATGATGCGGCTGGGGGCGGAGCTTCTGAGCAACGGCAGCAGCTGATTGGTCAACAGAAAGTGGCCCAGATGATTGACAGCAATCTGCATCTCAAACCCGTCCTCCGTCAACCACTTTGGACACATCATGACCCCTGCAGAGGTCAGCGGTCAGAGTCAGAGGTTAGAGTCAGGGGTGAGAGGTCAGGGGTCAGGGTCAGGGGTCAGAGGTCACCTGCGTTGTTGACCAGGAGGTGCAGACTCTCCTCCGTCCTCAGCACCTCCTCACAGAAGCTCCTCACTGAGAGCAGAGAGCTCAGGTCCAGATGTTTCACCTCCACGTCTCCGTTCCCGGTGCTCGACCGGATCTCCTGCGCTGCCGCCTCGCCACGGATGATGTCACGGCACGCCATGATGACGCGTGCGCCTGAGCCAATCAGAGAGCAGAGAGAGAGCAGCCAATCAGAGAGCAGAGAGAGAGACCAGCCAATCAGAGAGCAGAGAGAGACCAGCCAATCAGAGAGCAGAGAGAGAGCAGCCAATCAGAGAGCAGAGAGAGAGACCAGCCAATCAGAGAGAGAGACCAGCCAATCAGAGAGCAGAGAGAGACCAGCCAATCAGAGAGCAGAGAGAGAACAGCCAATCAGACACAGACACACACACCTCTCTTGGCGAACTCTCTGCTCGTCTCTTTCCCGATTCCTCCGTTGGCTCCGGTCACAACAGCAGTTTTTCCATCGAGTCTCAGAGAACATCTGCATCTACCTCCAGAGATCCACCTCCTCAAGACACACACACCTGAGACACACACACACACACAACTGAGACACACACACACACAACTGCGACACACACACATCTGCATCTACCTCCAGAGATCCACCTCCTCAAGACACACACACCTGAGACACACACACACACACACACACACACCTGAGACACACCCACACACAACTGAGACACACACACATCTGCATGTACCTCCAGAGATCCACTTCCTCAAGACACACACACCTGAGACACACACACACACACAACTGAGACACACACACATCTGCATCTACCTCCAGAGATCCACCTCCTCAAGACACACACACCTGAGACACACCCACACACAACTGAGAAACGCACATATCTGCCTCCAGAGATCCACCTCCTCAGGACACACACACCTGTGACACACACACACACACAACTGAGACACACACACACAACTGAAACACACACACACACTCGATGGGCCAGCACTAGTTAATGCGTAACTCACATATACACATACATATACACTTACACAAACACACACACATACACATACACACACACAAACACGCACATACACACACACACACACACATACACATACATATACATACACATACATACACATACATACATATACATATACATACACATACATAAACACACACACACATACATATACATACACATACACACACACACACACACACACATACATATACATTCACATACATATACACATACATATACATATACATACACATATACACACACACACACACACACACACATACCCATACATATACATATACATATACATACATATACATATACATATACATACATATACACATACACATACACATACATATATAATAAGAACACAGCATTCAAGTGGACATTATATGAACCACAACAGAGTGGGGACATAAGAACACCGCATTCAGAGTGGGGACATTATAAGAACACGCCATTCATAGTGGGGACATTATAAGAACACCACTTTCAGAGTGGGGGCATTATTAAAAACACGCATACAGAGTGGGACATTATAAGAACACTGCATCAGAGTGGGGACATTATAAGAAAAACTTGCACAGAGTGGGGGACTTATACACATACACATACACATACATATAGTAACATTCTAAAATTCATAAATTGTATGAACCTGCAGCTTTCAAAAATTACTCTTATGTATCCTGCACACACAGTGTGCAGTATAGAAGAGTGTGTGCTAGAGAGCGGTGTGCGGTATAGAGAGTAGTGCGGTATAGATTGAGGAGTGCGTGTAATAAGAGAGGAGTGTCAGTATTAAGAGGTTGCTTAATGTTAGCCTTGTCCATATAAGTTTACATACTGCCTCTGAATGTCATCGTCATCACTGAGGTCACCTCCTGAGACGTGCCCCAGGTATTTGGCCTTTCCTACATTCAGAAGCTCCACACCAGACAACTAAAAGGCAGGAAAAAATAGACTACCAGCTGTTCTTTGGTCCTCACCACCAAACTACTGACTTCTTAAGTTCAAAACTTAATGTCATATATTCCCATATTCTGTGCAGACCATCAGCAGCTGCTGCAGACCTATGCAGCGTAGGGGGACATGACGCAGATCATCTAATAAAGGAAGCTACAGCAGGCGCAACAACATTCGTTTACTAAACTGCGGGAAGGTTGTGAAGGTAATGACCCAGTGGCTTTTTTTTTACCAACTGGCTCCCAATCATACTCGGACGTGAGGAGTTCGCGGGACCGCTCATGATAGAGCGAGCGCACCGAACACTCGGTCCGAAACCATCCGCAAGCGAGAGACCCAGACCTGTGCTGATCCGGCTGCTGAACTACCAAGATCGGGAGAAAATACTACGCACTGCTGCAAAGCGATACAAGGAAAACAAGAGTCCTATAACGTACGAGGACAGACCTCTTATGTTTTTCCCTGATTTAAGCCCGAACCTGGTGAAGCGGCGTAAGGAGTTCGACCATGTGAAGGGAGAGCTGCGCTCCAGGAATATACAGTACTCACTATTACATCCTGCAACCCTGAGGATAACGCTCGCCGATGGGAAACGGAAAATCTTCCAAACACCGGGAGAAGCAGCAGCTTTTCTAAGGAATAGTTGGGCTGCCCGCTATTGCACCATGCCACTGTGTTACCATATGTCCACGGTTACAGTATGTTCTTCATACTGGACTTGAAGGTATTTCTATTATCATCTCGTATCCGCATATATTCATACTCAGTTTAAGAATGTTTGAGACAATATATCCTGTCGGAGAGCCCCCAGAGAGTAGAGAACGTTGTTCACGACGAGAAGACCGTTTAGAAGGAAGGGAACTGTGCCACATGTTCCAGGAGCGGCACTGAGGGGAATTATGCTCACTTTTATTTTTGTTCTGGGTTTTGTTTGTTTGTTAGTTTTCAGATGCTCACACACTTTCCTCATTGTCACAGTTTTAAAAGGTCAGGTCATTTTATATGTAACAGAATTGTATGGATAGGGTCCTGAAGTTTGTCAGTTTTAATGTAAACGGATTGAATGGGCCTGTCAAAAGGAAAAGAGTCCTGACTTATTTGAAAAAGTTAAAGGTAGATACTGCTTTTATCCAAGAGACTCACCTTACTTCTGAAGAACATAATAAATTAAAGCGTGAATGGGTGGGGCAGGTTATATCCTCCTCATTCAACTCAAAAGCCAGGGGAGTGGCGTTACTGCTCAGGAAGAATACTCCTTTGGAAGTGATCGATACTATCGTTGATCCTTCTGGACGATATGTCTTAGTAAACTGTAGGATATTTTCTGAGCAGTGGTCGCTCCTCAATGTCTACGCTCCCAACTACGATGATGACTCATTTATGCAAGACGTATTTGTCAAACTTTCTGGAGGGCATTGCAATTTACTAATTGGGGGGGACTTTAACTTTTGTTTGGATCCAGCCTTAGACAAATCGTCTATGGTAATATCGAAGTCTAAAGCTGCTAACATTACTCACCCTTTCATGAAGGACTTAAATCTAATGGACGTTTGGCGTCATATGCACCCTCAAACTCGGGACTATTCCTTTTACTCATGCCCCCACAATTCACACACCAGAATAGATCTATTCTTGTCCTCTTCCCATTTGTTCCACAGAGTGTTAGATACAGAATATTTACCTCGGTTACTGTCTGATCATTCACCACTGACTCTCTCAATCATATTTCCCGATATGCCTAGAAGACCATATCGATGGCGGCTTAACTCTACTCTTCTTCAGAGACCAGACTTCTACTCATATGTTAGGGATCATATACAGTTGTTTTGTGAAACAAATAGTCCTTCCTCGCCCAATAGCTTTATCTTTTGGGACACGTTAAAAGCCTACCTAAGAGGACAAATAATCTCTTATACAAAGGGCCTTAAGAAGAAGTACACAGCAGAAATAGAAAAGATGGAGGTAGATATTTCAAACTTAGAAAAAGACTTTCAAGGCAGTGGCTCGAAGGACATTTATCAGTCATTAATCCAGAAAAAAACTCAATACAACACATTGAACACTTATAAGATTGAAAAGGATATCTTAAGGAAAAAACAAAGATACTATGAATTGGGAGAGAAGGCACATAAAATATTAGCATGGCAATTGAAAGCTGAGGAAAGTAGCAGAACCATCAACGCAATTCAGAACAACATTGGGAACACGTCATATAGCCCAGAAGAGATAAATGATAATTTTAAAAGTTTTTATTCAAATTTGTATACATCTGAACTTCCTCATGATCTGACGCAAATTGACAATTTCCTCTCCAAAATTGAACTTACTAAAATTGGCGAAGAAGACCAACAAAGACTGGATTCTCCATTCACCCAAACAGAAATAGCTAAAACCTTAAATTCCCTCCAGCCAAATAAGGCCCCTGGAGAGGACGGTTTCCCAGTGGAATTTTATAAAGAATTTAAGGACTTGCTCATTCCACTGTTTTTGGATGTAACACAATTAGCGTTGAAAATACATACACTCCCTGAATCCTTCACTACAGCCATAATCACAGTAATACTAAAAAAGAATAAAGACCCATTAAAATGCTCCACCTATCGGCCTATTTCTCTGCTGAATGCTGATTACAAACTGATTTCTAAATTGTTAGCGAATCGTCTTAGTCAAGTTTTACCTAAAATTGTTAATCCTGATCAGTGTGGCTTTATTCAGAAACGCTTGTCAGCAAATAACTTAAGTAGGCTTTTCAGCCTAATTCATCTGTCACAACATCGGTCTGACCCAACGGTGGCAGTAATATTGGACGCCGAAAAGGCCTTTGACAGGCTGGAATGGCCGTATTTATTTAAGGTAATGGAGAAATTTGGTTTTGGACAATATTTTATTGACTGGGTGAAGACTCTATACTATAATCCCAAAGCCCGAATTATAACTAATTGGATAATTTCATCATCCTTTCCCTTACAAAGATCGAGCAGACAAGGCTGCCCCCTATCTTCCGCCCTATTTGTTTTGGCTATTGAGCCTTTGGCGGAGGCGATCAGACAGGACCCAAACATCAAAGGCGTCAGTGTTGGTGGAGATACACATAAGATTAACCTTCTGGCCGATGACGTCATGTTGTATATTACAGATCCGTCTCAGTCCCTTACTAGACTACAAACTCTGCTTCATTCTTATGGTACAGTGTCAGGATATAAAGTTAATTATGATAAAAGTGAAATCATTCCACTAACAACATTTAATTACGCTCAATGTCATGATACATCAAGTTTCAAATGGGCTCCAACAGGGATAAAATATCTTGGTATAAACTTAGATAATAATCTTAAAAGTCTTTATAAACTGAACTACAGTCCACTGTTGAAGAAGATCGAGGAAGACTTGCTGAATTGGACCACTCTGCCCATCACACTAATTGGGAGGATTAATTGCATTAAAATGAACATCCTACCAAGACTGCAATATCTTTTTCAGTCTCTCCCCATTTCACTACCACAGTCTTTTTTCAAATCTCTGGACAAAATTGTAAGACATTTCATTTGGAATGGCAAAGTAGCAAGAAAGTCATTGGAGTCACTTACATGGAACTATAACTCTGGAGGACTAAGGTTGCCCCATTTTCGGAAATACTATCTTTCTGCACAGCTGCGCTTTGTGTTATCAATGTTTGACAGGGATGAGGTGCCGTCCTGGGTTCATATTGTATTTCATCCTTTGAAGGAAAATGCCTGTAATTTTGCTTACAAATATAATGCAAAAAATGTGTCTAAGAAAACTGATAACCCCATTCTTATACATCTCGTTAAGGTATGGTATGAGGTACATAAATGTGCTGGCCAAAAATTTGGTTTGTCCCCAATGTCGCCTTTGAGACAAAATGAACTGATACCACTGACTCTGAACAACAAAATTCTGCAATCCTGGCATAACAATGGAATTCATACTTTGGAGGACTGCTTTGAAGGAGGATCTTTGATGTCTTTTGAACAACTAAAGCTCAAGTATAATCTCCCAAATAACACTTTTTTTGGTTATCTCCAGTTGCGTTCATTTCTTATCTGCAATTTGGGTAATCATTTGTCTTTACCTAAACTTACAGGCCTTGAGAAGTTGTTACATTATAGTGGATCATGTACTCTCGAGTGTACTCTCTGTTAATTAATGATTGTGCTAAACCAGCTTTGTATCGATCTAAGGAGAGGTGGGAATCGGACCTAAACGTTACCATAGAAAACAGTGTTTGGTCAGATCTTTGTCAAAACAGTGTGTCGGCAACTATTAATGCTCGCTATAGACTTGTACATTATAATTTTCTCCATCAGCTTTACCTGACTCCGGAAAAAATGCACAAATCAAAACCAAGCTTGTCAAACGCATGCTTTCGATGCAATGCGGAGATGGGCTCTTTCCTACACTGCACATGGTCCTGTATAAAAGTAGCAGGTTTCTGGCTTGACATTTGTGAGGTCCTTTCCCAAATTACCAAAATAACTCTTCCTCCCGATCCTGAAGTGTGCCTGCTTGGAAATCTAACGAAAATTGACAACCCTATGAACAAATATCAAACAAAATTTCTGGAAATTGCACTATCGGTTGCAAGAAAATGCATTGCTGTCACTTGGAGGTCCGATTCTCCCCTCTCTCTGACAAGATGGTACTCAGAATTGAATAGCTGTGTCCCTCTGGAAAAAATTACCTATAGCCTGAGGAAGGCATTCGACACGTTTGTCAAAATATGGGTAAGAAAATAACTGTAGGGTAAGAAAATTGTATGTGGAGAGGGGAGGCTTTGTATCAGTTTGTGTCGGTATTAAACGCCGCAAACGTAGTCCTAAGCCTCGCCTACTCCGGGTTGAATGGATCTAAATTTTAAGTAAGAGGGGCACCAGCAGAGTTCGAAAAGTCTGCACAGATCCATTCTGCCTCGATCAGTCTCATAATCTGATAGGTCTTGAGCTCTATATCGGCCAGGGATATCATGAATTATACAAAGAACACTGACGACTCTTAAAAGTTAGCGTGGGTTTATTAACTACATATAGAAACGTGAACGGTAACCGGGAGGGATCACACAAGTATGATAAGTCACATGAACAGGAATGTCAGAAACACATCACCATCACACACAATACAACTCCAGCAAGTCTTACTGTTACTGCCAAGTCCCAGAGGTGAAGAGGCTTTCTACCCGTTTGGGTCAGGCGGTCAATCACTTCAGTCTTCCTCACGCACAGAGAGCGGGCGCGCACACACTCCAGTCTTTCCACACACGGGAGCAGGGAGCGGGGATCGGTCCCGGGAAGCCCAGAGGTGGCTTGAGGCGTGATGGTCCACGGTGCTCCTTTTTGGTGGGAGTTGGAGCGCAGTTGCGCCGCTGCGGGACAGGCAAGTCGAGTTCAGCTCGATAGGGAAAAGGATCGGGCAGCTGTTCGGGCAGCGAGCTCCAACCTGCGCCTGGGTTGAAGTTGTGGGCCCCTGGATCGCGCAGGGGAGTGGGCCGCGCTCCAAGACGCGGCCCACTGGCCCAGAGAAAGTTTCAAAGAGAGCTCCCAAAAGGTTCACAAGCAAAAGTTAACACGAAAGTTGCTGTGTCTTTGTTTTTGTTCCCGCTCTGGGGGCGTGTCTTATGACGTCGACTTTCCGCGCCTCCAGAACTCCTTTCATGAAATCATAGTTTTAACCACATACACGTTACTTAGACATAGACACACAACACACCTTGTTCACAGACAATGGTACACACGTTTTCTGATTTAAGATGTTAGCAAAGCAACATATTCATCCGTGGTTTCAGTTGTCCGTCTCAGGTGTATTGGCGTCCCGTGTCCACTGGGGGGGTGGTGGAACGCCGTTGCCAGATCGCCGGCCCATGGGTGATGTCTATGGCTTTGTTTGAGGCGATGCAGACCCACTGCCCCCCTTTGAGCTCGCCAGGGGTGGGGGCCAGAGGTGTGCTCTGGGGACAATCACTGTCTTTGAGATGACTGCTGTATCTATGTGAGCCATTGTGGTGCTCTATCCGACCTCCATCGCCTTAGATGTTCCGAGCCGTGTGTTTTTGTTATCTCACACACAACCGGCTTGGCTGGGTCCTCACGGGGGCAGTGCATTTTATTACCTTACACAACCATACCTGGAACATATGAACATAAGCCCAACAGACCTTACGGTATCCTTAAAGTAAATAATCTTGAGCTTAATGTGATGTCAGAGCATTTGTTGTTTAAAAAAAATAATAAAAAATTCGTGAGCGGGGTGGGTGGGTATAACTGTTCTTTGTTCTAAACTGAAAATTTCAAAATAAAATATTTCAAAAAAAAAAGTTTAGGCGTCTGATTAAGATGGTTAAGTTTAGGGTTAAGGCTGGGTTGGGGTTATTTTATGGGAATGCCTGGTTAAGTTTAGGCATGAATAGGTAGTTTTTTATATTTACTTCCGCTTCCGCCCTGATTCCGTATATGATCTAGTGCTGACCGTAATGGAACAGGGCAGTAGAGGAGTGTAGGGGGCAGTGTGGGTAATGGGACAGGGCAGTAGAGGAGTGTAGGGGCAGTGTGGGTAATGGGTCACTCACATTTTCTTTTCAAATCTCCCTCCAAATGGGCGTAGCCTGGAGGACTAAAGGGGACAGGCGGGGGGTGAATGTTGGGCGGGTCTAGATGTGAGTGACTCTTGCCATCAGCATTGGCCGTGACAGAGATGGAGAGTGATCAGACACCTTATCCATGTCAGACATCAGCTCTACAGATTCTGTGCGGCCTTAGGAGGTGGAGGACTTCTCTTGAGAGAGGAGGCAGACAGCGGCCCCCAGCCCTATCAATTTGAGCTGCTAGCTCGTGAGCTAGCGGCGCTAGCGGCGCTAGCGGCTAGTAGAGCTAGCGGCCACCGGTGTTCTGTCAAGAAGTGCACCCTTGTCGAGATTTGCACCCTTTGATGAAATGTGCATCCCCAGGATCCCCACCCGCCGAAAGTAACTGTCCATAGCTTAGTCATTATGAATGTTTACTTAATAAACATGTCAACATATTTATGATTCATTAGATTTAATAACAGGTAGTATATTAGTTTAATGTACTGAATACATGGCGTGCACTCCTTTACCTCCCCACCCGCCGAAAGAACACGTTATCACCACTTTATGAGCCAGCATTTTGATCTTTTAAAAAGGAAAAGCAAGTAGCTTAGAACGTTTTATTATATACTACACTTTTATTATCTTACTGCACAACTGTGCAATAGTTGCTAATGCAGAAGTCCAGACACCAACTTAAGACGTATATTTACATTATTGTCCACATCTTCACATGAATTTGAACTAGAACTACATCACTGTAGTGTCTAGTGCCAAAGTGTTCAGCAAACATAAAACACACAAGTGTAATCTTGTTTATCGTAAATAAAACTACTCACATGAAGCTGGAGATGCAGAATCCGATGGCTCCGTAAACCTACTTTGATGCACGCGCAGATGCACTCGATAATATGTTTCGACTGGGGAGGCCTCCACAGAACTCCTGCAGCTGCCTCTGCAGAGCTGGATTACTACTGCAACGACACATCATCAGCAGGGTAAAACTAACCTGTCTCAGAGGCAGCTGAGGCAGCTGAGGCAGCTGAGGCAGCAGAGGCAGCAGAGGCAGCAGAGGCAGCAGAGGCAGCAGAGGCAGCAGAGGCAGCAGAGGCAGCAGAGGCAGCAGAAGCAGCAGAGGCAGCAGAGGCAGCTGAGGCAGCTGAGGCAGCTGAGGCAGCTGAGGCAGCAGAGGCAGCAGAGGCAGCAGAGGCAGCAGAGGCAGGCAGAAGAGGCAGCAGAGGCAGCAGAGGCAGCTGAGGCAGCTGAGGCAGCAGAGGCCACAGAATGAGGCCTGTGTCTGAATGATATCAATTAGAGTGGAATAAAAAGTATGAACTGCCTGTCACAGCTCACAGGAGCCTTCCCATGTTCCCACAGTAACTGTTTATGTTGCGGTTCTTTTCTTCTGTTTTGTCTGTACATTTTATGGATGAACCCAGACCAAGATAAAGTCTATGTTGTGGGGGTCATATAGTTATACAATTCTAAAATCTGCCACAATAACCTGCGGCCACTGCACCTCCTTGTCCCCAAGGAAAATGATACATCAATGTGCACAAAAGAGACAGTAATTTAACACATGCTCAAACATAAAGAAGTATTTATTGTACTATAAATAAAGTACACTAAACAATATACAATGTAATGCACAGGATATAGAACACTATATTCAGCTAACTAATCTAACAATAAAAGCAACTAACTAATGACTAAAACTCCATTATTGAGCAACAACGCCAATAACACTACACAGTTATCTATAACACAAACAGCTGTGCTAATAATAATCTCCCTAAATGCTACAACTAATGCAAACCTGACAATCCATGAAAATACTCTGCTTTTCTAAGGGGGCGTGACCGAGACTGGGCCGTTTATATATCAGAGCGGCGGGGCGGCTGACGTAACGAGCCACTGCTGCGGCCAATGGTGGCGCCAGATTCAATATTCAAATGTAGTAATACAGGTCGCCTGCAGATGGCGCCTCACAGACGGTTTTAGGCAGAAAGTTGATCTTTCAACTAATTTGCACCAAAGTGACAAAATGGATTTGAGGGTGAGTTGTCCTAAGTGTAGTACGGTTGTAGCTCTGGAATCCAGGGTTAGTGAGTGAGCTGAGTCTCGAGCTAGCGCTAGCATTAGCTATAGCCAGGCCGTATCCTCGGACAAGCACAGGCTGCTGTTGCTACAGGTGTGAGATTTCATAACACTTTTGTTAAAGTTAAACTCATCATTCTATCAATGTGCAGAAGCCAGTACTTTTCCCTTGGTTTGACTTCTGAAGGCCAAGATGGCACTGTGGCAGCTGCTGATTGGAGGACTGCATTCTCCCATGTTGTATCATCACTAACAGTTTGTTACATCCTTTGTTCGTGTTGTTTGTGCTGTCCTACCACCAACAATAAAACATGTCTTCTGTCTGAATGAAAGACACGATCCCAGACTTTGTCATCGTCTTCACAGGTATGTCCCATTCAGATTGTACAGAGCACAGTCAGTTTCCGAGTCATTCTTTTAAGACATAAGCATTTTCAACAACCACTCATGCTGTGCTGAATTTTCTATTAAACACTTGCTGTTCGTCTGATATTATAATAAATCCATGCACCGCACCAGTACTCGTTACTCGTAAATGACGTGGTCTGACAACGCTGAGGACATACTGGGGGGTACTATTCTTGATGGAAAAGCACGCAACTGTGCCGTGCAGAGTCGAAAAGAACCGTACTGGGACTGTGGAAAAGCGGCATTAGAGGAGTGTAGGGGCAGTGTGGGTAACGGGACAGGGCCTTAGAGGAGTGTAGGGGGCAGTGTGGGTAACGGGACAGGACCTTAGGAGTGTAGGGGCAGTGTGGGTAACGGGACAGGGCCTTAGAGGAGTGTAGGGGGCAGTGTGGGTAACGGGACAGGACCTTAGGAGTGTAGGGGCAGTGTGGGTAACGGGACAGGGCCTTAAAGGAGTGTAGGGGGCAGTGTGGGTAACGGGACAGGGCCTTAGAGGAGTGTAGGGGGCAGTGTGGGTAATGGGAGAGTGCCACTGAGGCAGGTTTCTCTCAGTGTGAATGAGGCTCTTCAGACCGTGTGTAGTTTATGCGCAGTTTGTGAATCCGTGAGACAAAGGCTGAAGAAGAGCGGGGCGGACCTCCTCCCTCCTCCTGCTTCTCTCTCTTCTCATCTCTCTCCTCCTGTCCCTCCTCCCTTCTCTCCCCCTCTCCCAGCTCCCCTCCCTCCTCCTTTCCCTGCTTCTCTCTCTTCTCCTCGTCCTCCTCCCCTCTCCTCTCCCTCCTCCCCTATCTCCTCCTCCCCTCTCTTCTCCACTCTCTCCTCCCCCCTCCCCTTAGAGACGCAGATCGCTGGTTTGAGCTCCTCTCCCTCAGAATCACGTCCCTTCCCTTTAAAGTCACGTGTCAAATCTAAATAAAGTATAATGAACGAGTCGTTAACGCAGAGTTTGATCCGCTTTGGGTTCGTGCGTCCGCCATGTTGTGTGACGTCAGCACGTACGCCCGCCCCTACGGAATAACAAAACAAAATGGCGGCGGAGCGTCACGGACGTGAGTGCCGCGCGCCCTGAACCCCCCGGTTTTCCCGCGTCCTACAGAGGCTCGCGCCACAGAGTCCCGCGGGCGGTGTGCGTCACGTGCCCACGGAGCCCGCAGCACGTGATCCGCACCAGAAACACGCGGGAAAAACGCGTTTAACGAGAACCGCAGCGCCTGTGTCAAAGGAGTGGTGACGTCAGCACGCACAGCCAATCAGCGCGCAGAGTGCCCATGTGAAGCTGTGTGAACTCTGCGTGAGTTAGGTGAGTGTACGTCAGAGTGCGCGTGTTTGAGTTCTTCATAAAAACATTGTATCACTATTTCCTCTTTGTGTTTAAATGAATCTATGTTCATCACACACACACACATACGCACACACACTTCCAACATAAACACACACCACTAATACACACACACACCTCCAACACATACACACACCTCCAACAAACACACACACATACGCACACACACTTCCAACAAATACACACATACACCTCCAACACACACACACACCTCCAACATACACATACACACACACCTCCAACACACACACACACCTACAACACATACATACATACACACACACACCTACAACACATCGATACACAAAACTACAACACAGACAAACACACATCACTAACACACACAACACATACACACACCTACAATACACACCTACAACACACACACACACCTCCAATATACACACACCTACAACAAACACACCGCCAACACACACACAACACACACACACACCTGCAACACGCTGACACACACACACACCTGCAACACACTGACACACACACACACACCTCCAACACCCACACACATACCTACAACACACACACACCACCAACAGACATACACACCTACAACACACACAAACAAGACACATGCACACCCAGGACTGAGGCTGTAGACCCAGGCTGAGGCTGTAGACCCAGGCTGAGGCTGTAGACCCAGGACTGAGGCTGTAGACCCAGGACTGAGGCTGTAGACCCAGGCTGAGGCTGTAGACCCAGGACTGAGGCTGTAGACCCAGGACTGAGGCTGTAGACCCAGGACTGAGGCTGTAGACCCAGGACTGAGGCTGTAGACCCAGGACTGAGGCTGTAGACCCAGGACTGAGGCTGTAGACCCAGGACTGAGGCTGTAGACCCAGGACTGAGGCTGTAGACCCAGGCTGAGGCTGTAGACCCAGGACTGAGGCTGTAGATCCAGGACTGAGAATGTTATTGTTTACCTGCTGTTTACCTGTTGTTGACTTGTTGTTTACCTGTTATTTGCTTGTTGTTTACTTGTTGTTTACCTGTTGTTGTTTACTTGTTGTTTACCTGTTGTTGTTTACTTGTTGTTGTTTGAAACTAGAAAAACAAAAACGCACACCAAGTTCTTCTCATGAGGTGCATGTGCTGGAGCAGAAATTAAATGTGGAAAATACACAGCACACTCGGATAGATGTCCAAAAGACATCTATCATTTTTATCTTGTTCATTTGGATCACAATATTTATTGTGATCCAAATGAACAAGATAAAAATGATCTGACGAAGGCTAAGGCCGAAACGTTAATAAATACTAGATCTTTTGGACATCTATCCGAGTGTGCTGTGTATTTTCCACATTTACTTGTTGTTGTTTACCTGTTGTTGTTTACTTGTTGTTTACCTGTTGTTGTTGTTTACTCATTGTTTACCTGTTGTTGTTTACTCATTGTTTACCTGTTGTTGCCATAGCGATGGACACTCAGCTGTTCATGGAGTGTGAGGAGGAGGAGCTGGAGCCGTGGCAACTGGTGGACGACTGTGTGGAGGAAGATGACGACGACTACATGGACTACACCAGACCAGGTACATGTGATACCATGGGTCTATGATACCAGGTACCTGTATATGTGTGTGTTGTACAGATCCTCCCTTTATCTCTTTGTTGTGTTGTGTGTCCTTCATGTGTTGTGTTGTTCATTAAACTGTTCTGTGTGTTCATTCAGTGGAAGACTCGCCCGGCTCCTCCCCCACGCCTGAGTCTCCGCCCACAGCCCCGCCCCCTGCCTTGCCCCCTGCCTTGCCCCCTGTCCCCACAGGTGAGGTCACAGCTCGTCTCTCTGTTGTGCGTGTGTGTGTGTCTGCGTGTGTCTGTGTGTGTGTGTCTGCGTGTGTCTCTGTGTGTCTGTGTGTGTGTTTGTGTCTGTGTGTGTGTTTGTGTCTGTGTGTGTGCGTGTGTCTGTGTGTGTGTGTCTGCGTGTGTGTGTTTGTGTCTGTGTGTGTGTGTTTGTGTCTGTGTGTGCGTGTTTATGTCTGTGTGTCTGTGTGTGTGTGTTATATAGAATACAAATGTTGATCAAACTGAAAATAACGTCAAACGTGTTAAGTGTAAAGTATTGTGTGCTATACCACAGAATTTCCACCAAAGGGCGCCACAGCACTGTATATGATGTCACACACTGAATATACGGTCAGCACTAGATCATATACGGAATCGGGACGGAATGCCTAAACTTAATCAGCCGTTCCCAAAAAATAACTCCGACCCAGCCTTAACCCTAACCTTAACCATCTTACTCAGACCCACCTTAACTCTAACCTTAACCATCTTACTCAGACCACCTTAACCCCAACCATAACCATCTTACTCAGACCACCTTAACCCTAGCTTTAACCATCTTAAGCTCACCGCACACTGAAACGCAGCGCCTCGCGGCGCGTCATTTGACGCGCGTTCATGACATGTGTCAAATTACACCGGAACGCCTTGGCTAGCGTCCTTTTCCAGCTGATCGCAGATGAAATGGGTGAGTGACGTTTGGAAGTTTCTACTAATATTTTGGGGGAGGAAACAAAGTATTTACGTGAAATTATGCTGGCAAATATTACAAGAAAAGACTATTTGGACCCATTTTTTAAACAGGCTAATAACTAGCTCTGGGTAACGCTGTACTTGGGTTATCAAGCTTTCCTCGTCCATTGTGACCGGTTTACTTGAGCAATAGCGCCGACAAGTGTGTAAATTTGAGACCGCGCTCACAGCTACGTGATAAGAAGCGCAGAAGAAGAAAACTACGGGTGCTTGGAGGGACAGTTTCAGCCGCGGCGCCGCGTCTGGATTCAACAAAACTGAATCGTGGCGCCCGGTCCAGCGTCGCCGCGCGTCACTGCAACCTTGGTGTGCGTTCTCTCATAGAAAATAAAGGAGGCGGCTCTTTTGCCGCGCGTCAAGGCGTTTCGGTGTGCGTTGGGCTTTAGTCAGACCACCTTAACCTTAAACTTAACCATCTTACTCAGACCACCTTAACCCTAACCTTAACCATCTTACTCAGACCACCTTAACCCTAACTTTAACCATCTTACTCAGACCACCTTAACCTAACCTTAACCATCTTACTCAGACCACCTTAACCCTAACTTTAACCATCTTACTCAGACCACCTTAACCCTAACTTTAACCATCTTACTCAGACCACCTTAACCCTAACCTTAACCATCTTACTCAGACCACCTTAACCCTAACCTTAACCATCTTAGTCAGACCACCTTAACCCTAACCTTAACCATCTTACTCAGACCACCTTAACCCTAACCTTAACCATCTTACTCAGACCACTTTAACCCTAACCTTAACCCTAACCTTAACCATCTTACTCAGACCACCTTAACCCTAACCTTAACCCTAACCTTAAACATCTTACTCAGACCACCTTAACTCTAACCTTAACCATCTTACTCAGACCACCTTAACCCTAACCTTAACCATCTTAGTCAGACCACCTTAACCCTAACTTTGACCATCTTACTCAGACCACCTTAACCCTAACCTTAAAGTAGTACTAGAATTTACCATGCTGCTTGCCAGAATATTTAACTAAAATATGGGTTTATAATATTTCGGGTGTTCATTTTGACATTTTCAGAAGAATTATTTTAGAAAAACTGCTTCGAAGTCGCACTTTTTCACTTCCGCATAGAAACGCTAGGGGGCGCCCGAATGCAGCGTATGACGCAGGTGAATGATCCTTCAGCATGGAATCTGTAGGAGCAGCGAGTTAATTGATGAATCTGGGGAAGAATCGGGGGTTTCACTGTCATCTGAACTAGGTATAAACATGTTCATCAGTTTTGTACATGATAGTGTGCAACTCTTTTAACCTTTTAGCCTTATTTGTGAGATTCAAGCTAATTACTTGGCCTAGTGTTAACGGTCCCCGGTGTTGGGCAAGTTAGCTTCTTGAAATAAAGATATCAAATGCTAACAATGCTAATATTCGTGTTTACATTATGCCAGTCTCACTTTACCTTAGATTTATTTACCACAATGTACATTGTAATATCCATAAATGCTAACACCTGATGCCACAGTGGGACGGCTACCAGTGACTGACGAGGTTAGTCCGGCCGCGGGGGAGGAGTCTGTCAGGGTCTGGATGGGTCCCTGAAAAACACTGATTAAACACTGCTCAAGAGTCCTGCAACTTGTTTAAGTCTTGTTTGTGTTCCTCACGTTTCTCTCTCTCTCTCCTTGCGTCTCTCCCTTTCTCTCTCTCCTTGCAACTTTCCCCCCTCGCGTCTCTCTCTTGCTCCTTGCGTCTCTCTCTCTTGCTCCTTGCGTCTCTCTTGCTCCCTGCGTCTCTTTCTCGCTCCTTCCTAGTCTGTGGAAGAGGCTGTGTTTGTGTTGCGTTTGCATGACAGAGCACACGGACACAGACCACACAGGTACATATCAACTAGTCTGAGGTAAGAACATGTGTCAGTCTGTAAACACGGAGCCTGTTCCTTTAAGGACTTAATAGTCTAAAACTAATTAGAGAGTAGGATTGTTACTTCCTGTTTCGTCCCGATTCCGTGTATGATCTAGTGCCGACCCTGAAAATACCACAGAATGTCCACCAGAGGGCGCCACAGCACTATATATGACGTCACACACTCCTGGTTAATGATTTAAGAGGCACAGTGATGTCACTACTATGATGTCATCCGTCTCCAGCTCCGGTCCAGGTCCAGGCTCCGGTTAGGTCTTTCCCGATGGCGCTCACAAAGGCTCCCGTTACCATGACGACGGCAACCATCCAGGCCCCGCCCACAACCATCAAGGCCCCTCCCCTAACCATCAAGACCACACCCACAACCACGCAAGCCTCGCCCATTATCTTGTCTCAGTTTCCACAAGGGACTTTCCTCTTCACACAGGTCTGGAACAGGACTAAACCAGGACTAAACCAGGACTAAACCAGGTCCGAACCAGGACTGAACCAGGACTAAACCAGGACTAAACCAGGTCCGAACCAGGACTGAACCAGGTCCGAACCAGGTCCGAACCAGGACTGAACCAGGACTAAACCAGGACTAAACCAGGACTAAACCAGGACTGAACTAGGACTGAACTAGGACTGAACTAGGACTGAACCAGGTCTGAACCAGGACTGAACTTGGTCTGAACCAGGACTAAGCAAGGTCTGAACCAGGACTAAGCAAGGTCTGAACCAGGACTGAACCAGGACTGAACCAGGTCTGAACCAGGTCTGAACCAGGTCTGAACCAGGTCTGAACCAGGACTGAACCAGGACTGAACCAGCACTGAACCAGGACTGAACCAGGACTGAAGTCTAAACCAGTACTATGGTGTTTTTGGTCTCAGGGTTTTTCCATGATGAACTCGGGGACTCCTCTGGTCTTCAACCTTCCCCCCGGGTCTACAGTCCTCCCCGCCGGGTCCAAAGTCCTCCAATCCGGGTCTACAGTCCTCCCCGCCGGGTCCAAAGTCCTCCAACCCGGGTCTACAGTCCTCCCCGCCGGGTCCAAAGTCCTGAAACCGGGCGAGATCCTGAAACCGGCTCCGACTGTGTTTAAACCAGGACAGCCCCTGACCCTGATCCAGTGTGAGTGTGACCGCCCCACCCCCATTGCGAGCCACAGGGGGGCGTGGTCCAGAGGGGTGTCTAAACTTATTATGTACCGGGTTTACTGCTCACACACAGTACAGGACTTTAGTTTGGACCCTCCCCCTCTGCAGGACCCTCCCCCACAGGAGCCCCCCCCCACTGCAGGACCCCCCTCCACAGGAGCCCCCCCCACTGCAGGACCCCCCTCCACAGTGACATTTACAGGAACTCTCACGGGGACCGAATGGGCCAAAACAACTGGCATTATTATAATCCAGTTGTGCCGTGTGCTCCTCTTTCCTACTGTTCTGTGATGCAACAGTGACATTTCCCCACTGTGAGATAGGGCTGGGCGATATGGCTGAAAACTATACCACGATACAAGTCATTCATATCAGTCGTTCACAATATATATTGATTGTTTTTTATTTATTTTTTAAAAAGTAAATAAATAAATTTTTCATGTTGGCTAACACATGTTAGCAGCTCTGTTAACAGTCACGGGGAGGCAAATGTTCACAAGCAGTCTCCCCCATAGTTAGTCCTGGTTTAATCCTGGTTTAGTACTGGTTTAGCTCCTGTTTTGGCTGTTTTCGAGTGTCTTGTGTCCCCGTGGCGGCTCCGGAAAAAGTGAATCTCTTGCTTTTGCCGAATGCATGGAGTCTCTGTACCCACTGCCTCTCCCGCCGCACATGCTATTCTTCTCACAGACGTGTTTAACCTTTGACACGGCCTGAAACACCATCTGTAGATCCATGGCTATTATAATAGATCCATGATCCATGGACGCTGCGCATGGTGCGGTTGTTGTTTTTGCATTTCCCAGAAAGTTTTGCGGTTTGTAGTCGGCTGTGATAGGTCGTGAAGCCTTTGCCTACATCCCCCAGAATGCCGTGCGCTTCTGACTCTGCTATACTTCCTGTGTTTTGTTCCTGTTTTTTTCGAACGGACTGAAGTGAAACTATCAGAATCAGAATCATTTTTATTGCCACGTAAGTAACAAACAAAGTTACCACTTGGAAATAGTTTTGGCAGAGAGCGAGCGCTGTGTGGAAGTTCTATCGACCCCAGTTTCTATTGATGTCGAACACGTGTCTCTCGCAATATATATCGTTATCGTTTTATCGCCCAGCCCTACTGTGAGACGGATAAAGGATCTCTTAATCTTAATCTTAACCTAGCAGCATTAGCCCAGTTGCATTACCCCAAGTAGCAATACCCCAGTAGCATTAGCCCAGTAGATATAGCCCAGTAGCATTAGCCCAGTAGCATTAGCCCAGTAGCATTAGCCCAGTAGCATTAGTCCAGTAGCATTAGCCTAGCAGCATTAGCCCAGTAGCATTAGCCCAGTAGCAATAGCCCAGTAGCATTAGCCTAGTAGATATAGCCCAGTAGCATTAGCCCAGTAGCATTAGCCCAGTAGCATTAGCCCAGTAGCATTAGCCCAGTAGCATTAGCCCAGTAGCATTAGCCCAGTAGCATTAGCCCAGTAGCATTAGTCCAGTAGCATTAGCCTAGCAGCATTAGCCCAGTAGCATTAGCCCAGTAGCAATAGCCCAGTAGCATTAGCCTAGTAGTATTAGCTTAGCAGACTCCACTGGAAACAATAACAGCAGGTGTAGGATAAACGGAGGATGATGAGGCACAGACGAGGGCTGAGGCATAGCAGTGAAATGAAAAGATCACAATCAGAAAGAACGCAGTGAAAAGTCTAGGACTGCACAAAACTAAAAGAGCACAACAACCGGAGTGTTTCCGACCGTAAAATAAATAAATGCGTTTGGCTTTGGACACACTGCTCATATACGTGGCTATATATATATCAGGACAGAGTCTGACGTGTGTGTGTCCACAGCGCCCTCTATTGGTCAGGTGGTGCGTCCTGTCACACCTGTGAGAGGCCCCGCCCCCTCCGGTACACCTGGACTGATGCACCTGACCATTCACGCCAATGAGCCAATCACAGGCCAGCGAGGTGAGTGAGCAGCCAATCACAGAGGGGACGGAGAGTGAAGCTCATTGTTGGTGATGTCATGGTTACATTAGGGGTGATGTCATATTCTTCTCCTCCAGTGACTCCAGTCTGTAGCCCCGCCCACCCCGCCGGCTCGTCCAATGGCGTGCCTCGCTCCATCACCATCGTGGCTCCGCCCTCTTCCTCGGGCTCCGCCACTGGACGAGCTGTCGTGTCCTTCAACCAGCCGCGCCTCGTTGCCCCACCCCCACAACCACCCATCTCCATGGCAACGACCACACGAGCTGCAGTCCCGCCCTACGCCGTCGACCACGCCTACACAGGTAACCATGGTGACGCTTTGATTTGAGCCAATGGGAAAAGTATCATGAAGTAAAATGACGATGATCAGCTCTCTCCCCAGGCCCCGCCCCCACTGCCCCCGCCCCCTCAGACCGCGTGGTCATGAGCGTGGAGGAGTTCTACTACGGCACGAGTGACGGAGACGAGAAACTGAGAGACGGACACAAGTACACCGCCATGTTGGTTCAATTCCCCTGCAGCCTGTGTGAGCACCAGGCCAACAACAACCTGAGGTGAGAGGAGCTACAGGGGAGAGCTACAGGAAAGCCGCTAGGGGAGCTACAGGTGAGAGCCACTGAGGAGCTACAGGTGAGAGCCGCTAGGGGAGCTACAGGTGAGAGCCACTGAGGAGCTACAGGTGAGAGCCGCTGAGGAGCTACTAGCGGCACCTTCTAACTACTACATAGATAGTCCGAGCGTAGCTAGTCCGAGCGTAGCTAGTCCGAGCGTAGCTAGTCCGAGCGTAGCTAGTCCGAGCGTAGATAGTCCGAGCGTAGATAGTCCGAGCGTAGATAGTCCGAGGCGGTCCCGCAGGTCTCTCCCACAGACCAGTCTCTCCAGAGGATACGATGTAAGCTAGCTCTGTTCAGGGCTTGGTTTCTTCTTTGATCATGTTTTGGTTTTAGTTCCCTCTTCTCTTCCTCACTGTTGTGTGGTTTGGGCTGTTTTGCTGTGTCTGCAGTTACAGCCAGAGGAGTTATAGCCACTTATGCTAACATGCTACTGTTTTAGCAGCGCTGTAGAGGCTAGAGGACGCAGCCTCGTTCTGTGATTGGAGGAGAGCGGGCGTCACGCTAAGTCTCTACTCAGCACTTTTTACTGAGTTCATACACAGCTGAATCAATGAGCTCAAGTTTTCAGTTAAATTAAAGATTATAATACAACTTGTCTGTAGTAATAAGCATTTTTATGAACTCATTAGAAAATAAATCAGGTATAGCTTCTTTAAACTCAATATTACCCTCCTCAGGTTGATGCAGCACATGTTAACTACATGTTAACTACATGTTACTGCAAATTTACACAGGAGGCGTTACAGCGCGTACGCGTTATACGCGCAGCAGACATGCGTGCATTTTTAAAATGTAAACCAATGGGGATATTTACACTACTAGTGTTATACGCGCGTATGACGGACGTATGACGGACGTATGACGGACGTGTGACGGACGTGTGACGGACATATGACGGACGTGTGACGGACGTATGACGGACGTATGACGGACGTATGACGGACGTATGACGGACGTGTGACGGACGTATGACGGACGTGTGACGGACGTATGACGGGAGGCTGCGCCTAATTTAGGATGGATTTCTAATTTTGTGCGCGCAGCAAGGCATCTCCAGTCACATGTGAAACATGATTTTTCTAGTGACCCTTGGCTTTAGATTGCATCTACACACACACACAAACACACACACACACACACAGCACTTGTATCTAAACATCAGCAGGAGGACTGGCAGGTTTTACAGTGATTATGGACATAGTTTTTTTTTTCCTTTCACAAAGTCTGGTGTCTGGCCAAACCAGCAACAGAGACCATGAAGACAAACACATGCATGTGATTTGTGTTGCTCTACATCAGTCTCTGTACTGTCCTCTACACTGCTCCATAGACTACACAGGGACAGCATCAGAAGGATCTGCGCACACGCCCAGTGTAGATACACCCAAATAATGTTACGCACACATGCGCGCAGCGCTTACTCTGTAACTTCTCTTTTACCCTCCTCAAGATGATGCAGCACATGTTAACTACATGTTATCTACATGTTACCCTCCTCGAGTTGATGCAGCACATGTTAACTACATGTTAACTACATGTTACCCTCCTCAAGTTGATGCAGCACATGTTAACTACATGTTATCTACATGTCACCCTCCTCGAGTTGATGCAGCACATGTTAACTACATGTTACCCTCCTCAAGTTGATGCAGCACATTTTAACTACATGTTATCTACATGTTACCCTCCTCAAGTTGATGCAGCACATGTTAACTACATGTTATCTACATGTTACCCTCCTCAGGTTGATGCAGCACATGTTAACTACATGTTAACTACATGTTATCTACATGTCATCCTCCTCAGGTTGATGCAGCACATGTTAACTACATGTTATCTACATGTCACCCTCCTCAGGTTGATGCAGCACATGTTAACTACATGTTATCTACATGTCCCCCTCCTCAGGTTGATGCAGCACATGTTAACTACATGTTATCTACATGTCACCCTCCACAGGTTGATGCAGCACATGTTAACTACATGATATCTACATGTCACCCTCCTCAGGTTGATGCAGCACATGTTAACTACATGTCACCCTCCTCAGGTTGATGCAGCACATGTTAACTACATGTTATCTACATGTTACCCTCCTCAGGTTGATGCAGCACATGTTAACTACATGTTATCTACATGTTACCCTCCTCAGGTTGATGCAGCACATGTTAACTACATGTTATCTACATGTCCCCCTCCTCAGGTTGATGCAGCACATGTTAACTACATGTTAACTACATGTCACCCTCCTCAGGTTGATGCAGCACATGTTAACTACATGTTATCTACATGTTACCCTCCTCAGGTTGATGCAGCACATGTTAACTACATGTTATCTACATGTTACCCTCCTCAGGTTGATGCAGCACATGTTAACTACATGTTATCTACATGTTACCCTCCTCAGGTTGATGCAGCACATGTTGACTCACTGGAAACCCGTAAATCGCGCTGACGACTTCAAAAGCTGCAAGTTCTGCTACAGACACTTCTCCAACAGCATCAGTCTGAAGGAACACCTGGACAAGGTCCATGGCCCCGCCCCCTCCAACTGTGAGCCAATCAGAGACCAGCACACACACATATACACAGACACACACACATAAATATATACACACCTACACACACACACACACACACACTCGTTGGTGACATCACTTCTTTCAGGTGTGTGTCGGATCTGTGAATGGGCCTTTGAAGATGAACCTGCGTTTTTAAACCACATGAAGAGCAACCACAAACCAGGAGAGATGCCCTACTACTGTCAGGTACTACTATAGGTACTACTATAGGTACTATTGTCAGGTACTATTGTCAGGTACTACAATAGGTACTACTATAGGTACTAATGTCAGGTACTACAATAGGTACTACTATAGGTACTAATGTCAGGTACTACAATAGGTACTACTATAGGTACTACTGTCAGGTACTAATGTCAGGTACTACAATAGGTACTACTATAGGTACTACTGTCAGGTACTACTATAGGTACTACTGTCAGGTACTATTGTCAGGTACTACTAAAGGTACTACTGTCAGGTACTACAATAGGTACTACTATAGGTACTACTGTCAGGTACTACTGTCAGGTACTACTGTCAGATACTACAATAGGTACTACTATAGGTACTACCGTCAGGAACTATTGTCAGGTACTACAATAGGTACTACTATAGGTACTAATGTCAGGTACTACAATAGGTACTACTGTCAGGTACTACTATAGGTACTACTGTCAGGTACTATTGTCAGGTACTACAATAGGTACTACTATAGGTACTACTATAGGTACTAATGTTAGGTACTACTGTCAGGTACTACTATAGGTACTACTATAGGTACTCATGTCAGGTACTACTGTCAGGTACTACTATAGGTACTACTGTCAGGTACTACTGTCAGGTACTACAGTAGTATCTACAGTAGTACCCATTTCTTCTTCTGCAGATCTGTTTCTTCCGCTCCTCGTTTTACTCTGATGTGATCCAACATTTCTTCACGTTTCACCGAGAGACTCGCTTCCTGCTTTGTGTGTTCTGCCTCAAGATCCTAAAGAACTCTGAGCTCTACCAGCAACACGTGCTGCGACACCAGGTGAGGAGGAGGGGGGAGGAGGTGAGGAGGAGGGGGGAGGAGGTGTGGAGGAGGGACCAGGTGAGGAGGAGGTGTGGAGGAGGTGTGGAAGAGGTGTGGAGGAGGAGGTGAGGAGGGGGGCTGCCTCACACCTGACAGTAGAGCTGTTTTAAGTGTCTTCTCTCCCCCTCCCCCCTCTCCTCCCCCTCTCCCCCCTCTCCACAGCATGAGGCCTCTCACTGTAATCGTTGTCGGCTTCAATTCATTTTCCTTCGTGAGAAAATTGGTCACAAAACGGAGCATCACCGCAGCTACAGGCGCCCGGCGCAGCTGGAGGGCCTGCCGCCGGGGTCAAAGGTCAGTGCCGCTGGGGTCAAAGGTCAGTGCCACCGGGGTCACAGATCAGTGCCGCCGGGGTTAGAGGTCTGCTGGCACTAGTGTCATGTTCTCTCATAGACAGGATTCAAAGAGCCACAGTTACACACGTAACTTGTAGAGTCAGTATCAACCAAGCCCCGGAGACTGACCCGAAAGTGTCGCTGTGCTTTCTCTCTGAGGTAGAGCTGTGACTGTGGCCACTCAGAGATTAGTTAACTTTATAAAAGCACAATGACAGCACAATCAAAGAGCACTGCTGTGTCCCACAATGCACTGCATCTTCACAGTTTAATTCCCTTTTGAGCATTATTTAGGAAACTCGTGTAAACCTCTGAACTCCAGTGAAACTCAAGCCGTTCCCCGCGCACAGGAAGTCAAGTGGGGTTAAAACTAAAACACGGAAGTGGTGCGTGCATAGAGCCCATTATAGATTATGGTCTGTTTCTCATCACTTCCTGCTTCCTGTCAGGTGACCATTCGAACTTTTGGGCGCCGCAAGACATCAGAGCCACCCCGTCCTCCGATGTCAGGCCCCGGCCCTTCCATAAAAAGCCCCTCCCCTTCCCTAACAAGACCCACCCCTTCCCTAATGAGACCCGCCCCCACACTCTCAGGCTCCACCCCCTCACTCTCAGGCTCCGCCCTCACACTCTCAGGCTCTGCCCCCACACTCACAGGCCCCACCTTTACATTCGCTGGCCCCTCCCTTACACTATCAGGCCCCACCTTCACAATAACAGGCCCCGCCCCATTACTAGCAGGCTCCACCTTCACTCTCATAAGTCCCGCCCACTCCAGGACAAAGGCCGCTCACTCAGACATGATTCAGCCAATCAACATCAAGACGGAGTCGCAGGCCCTCCTCTTGCAGAGACAGCAGCTCCCCCTGCAGGCCAGGTACGGTACTCCCATGACCTGTTCTTATCTTCTGTCCATATTCTATTCCCTCCCTGGCCTCATGGTGGTGCTGTTTCTCTCTGCCCCCTCCCCCCCTCCCCCTGCAGTACCGTGGCGGCCTCTCGGTGGCGCTGTATGGAGTGTGGAGACCTGGTGTCAGTGCTGTCGTCTCATTATTCGTCTCACGTTCGATGTTTACTCTGCTCCTACAACTCCTGCTGCTCCAAGGCCTACGCCACCCACATGCTGCAGTCAGTATACATACCTCAGTCTATATACCACCCACATGCTGCAGTCAGTATACATACCTCAGTCTATATACCACCCACATGCTGCAGTCAGTATACATACCTCAGTCTATATACCACCCACATGCTGCAGTCAGTATACATACCTCAGTCTATATACCACCCACATGCTGCAGTCAGTATACATACCTCAGTCTATATACCACCCACATGCTGCAGTCAGTATACATACCTCAGTCTATATACCACCCACATGCTGCAGTCTGTATACATACCTCAGTCTATATACCACCCACATGCTGCAGTCAGTACATATACCTCAGTTTACTGGATGATACTGTGGTATATATACTGTGGTATATGTACTGTGGTACATAGTGATGTAGAGTGTAACCATAGTAACAACAGTCTGCATAATCTTAAAACGCTGATTGTTTCCACACAGTTCTCATAACTTCCCTCGCAACAAAGAGCCCCCCCCTCTTCGCCGAGCAGGAACACCACCCAGGTACTACACATGAAGTACTACTGCTACTACTACTGCTACTGCTACTCCTATTACTGCTACTACTACTTTTTTTTTTTTTTTTTTTTTTTTTTTTAAATCCTAGCCCGGAGTTATCGAGTGAGAAAAAAAGCTATGCCTCACGGTTGACCCTGGCCTGGTCTTATTGCCAGAGAATCCCGCCTCGCTTCCCTGTGCAGGTGGACTTACAGGTGCGAGCTCCTGAGGAGGTGACCCAGGGGGAGGGGAGCGACCCGGGGGGAGGCCCGGGTACTGCAGGACTTGGCCTCTTTAAAAGTGGCCTCACCTGCTAAAAAAAACTCACTGAGCTCCTTGGAATGGGCTTAGGGATGTGCCTACAGTGCTTCAAGAAATGTGGTCCAGTTTTCCTTCGTCAGATCTACCAGGTCGATTTGTGACATATTTTGGGCTTTTGCATCTTCTTCGATTTGTCTTATCCATTGTTTCCTTTGTCCACCTTCTTGTTTTTTCCCTTTTGGCTTCCAGTCAAGAATGATTTTTTGTATTCTTGAGTCTTCCATTGTTCGTATTCTTTGCCAGAATTTCATTCTTCTTTTCGCAATAATACTCAGGATTTTAGAGCATTTGCATTTTAGTCTCAGCTCTTCAGATGTAATGTGAGCGCTGGTGTGAATACCAGTTATCCTTTTCAGCATTCGGTTTTGAAATGCTTCAAGCCTCAGCTTACTGTCCTTCTTAATGACCCATGTCTCTGATCCATACAGCAGGACGCTCAGCACCAAGGACTGGCTACTACTACTACTACTACTACTTACTACTGCTACTACTACTACAGGGCTCGACATTAACAGTTGTCCGTTGCCCGGGGCAACTAAAGAAGTGGTGTACTACTTCAACCCATTCAGGCCGAGAACACATTCCCACATTTGTTCCTCTGGAGCCGGGACACGTCTGAGTCCAGACAGTTTTCTGCTGATTATGTCATGTTTGTGAAATGTGTGACCGCGGGAACTTTCTGTTGTTTGCTGCTCTGCCCCGGGGCAGCTGCGGCCGCTTTGGAAACCACTCAGTGAACACACTGCCGTAACATGGTACCGAGCGCGGACAGAACCATAGACACACAGACAGAACCATAGACACACAGACAGAACCATAGACACACGGACGGAACCATAGACACACGGACAGAACCATAGACACACGGACAGAACCATAGACACACAGACAGAACCATAGACACACGGACAGAACCATAGACACACGGACAGAACCATAGACACACGGACAGAACCATAGACATGCGGACAGAACCATAGACATGCGGACAGAACCATAGACGTGTGGACAGAACCATAGACGCATGGACAGAACCATAGACGTGTGGACAGAACCATAGACACACGGACAGAACCATAGACATGTGGACAGAACCATAGACACACGGACAGAACTATAGACACACGGACAGAACCATAGACACACAGACAGAACCATAGACACACGGACAGAACCATAGACACACGGATAGAACCATAGATACACGGACAGAACCATAGACACATGGACAGAACAATAGACACATGGACAGAACTATAGACACACGGACAGAACCATAGACACACGGACAGAACCATAGACACACGGACAGAACCATAGACACACAGACAGAACCATAGACACACAGACAGAACCATAGACACACGGACAGAACCATTAGACACACGGACAGAACCATAGACACACGGACAGAACCATAGACACACGGACAGAACTATAGACACACGGACAGAACCATAGACACACGGACAGAACCATAAACACACGGACAGAACCATTAGACACACAGACAGAACCATAGACACACGGACAGAACCATAGACACACGGACAGAACCATAGACACACAGACAGAACCATAGACACACAGACAGAACCATAGACACACGGACAGAACCATAGACACACGGACAGAACCATAGACACACGGACAGAACTATAGACACACGGACAGAACCATAGACACACGGACAGAACCATAGACACACGGACAGAACCATTAGACACACAGGCAGAACCATAGACACACGGACAGAACCATAGACACACGGACAGAACCATAGACACACGGACAGAACCATAGACACACGGACAGAACTATAGACACACGGACAGAACCATAGACACACGGACAGAACCATACACACGGACAGAACCATAGATACACGGACAGAACCAGGTGCAGGTCTCCCCCGTGTCGCAACCAAAACTCACTAAATTAAAGCTCAGGTACCTAAATCTCCCTTGCATTAAAAAACATTTTGGTTTTTCACAAAAGTAAAAGTCAGAGCCACGTTATCAACAAACTTATTTTAACTCATTTTATTGATCAATATTTGGGCAAGTAAAATATAACTGGTACTGACAAAGCTTCTTCTGCTGCTGCTGCTGCTACTGCTACTACTGCTACTAGTATTAATAATGGTCTCCCCCTCTCTCTCCCCCTCCCCTCTCTCCCCTCTCTCTCCCCCCTCAGCCGTCTCTCCCTCTTCTGCTCTCTGTGTCACTTTGTCCCTGTCTCTGGAGATGACATGGCCAAACACCTGGTGACCAACCCCAGCCACGGCTCAGCGACCGCCACAGCCCGAGGTGAGCCCCCCCCGGGACCCCCTCTGAGACCTGACCCCCCCCCCCCCCCCCGAGACCTGCGCCCCATCCCCCGAGACTTGACCCCCCCCCCCCCCCTCTCTCTGAGACCAGACCCCCCCCCCCCCTCTAAGACCTGACCCCCGAAGGACCAGGGGTCTCATGCTGCTGTCCCTCTCAGTGCTCTCGGACCGGGACTTGGACGCGTTGCTCTCGGGGCGCTGTGATTGGCCGGTCCGCCCGCCTCTGGCCCTGGTGCCGGCCTGTGATTGGTCGATGCCGGGTATGGTGAGCGTGGGCACGTTCGGGCTCGCCGGGGGGCCGAACGCCACGCTTCCGCGCTCCGGAGATGCCGCCGACTTCTTCCAGCGCCTCTTCCCTGACAACCTCATTGCTCACATCGCCATGGAGACCAACGCACACGTCAGGACCATGCGTTACCTGGGAGACAACAAGCTGCTCTCTGATTGGACCGTGCTGAGTATGGGGGAGCTCAAGGCATTCTTGGGATTGGTGAGTGTGTGTGTCTGTGTGTGTGCTTGTCTGTGTGTGTGTGTGTGTGTGTGTGTGTGTGTGTGTGTGTGTGTGTGTGTGTGTGTGTGTGTGTGTGTGTGTGTGTGTGTGTGTGTGTGTGTGTGTGTGTGTGTGTGTGTGTGTGTGTGTGTGTGTGTGTGTGTGTGTGTTTAAAGCCTGTGTGTGTTTTGCAGGTGATCCTGATGGGTCTACAGACACTCCCAGACCTGGCCCAGTACTGGTCCAATGTGCACTATGACCACAGGTGAGGGACCAGAGACAGACCAGAGAGAGGTCTCTCATGCATTGTTCCAGTCTCTTTAAGCTCCGCCTCTCTCCACAGTTACCTGTTTAACCAGGTGATGACTCAGCGGCGCTTCACTCAGATCCGCCAATCGGTGCGTCCAGGCAACCCTAGCCCCGCCCCCAGTGGTCCAGGCCACACCCCCCCACCCAGACGCCCTGCCCCCCTCAGCCGAAGACCCGCCTTCAAGAAAGACCCGCTCCAGATGTTCAGACGCATGCTCCAGATACAGGGCCAGGCCATGAGCTCCTCCTACAGGTGAGGAGGCACAGGGAGGAGGTGCTACTGCAGGAGGAGGTGTTACTGCAGGAGAAGGTACTGCAGGAGGAGATGTTGCAGGAGGAGGTGTTACTGTAGGAGATGTCACTGCAGGAGGAGGTGTTACTGCATAAGGTGTTATTGCAGGAGGAGGTGCTACTGCAGGAGGAGGTGTTACTGCAGGAGATGTTACTGCAGGAGGAGATGTTACTGCAGGAGGTGTTACTGCAGGAGGTGTTACTGCAGGAGGAGGTGTTACTGCAGGAGGTGTTACTGTAGGAGGAGGTGTTACTGTAGGAGGAGGTGTTACTGAAGGAGGAGGTGTTACCGCAGGAGGAGGTGCAGGAGGAGGTGCTACTGCAGGAGGAGGTGCTACTGCAGGAGGAGATGTTACTGTAGGAGGAGGTGTTACTGCAGGAGGAGGTGGCACTGCAGGAGGAGGTGTCACTGCAGGAGGAGGTGTTACTGCAGGAGGAGGTGTTACTGCAGGAGGAGATGTTACTGCAGGAGGAGATGTTACTGCAGGAGGAGGTGTCACTGCAGGAGGAGGTGCTACTGCAGGAGATATTACTGCATAAGGTGCTACTGCAGGAGGAGGTGCTACTGCAGGAGGAGGTGTTACTGCAGGAGGAGATGTTATTGCAGGAAGTGTTATGACACTGCTGTTGTTAAAAATGAACTAAAAGCGTGTGTGTGTCTCTGTGTGTGTGTGTGTGTGTGTGTGTCTCTGTGTGTGTGTGTCTCTGTGTGTGTGTTTCTCAGGCCTCGGTGTTGTCTCAGTCTGGATCGGACCCTGCTCCCTGGGTGGACGAGCCTGGACCAGATCCAGGGAGGAACTCAAGACCAAGTCCAAGACCAGGACCAGTCTCCAGAGCGGCCTCGACCCCAGGGCCCCTCCGCTCAGGTCTGGCTCCTGTGTGACTCCAGGTCTGGGTTCTGTCACCGTCTGCAGGTCCAGGTCAGTGTGGGTCTCTGGTCTCTCTCTGGTCTCTCTATGGTCTCTCTCTGGTCTCTCTCTGGTCTCTCTCTGGTCTCCCTCTGGTCTCCCTCTGGTCTCTCTCTGGTCTCTCTATGGTCTCTCTCTGGTCTCCCTCTGGTCTCCCTCTGGTCCCTCTCTGGTCTCTCTCTGGTCTCCCTCTGGTCTCCCTCTGGTCTCTCTCTGGTCTCCCTCTGGTCTCTCTCTCCCTCTGGTCTCTCTCTCTCTGGTCTCTCTCTGGTCTCTCTCTGGTCTCGCTCTGGTCTCTCTCTGGTCTCGCTCTGGTCTCGCTCTGGTCTCTCTCTCTGGTCTCTCTCTGGTCTCTCTCTGGTCTCTCTCTGGTCTCTCTCTGGTCTCCCTCTGGTCTCTCTATCTCTATGGTCTCGCTCTGGTCTCTCTCTGGTCTCTCTCTGGTCTCTCTCTCTCTCTCTCTGGTCTCTCTCTGGTCTCTCTCTGGTCTCTCTCTGGTCTCCCTCTGGTCTCTCCCTCTCTCTGGTCTCGCTCTGGTCTCTCTCTGGTCTCGCTCTGGTCTCAAATGTCCCTTGTCTCTGCAGACAGACCCCTCTCCCCTGGTGTCTCCCTCTCTGGTCCTGGACCTCCTCTCTGGTCTGGAACAGCGCCACCATCAGGTCTTTCTGTCCAACACTGTTTGTACGGAGCAGCTGCTGATCGAGCTGCACCACAGAGGCATCTATGGCTCCGCCTCCTTCCCCAGAAACCACGCCCACTTCCCCCCAGAGCTGTGGGCCGACAGGTGAGGGTCCGGTTTGGTCTGAATCTGGTCTGACTCTGGTCTAAATCTGGGATGACTCTGGTCTAAATCTGGGCTGACTCTGGTCTAAAGCAGTTGAAACTGATCTATCTCTCTGGTCCTGGTCTCACCCTGGTCCCTCTTGTCTCACCTGGTCCCTGTGGTCTTGCCTGGTCCCTTCTGTCCCTCTGGTCTCACCTGGCCCCCCTGGTCCCTCTCCTGGTCCCTCTCCCCCGGTCTCACCTGGTCCCTCCTGTCACTCTGGTCCCTCTGGTCTCGCCTGGTCCCTCTGGTCTCTCCTGGTCCCTCTGGTCTCACACGGTCTCACCTGGTCTCTCTGGTCTCACCTGGTCCCTCTGGTCTCCTTCTGGTCCCTCTGGTCTCTCCTGGTCTCCCTCTGCTCTGACTCTGGTCTCTCTCTGGTCCCTCTGGTCTCAACTGCTCTCCTCTGGTCCCAGAGTGCTGGACCAGCCGGGGGATTATGTGCAGAAGCAGAAGGGGTGTGTCCTGGCGACGCGCTGGATGGACGTGAAGGAGATGGGTTTCCTGAGCACCAACGCTGCACCAGGTGGAGTGGACCAGGTGTGGAGGAGGTCCCAGACCAGGGCCGGGACCCTGGACCCAGTGGAGCGTCCTGAGGCGGTGCGCCTCCTGCAGGAGAACATGAGAGGAGCAGACATCTGCAAACAGCTGTTGGCCTGTAACCCTCTGGGGGGCGTGGCCTCGGTGCACCCCTGGAGAAACCTGCTGTGGCTCCTGGTCAACATCAGCGTCGTCAACGCTTTCCTGGTCTTCAGAGAGGCCCGGAGGGACTGTCCCCCAGCATGGGTCCTCAGGGGCCTCTTTACCCAGGTACACCCCAGCATGGGTCCTCAGGGGCCTCTTTACCCAGGTACACCCCAGCACAGGTCCTCAGGGGCCTCTTTCCCCAGGTACACCCAGCATGGGTCCTCAGGGGTCTCTTTACCCAGGTACACCCCAGCACGGGTCCTCAGGGGCCTCTTTACCCAGGTACACCTCAGCATGGGTCCTCAGCAGACTCTGGTGTTGTGACTTTTTAGGACCCAGCAGACTCTGGTGTTCTGACTCTTTAGGACCCAGCAGACTCTGGTGTTGTGACTCTTTAGGACCCAGCAGACTCTGGTGTTCTGACTCTTTAGGACCCAGCAGACTCTGGTGTTCTGACTCTTTAGGACCCAGCAGACTCTGGTATTCTGACTCTTTAGGACCCAGCAGACTCTGGTGTTGTGACTCTTTAGGACCCAGCAGACTATTGTGTTCTGACTCTTTAGGACCCAGCAGACTCTGGTGTTGTGACTCTTAGGACCCAGCAGACTCTGGTGTTGTGACTCTTTAGGACCCAGCAGACTCTGGTGTTCTGACTCTTTAGGACCCAGCAGACTCTGGTGTGCTGACTCTTTAGGAGCCAGCAGACTCTGGTGTTCTGACTCTTTAGGACCCAGCAGACTCTGGTGTTCTGACTCTTTAGGAGCCAGCAGACTCTGGTGTTCTGACTCTTTAGGAGCCAGCAGACTCTGGTGTTCTGACTCTTTAGGACCCAGCAGACTCTGGTGTTGTGACTCTTTAGGACCCAGCAGACTCTGGTGTTGTGACTCTTTAGGACCCAGCAGACTCTGGTGTTCTGACTCTTTAGGACCCAGCAGACTCTGGTGTTCTGACTCTTTAGGAGCCAGCAGACTCTGGTGTTCTGACTCTTTAGGACCCAGCAGACTCTGGTGTTCTGACTCTTTAGGACCCAGCAGACTCTGGTGTTCTGACTCTTTAGGACCCAGCAGATGTCTTTATAAATACTTTGTTCTTCAGGAGAGTTTCCGCAGACGGCTCGGGACGCAGCTCGCCAAATGCTTCACGCGCCTCCCCCGCCTGGAGCCGGCCCCGCCCCTCCCTCAGGGCTCTCTCCTGCCGGGGTCGCTCCCTCAGGGGTCGCTCCTGCCGGGGTCTCTCCCTCAGCGCTCTCTCCTGCCGGGGTCTCTCCCTCAGCGCTCTCTCCTGCCGGGCTCGCACCACATGGTGAAGATCAGTAAGATCAGTAAACGCTGTAAGAACTGTCTGACCCAGAACCGCCGCCACGAGAGTCTGTACGGCTGCAGCCTGTGCCGAGCCAGTCTGTGCCAGTCACACACATGCTTCTGGGAGTACCACAACCTGCAGCCTACACACACATGTGAGACACACACACACACACACTCACACACACAGACACAGAGACACACACACACACACACACAGAAACACACACACACACACAGACACACACACACACACACGCACACACACACACACACACACACACACACACACACACACACACACACACACACACACACACACACACACACACACACACACACACACACACACACACACACACACACACACACACACACACACACACACTAACCCTGTGTCTCTCCTCAGTCTCCTCTCGTTCTGGGTTCACTGTGGATCCAAAGACGTAAGTAGTTATATGCTTTGGTCCAATCACGTGGCTGCATTCTCACTGGCTCCGCCTCTTTCTCAGGGGGGGGATCTCATTGAACGCTCCGGTGAAGGAGGAGGCGGACTTAAGCGCTCCATTAGAGGAGGAGTCTGAAGAAGAGGAGGCGCAGCTTTTACCAGAGGGGGCAGAGCTACAGGTGAGCCTCCTCTCTCCCTCTCCTCCCTCAGTCTCTCACTCCCCCTCTCTCCCCCACTGGCCTCCCTCTCCTCTCTCCTCTCTCTCTCCCCCTCTCTCCCCCACTGGCCTCCTCTCCTCTCTCTCTCTGCCTCTCTTCCCCACTGGCCTCCTCTATCCTCTCTCTCCCCCTCCCCCCCCCCACAGGCCTCCCTTTCCCCCTCAGTCTCTCTCTCCCCCGCTGGCCTCCTCTCCTCTCTCTCTCCCCCACAGGCCTCCCTCTCTTCCCTCAGTCTCTCTCTCCCCCTCTCTCCCCCACTGGCCTTCTCTCCTCTCTCTCTCCCCCTCTCTCCCCCACAGGCCTCTCTCTCCTCTCTCACTCCACCTCTCTCCCCCCTCTCCCCCACAGGCCTCTCTCTCCTCCCTCAGTCTCTCACTCCCCCTCTCTCCCCCCCTCTCCCCCGCAGGCCTCCTCTCCTCTCTCTGTCTCCTCCTCGGACACCCTGGAGGCTCCAGAACTTTCAGAGCAGGTCTTCCCCGGGGTTCTGCCTCAGTTGTTCTCGGAGCGACAGCTGCAGATCCTGCTGTGTGCTCTGTGTGAGGGCGTGTCCCGAGCCGCGCAGCTGTTCCACACGGAGGAGGAGGTGCTGAGGCGCTGGCTGAAGGAGGCACAGGAGGAGGTGGAGCGTACAGAGGAGGAGGAGCCAGAGGTGCAGCACTTGGAGGAGGAGGAGCCCAAGGTGAGCTTGCGGGTTAGCATTAAGCTAATGGTTTAGCATTGTGCAGGATAGATAGATTGATATTTTAGAGTGAGGAGAAATGCAGGTGTCCAGAAGCAGAAAAAAATAAAATAGATAATTCTAAAAGTATCTAAAAAATAATGATAAACAGTCCTTCAGGTCGCTCCCAGGCCCCCGATAATCTCAGCTCTCTCACGCCGAGAAAAAGAAAACAAGGGAAACTCCCTCAAAACAATCCAGAGAATGGCACACACTGAGCCGCGCATTCTCCACCAAATCTGTCAGGGATGAAGCAGACAGAGACGGAACGTGGTGCGCCAAACTCTGGAAGTTTATTTAAGTTTCTCTCAAGTTCCAGTGGTTTCCATTGTTTCTTTCTCTCAGACAGAATAAAGGCAGTACACAGTTTATATAGTCATTGTCACGTCACACATGGAAAGACGTGTCACACAGAGACAGTCACATCAGAGTCAAAATAATCAGAGTCCTTGTAGAGTCCTGCACGTAGGCCATATTGCTATCTAATACTAACAACTAGCAGCAGAGAGCCACCTGGTTTGGACCATTGCTAAATGTTTTGTTAGCGTTTTTCATGAGCATTCCTCCAGTGGATTTTCTGCTGATCCTCTTGGTTTGGACCATGAATCCTCTCTGCTCTGGTCTGGACCAGTATGAAACCATGAATCCTCTCTGCTCTGGTCTGGACCAGTGTAAAACCATGAATCCTCTCTGCTCTGGTCTGGACCAGTGTAAAACCATGAATCCTTGTGTGTCCTCAGCGCGCAGACGTGAGCTGTCGGCTGGTGAAGTTTGTGCTGAGTGTGCGTGAGCAGCAGGTGGCGCTGTCCCACTCTGCTCTCTGCAGTAAAGTGTCGTCCCTGAAGCAGAAGGGCCTTCACTCCTTCAGGTTCTCATACGAGTGGGCGGTCCACTTCATGCTGCGTCACAGACTGCAGTTTCAGGGCGTGGCCACAGCGCTGACTCAGCGGCTCCCCCTGGTGTTAGCACGCAGCTGCCACGCCTTCCGCAGCTTCACCAGCTCACTCATCGCTCGCCACGCCCTGCCGCCCGTCGCCGTGGCAACCATGGACGAGTTCTGCGTCTACGGTGACTTCAGCGTCGACCAGAGCCGGCCACAAGACCTGCTGAGGCTGCAGAGCGCCCCCACAGGTGAGAGAGGGTGCTACAGGTGAGAGAGAGGGAGCTACAGGTGAGAGAGAGGACTACAGGAGAGAGAGAGAGGACTACAGGAGAGAGAGAGAGAGAGAGGGGACTACAGGAGAGAGAGAGAGAGGACTACAGGAGAGAGAGAGAGGACTACAGGAAAGAGAGAGAGGACTACAGGAAAGAGAGAGAGGACTACAGGAGAGAGAGAGAGGACTACAGGAGAGAGAGCGAGAGAGGACTACAGGAGAGAGAGAGAGAGGACTACAGGAGAGAGAGAGAGGGAGGACTACAGGAGAGAGAGAGAGAGGGAGGACTACAGGAGAGAGAGAGAGAGGACTACAGGAGAGAGAGAGAGAGGACTACAGGAGAGAGAGAGAGAGGACTACAGGAGAGAGAGAGAGAGGACTACAGGAGAGAGAGAGAGAGGAGAGAGAGAGAGAGAGAGAGAGGACTACAGGAGAGAGAGAGAGAGAGAGGACTACAGGAGAGAGAGAGAGAGGACTGCTGTCTGAGCACTGATGTGTCCTGTCCCTCTAGGCTCCACCCCTCTGATGACGGTGTTCCTGTGTGCGCTCTCGGACGGCACGCTGCTGCCCGCTCTCATCGTGTGCGACGGGCCCCAGGAGCAGCGAGCGCTCCCCGACTGCGTCCTGCTGCAGAGCGCAGACGCAGACGTGAGCGTAGGCGCTGCTCTGGAGCTTTGGCGCCGCCGTGTGTGGGCGGAGCATGTCCGTGACATGCAGCTGCATAAGTCTCTGCTGCTGCTGGACGCGCATCGTCACCACGACAGCGGTGCCTTCGTGGCAGCGGTCGCAGACACACGCACCGTCCCTGCGATCGTCCCCAAAGGCCTGAGTCACCGTCTGCAGCCGCTGGAGCTGTGTGTGACTCCTGTGCTAAAGAGATGGCTGCAGGAGCGATGGAGGAGCCACGTGAGCAAAGACACCAGCTCCGTGAGCGCAGACGCACACGTGAGCGCAGACTTAGACGTGAGCGCAGACTTAGACGTGAGCGCAGATGCACACGTGAGCGCAAACGCACACGTGAGCGCAGACTTAGACGTGAGCGCAGACGCAGACGTGAGCGCCAACGCACACGTGAGCGCCAACGCACACGTGAGCGCCGACGCACACGTGAGCGCAGAGGCACACGTTAGCGCAGACGTGAGCGCAGACGCAGACGTGAGCGCAGACGTGAGCGCAGACGTGAGCGCAGAGGCACACGTTAGCGCAGACGCACACGTTAGCGCAGACGCACACGTTAGCGCAGACGCACACGTGAGCGCAGAGGCACACGTTAGCGCAGACGCACACGTGAGCGCAGCGGTGGGCGCAGACGCAGACGTGCGCGCAGACGTGAGCGCAGACGCACACGTGAGCGCAGACGTGGGCGCAGACGCAGACGTGAACGCAGACGCAGACGTGAGCGCAGACGTGAGCGAAGACGCACACGTGAGCGCTGACGCAGACGTGAACGCAGACGCACACGTGAGCGCAGACGCAGACGTGAGCGCTGACACAGACGTGAGCGCAGACGCACACGTGAGCGCAGACGTGAGCGCAGACGCAGACGTGAGCGCTGACGCACACGTGAGCGCAGACGTGAGCGCTGACACAGACGTGAGCGCAGACGCAGACGTGAGCGCAGACGCACACGTGAGCGCAGACGTGAGCGCTGACGCACACGTGAGCGCAGACGCAGACGTGAGCGCTGACGCAGACGTGAGCGCTGACGCAGACGTGAGCGCAGACGCAGACGTGAGCGCAGACGCAGACGTGAGCGCAGACGCAGACGTGAGCGCAGACGCAGACGTGAGCGCAGACCCACACCTGAGCGCAGACGTGAGCGCACACACAGTGAGTCACAAACCTCTGGACCCACGCAGTGTCGTGCACACACTGGTGCAGTGGACGATGGAGGCGCTCGAACACATCAGCCGACTTCCCCACATCGTAGAGGAGTCGTTTCAGCTTGCAGGAGTTTTGGAGGCGCAACAGGAGGCGCGACTGCAGGAGGTGCAGGACGCTCTCATGAAAAGATTGAGCGTGAAGATCACAGGGAAGGAGCTGGTGCGAGAGGAGGATCCAGACTACTGGGACGTGAAAGGGGAGGTGCAAAGGAGAGACGTGGGCAGCAGAGTGCCTCAGATGATCCACCAGAGAGGAGGTGAAGAGAAGGAGGTGCATCATGTCACTGAGAAGGAAGCTCAGCAGTCGGAATTACACAATGAAGACAAAACAAAATCTTCAAAATCAGAAAGAAGAATATCTGCAGAGAGTGAGGGGCTACAGATGGACCAGCAGGAGGAGGAGCAGGAGGGGGCGCAGGAGGAGGAGCAGGAGGGGGAGCAGGAGGAGGAGCAGGAGGAGGCCCAGGACGGGGCGCAGGAGGAGGCCCAGGACGGGGTGCAGGAAGAGGGCCAGGATGGGACGCAGGAGGACGCGCAGGAGGAGGGCAAGGACGGGGCGCAGGAGGGGGCGCAGGAGGACAGCTTGGAGGAGGCGCAGGAGAAGGGGGTGCAGGGAGACAAAATGGACTCTCAAATGGAGCCCAAGGAACAGAAAAACATCAAAATGGACACTGAAAAGGCACAAACTGTAGAGGAGGTTCCAGAGAGAGGAGAGACACTCGTGATGGAGGAGCAAACGGAGACAGAAGAGGAGGAGCGAGTGGAAGGAGACAAAAGGGACGCCTGGATAGAAGCAGCTGCTGTTGTTACAGAGCAGAAGGAGCAGGAGGAGGTGCTAATGGAGGAGCAAGAGGAAGTGCACGTGAAAGATGAGGATAAAGCTGAGGAGCGATTGCAGGAAGACAGAGCTGCTTTCAGACTAGTTCAGGAGACTATGGAGAGTGAGGAGGAGGCGCAGGAGCAGGAGGCGCAGGAGCAGGAGGCGCAGCAGCCGAGGCTCGAGACCCGCATCCTGATGGGAGCTGATCTCGGAGACGAGTGGCAAGTGCAAAGTTTAGACGACAACGCGATGGACGAAAGCTGAAGTCTTTTTGAAGCTGAGTTATGTGTTATTTATGAGGCAAAAGTTACGGAGCTCAGCTTTAATTCCAGCTGTCTCCAAACGGTGCTATCCTGTTGTTTAGGCCTGTTTTTCTGACAAATCTTCTGCATTATGTGTTGTTTTAAACTTGATTTTGAAATTGCGTGTTGTGTGTCTGAGGGGTTGGAGTCAGTACAGAGCGGTGTCTGAGGGGGCGGAGTCAGCACAGAGCGGTGTCTGAGGGGGCGGAGTCAGCACAGAGCGGTGTCTGAGGGGGCTGTGTATGGGCATGGCTAGAGGTAAACACAGCTGCTGGTCTGTGGCTGCTGAGCAACACTTGTGTAATTTTTGTTATTTTTGAAGGTTTGTGTCACATGAAAAATATGTAAATAATTAAATTGTGGCAGAAAACGCTGTCGTTTTTAATCCAGCTGTTCCTTCTGTCAGGTTCCATGAAGGGATTTGTAATAAACTCCGAATTTGTTCATAAGTCTCAGTCTTTTCTGCTGCTGGTGTCATGTGCAAGTCTGCCCCTGGTCTCTCCAAGATGTCTACCCAAGATGTCTACCCCTGGTCTCTCCAAGAAGTGTATTTTAGACTTTTAGCAATATGTAAGATTTTTATGTCAAGTAATCATTAAAGGGCCTTAATCTGTCATCATTAAAGGGTCTTAATCTGTCATCATTAAAGGGCCTTAATCTGTCATCATTAAAGGGCCTTAATCTGTCATCATTAAAGGGCCTTGATCTGTCATCATTAAAGGGCCCTAATCCGTCATCATTAAAGGGCCTCAATCTGTCATCATTAAAGGGTCTTAATCTGTCATCATTAAAGGGTCTTAATCTGTCCTCATTAAAGGGCCCTTCTGTCATTAAAGGGCCTTAATCTGTCATCATTAAAGGGCCTTGATCTGTCATCATGAAAGGGCCTTAATCTGTCATCATTAAAGGGTCTTAATCTGTCATCATTAAAGGGTCTTAATCTGTCATCATTAAAGGGCCCTAATCTGTCATTAAAGGGCCTCAATCTGTCATCATTAAAGGGCCCTAATCGGTCATCATCATCAGTACAGACTGCTTTAAGCCTCGGACATAGAGACTGTGTCTGATCCCGGACCTGGACGAGAAGCTGATTCCACAGAAAAGAAGCTCCATGCTCTACCGCAGACTGCACTGTTTGACTCTTTAGGACCCAGCAGACGTGAGAGAGTTTGGTTGGTCTGACACTAACGAGTCTTTGAGGTAGGAGGAGCCATGTTAAAGGAAGAATTTTACATTTAACTCCAACCTCTGGAAGTCAGTAGAATATCAAGTCAATATGAACTCAGGATCACAGAGAGCGAGAAACCACAGAGCACTGCCACAAACATTACTGAGGCGTTTACTTTTACATGGAGGTCAATAGGAGCCAAACTTCACCATGAGCACTTCCCTGTTAAGCGTCATTGAGCTAGGGTTAGCATTGTCCGTCTGTAAATCCAATCCATTTTATTATATAGCACAGTTTCAAAGTGCTGCACAGATAAAAGTAACACAGTAAAATATACAACTGTACCAGAGCACATGTGTGGGTTTGGTTCTCTATAAACATGGACCGTTTGGTGCTACACAACTCTGCCAGCTTTACATTAAAAAAACTATTCAAATAAAATCATCTATATACATAAACAAACATAAAACAATCAAATCAATAAAAAATTGAGTCATATACAAGGTCGGAAGCAAATGTCTGTACTGTCCACTGCACCGGTTCCTCATGATCGGGGATAGAGCTCTGACTGAGAGACCGCCTGGAGGATATTAGAGAAGACATTGATGAAGTCGGGCAGACTGCTGCTTGTTTAAAGGCTCAAACTATTTATACTAGATTGAAGCTACTACAGCAGAAGTGGTTAATGACAACTTACATGACCCCAGACAAGCTACATAAATGGTCCCCGGACATCCCAGACACTTGTGTTGTACGGATAAAGGTTCATGAATCCGTTGTGTTTGGGAATCTGTCATTAGCATATTATACAAAATAGTTAGTATTCAAGTTCCTTGTGTAGCAAAACTCTGTGTACTGGGAATATATCAAGGGAACTTCATGGCTGAATCTAAATAAGACTCTGATAGACTTTGGCCTCCTGCAGGCCAGGAGGAGGATTGCACCGTGTTGGAAAGAGTCTGAAACTCCTTCTGTTCAATTCTGGGTCCGAGAAATGTCACTTTGAGTTACGTTGGAAAAACTGACTTAAGGAATTTGAAGATGTATCGACACCTTTAATGCAATCTCTTAAGCAATGAGTGCGTTGCTCTTTCAGAGTGTGACTATGTGAATGTACATATTTAGGATCTTCATTTAATTTTTTGCTTGCATGGTTGTATATATATATATATATATATATATATATATATATATATATATATATATATATATATTGTTGTTGTTGTGATTTTACTTTTTTTTCTTTATTATTTGCTTCTCTATGCTAGCTTATATTTCATATTGACATTTTGCAATTATTTGTTTTTGTATTCTGAAAAAACTAAGCTAAAAGTAATAAAACATTAAACTGTAAAGTCTCATGATCACGCTGCACATCCACTACTGTCCACACGAGGGCGCTGCGGTTATAAAGCGAGCCGCGCATGCGCAGAGGAGAGCAGGAAGCATCAGTGTCAGCGCTGTTGTGTCAGATTCAGTCTCCCGTGTTTACGTGTTTTACGTGTCTGTGGACCGCCGTGTCTCCTGATGCCGGGACCCGAGCCGCAGGTTTGTGCTTCTCAAGGATTTATTTTATCTTTCCCTAAATTCACAACAATAATGTAGTAAAGTGTCCTTCTTATTAGACAAAACAGACTCCTGCATCAGAGGACCTACTCTAAAACCAGGACTCAGACTGTAGAACGAGGACTGAGGCTGTAGACCCAGGACTGAGGCTGTAGACCCAGGACTGAGGCTGTAGACCCAGGACTGAGGCTGTAGATCCAGGACTGAGGCTGTAGATCCAGGACTGAGGCTGTAGACCCAGAACTGAGGCTGTAGACCCAGGACTGAGGCTGTAGACCCAGGACTGAGGCTGTAGACCCAGGACTGAGGCTGTAGATCCAGGATCCAGGACTGAGGCTGTAGATCCAGGACTGAGGCTGTAGACCCAGGACTCAGACTGTAGAACGAGGACAGGACTGAAGCACACAGCAGAGGATTAGATCTGTGTAAACCATCTCATGATGAAGAAACATCTAAAAGCATGATATTAACGTTAATAACTGTTTATTGTGTGAAATGCATCATAACCCTAACCCTGTAACTTTAAAGCTGGGCTCTGTAACTTTCAGACCGATAGAACTCTGTATTAAACCCATGTCTCCAGGTTTGTTAAAACGACATGTTATTTGTGAGACGAAAGTTACAGACCCCAGCTTTAATAGTTTGTTATTTATGGTGCAGGACTGTGAGGGGGCGGGGCCAGGTTCTGGTGTGCGGGTCCTTGTTACCGGGGCGACAGGGCTGTTGGGGCGGAGCCTGTGTCGACAGCTCCGTAGCGACGGATGGATCGTCATAGCGACGGGCTTCAGCCGCGCCTCTCCCAGAATGCACCAGTGCGACCTGACGAGCGAAGAGCAGGTGCAGCGGCTGGTGCGGACACACAAGGTACGGTTTAACTGTATAGCACAGTTCACACAGAGCATCAGCCTCCATCTCACTGAAACACAATGACGCTGTTGTTAAAGGAGTGTGTGTCTTTCTCGGTTCATCAAAAGCGTTTAATCCCATTAACCTGGAGATTCTTCTGGACCGGAACCTCATGGGCTCAGGTGGTTTAGAACTGTACGGAGCGTTATGGCCAATTAAAAACCAGCAAATCTCAGCATAAAATGATCCAGTCTGGAGTCCCCCAGGGCTCCGTGTTGGGGCCACTTCTTTTCATTGTTGATGTAAATGTTTTTATGCATTCGTCTTATCGCTGATCATACAAACCTGCTCCTGTCACACAAACCTGCTCCTGTCACACAAACCTGCTCCTGTCACACAAACCTGCTCCTGTCACACAAACCTTCTCCTGTCACACAAACCTTCTCCTGTCACACAAACCTGCTCCTGTCACACAAACCTGCTCCTGTCACACAAACCTGCTCCTGTCACACAAACCTGCTCCTGTCACACAAACCTTCTCCTGTCACACAAACCTGCTCCTGTCACACAAACTTGGACAGCTGAGAAACACGTGTAGATGAAGAAATGATCAAAGACAATCGGCTAAAATGCAACAAACTATCATTAAATATAAACAAAACCAATTCCATAATATTCTGTTCAAATAGAAGCCTCTGAAAGGTTTGTTGTTGTTGTCCTGTGGTTGTTGTTGTCCTGTGTTTGTTGTTGTCCTGTGGTTGTTGTTGTTCTGTAGTTGTTGTTGTCCTGTGGTTGTTGTTGTTCTGTAGTTGTTGTTGTCCTGTGGTTGTTGTTGTCCTGTGTTTGTTGTTGTCCTGTGGTTGTTGTTGTTCTGTAGTTGTTGTTGTCCTGTGGTTGTTGTCCTGTGGTTGTTGTTGTTCTGTGGTTGTTGTTTCACATGTTTAAGATGTAAACAAATGAATTAATATAAATCACAGTACTTTAAACAGTTCTACAGTTCTACTGTCTCAGCCTGAGGTAGGCGTACACTGTAGTGTAACTGTAGTATTATACTGTAGTATTACTGTAGTATTAGTAATATAGTAGTAGTACTAATACTCAGTACTCGGATACAGCCGGAGGTGGTTGTACACTGTGCCGCTGAGCGCCGTCCGGACGTCGTGGAGCGAGCGTCTGACTCCGCTCTCAACCTGAACGTGCACGCCACCGCCACGCTCGCCAAGGAGGCAGGTGAGAACCATACAGACACAACCTGAGCCTAGAAGGTGAGAACCATACAGACACAACCTGAGCCTAGAAGGTGAGAACCATACAGACACAACCTTAGCCTAGGAGTTGAGAACCATACAGAGACAATCACAGATGTTTGTTTCATTGTTGCCGTAGCGACCTGCGGGGCCTTCCTGGTTTACATCAGCACTGACTATGTTTTTGACGGAAGAAATCCTCCGTACGGAGAAGACGACTCCCCCAACCCCCTCAACCTGTACGGGAGGAGCAAGAGGGAGGGGGAAAGGGAGGTGCAGAGGCACTGCCCAGGTATGATATAGGACCAGGACTGGGACCAAGACTGAGACTAGGACCAGAGGCACTGCCCAGGTCAAAAGTCTCTCTGGTCTCTCTCTCTGGTCTCTCTCTCTCTGGTCTCTCTCTCTCTGGTCTCTCTCTCTGGTCTCTCTCTGGTCTCTCTCTCTCTGGTCTCTCTCTCTCTGGTCTCACTCTGGTCTCACTCTGGTCTTTCCTCAGACTGTGTGATCTTGAGGGTCCCTATCCTCTTTGGGGAGGTGCAGAGGGTGGAGGAGAGTGCAGTCACGTCCCTCTGGTCCTCAGTCCTGGACCAGTCTCAGACCTGGTCTCTGGACCATGTGCAGCAGCGCTTCCCGACCGACGTGAGAGATGTGTCCAGAGTCATCAGCAACATCTGCAGCCGGCGACAACAGGTACCAACTGTGTCTGTCTCTGTGTCTGTGTCTCTGTGTCTGTGTGTCTGTCTCTGTGTCTGTCTCTGTTTCTGTGTCTGTGTCTCTTTGTCTGTCTCTGTGTCTGTGTGTCTGTGTCTGTCTGTGTGTCTGTGTCTGTGTCTGTGTCTCTGTGTCTCTCTGTGTCTGTCTGTGTCTCTGTCTGTCTGTCTGTGTCTCTGTCTCTGTGTCTCTGTGTCTCTGTGTCTGTGTCTCAGTGCTGTGTCTGTGTCTTCAGGACCCGTCTCTCTGTGGTGTGTTCCACTTCTCGGGGAAAGAGCAGATGACCAAATATGAGATGAGCAAATCCATCGCAGAGGCCTTCGAGCTGCCGAGCAACCACATCGTCCCGGTAACAGACACACGCCCATATCGTCCCGATAACAGACACACGCCCACATCGTCCCGGTAACAGACAGGCACACGCCCTCATCGTCCCGGTAACAGACAGGCACACGCCCTCATCGTCCCGGTAACAGACACACGCCCACATCTTCCCGGTAACAGGCACACACCCACATTGTCCCGGTAACAGACACACGCCCACCCACATTGTCCCGGTAACAGACACACGCCCACATCGTCACGGTAACAGACACACGCCCAAATCTTCCCGGTAACAGGCACACACCCACATTGTCCCGGTAACAGGCACACGCCCACATTGTCCCGGTAACAGACACACGCCCACATCGTCACGGTGACAGACACACGCCCACCTGCCCCTAAACCTCTGTTTGTTGTTGTTTGTGTGTAGGTGACAGACCCCGCCCCCTCCTCTGGCCCCGCCTCTCGCCCTTTGAACTCTCGTTTGAATTGTTCTCGGTTGGAGCTGATTGGTCTGAGCGTGGAGCCCCGCCCCTTCAGAGTCGCCATCTTGGATTCACTGTGGCCGTTTACACCGGACAAGAAGTGGAGGCAGACGGTGTTCCACTAGTACTACAGTACTGTAGTACTGCTACTAGCACTACAGAACTGCAAGTACTACTACAATACTACTATAGTACTGTAGTAGTACTTAAGTACTGTAGTGTTTTCTACAATACTCCTGTAGAGCATGTTTTAATGTTTTAAATAAACAATGTAAAAACACGCTCCTCCGTCTTAACTGTTTATGCTGCTTTCATCTACTGTGGTTAGCAATGCTTCTAAGCCTCTTGTGATGCGTTTAAAGTACTGACCACGCCCGCATGGATATACATGACAGACCCTAGCTTTAAAGGTCTCTCTCTCTGGTCTCTCTCTGGTCTCTCTGGTCTCTCTCTGGTCTCTCTCTGGTCTCTCTCTGATCTCTCTCTGATCTCTCTCTGGTCTCTGTTGTCAAAAATACCCTTTGACGTGTTCAAAGTTGATGCAGAAGTAAGACGAAGATAATCCAAGTTTAACATCTGTATTTAATTTATCTTTACAATCAGATACAGAAATTCAACAAGAGAGCTCCTATGCTATGTCCCTCGCTGGCCCTCTGCTGACTGACTGTGCTCAAAGACCTTCAGGGAGGTTAAATGTAGGAGACTTCCGATGACGTAATCACTATGCGCCTCCCAAGGGTTTTCTTCCGGGTGTGCTGGCGTCCCTTGTCCACTGGGAGGCGTCAGAATGCCGTTGGTGAATCCCCTTTCTGCCTAGTTTGTGATGGACTTTGCTGATCATCGCCAACATCTTAGTTCTGGCTCGATGTCTGTGAAGAATTAATACAGGGAAAACAAACAACACACAACCACATTCGAAACATATGTTTTTATCTAATAAATCTCCCTATACCGTGGTTTGCTTTCGTTACCAGTGGCTTTGTGCCCAACGTGGGGTTTTGCCAAGCCCCGGCGATCCAAGATGGCGCCCTATTCAAATGAATGGTTGTGCTCAGTGGCGCTTTGTGACGGCATGGGGGCTGAAAGATTAGCGGAAGTCGCCTGGAACTCGCAAAGATTCATGGGAAACTCTCAAAGATCTATGGGAAACTCGCCTGTATTTGGGCATCGTCTGGTCCTCCCGGTTCTGCGCAGTGGATGATCTCCCATAATGCGTTGCGCCAAACACGCGTGTGTGGGTCTCACACCGGGTCTCACGCACGTGCACAGAGGGGCTCGGCCGCGCTCTGACCAATCAGAGCAGTTCATCAGAGCGGGAGTTAGAGCGAGAGCCAGAGGAGTAGAGTTTGTGGCACTAAAGTGTGGATTTAAACAAAACCGAAGGATTTAAGAAGAAAAAAAGTTCAGGATGACAAGGGACACTAAAATCCCCACAAAATCCGATCTTTATTAAAGCTGTAGGTTCTCTGTCAGCTGAGGTTGAGCTGTTTTGGTTTACATTGAGTTCTATGGGGAAAATTTCTGGGTAGCCCACGTGAATTTAGTCTGGTTCAGTCTGCAGTACCGCGAGAATCCCCTGAGCACATGAGTTATTCAGCTACAAGCTAGTAATACCCTATCCAGTTAATATAATACATCCATGGGTTTTGCTCATTTTTCCAAATACATTTGTTGAACCAGGAAGTGCTGTCACTTCCTCCTCTCAGACAGTTTGGGATGAATGTATATCGTTAATCAAATTGGTATTATCCTTACAGGAGCTAATCTATTTTAGCAGGTTTTGGGGTCAGTTACTCTACAATGGTGTTTGATCCTCTAATCTATGCTGACAAATAGACAGCTTTTAAAATTCTCAAAAATACCTAAATATCTACTTTTGTGCTATACCCAAATACATTAAAATGCTTTTAAATGTTTTTGAATCTGTGTTGGTTCTAATCTATCTCAATAATCTATCTCATTAATCTAAGCTACACTCATGAACTTCTTGCATTGTCAACATTCACCTATGTTTGAAACAAGTGAATTTGACAAGTATCTAATAGAACTGTGCATGAACTGTAATGAACTTTATCTACTTTTGAAGTAAATACTTTTGGACATATTATGAAGGAAATGGACCTTTTACCGTTTGATATTAGCCCTGGCTAAAAATAATCTCTATTTTTGAAAGCATCTATCTATTTCTACTCTTGTGACTCCAAAGCTCGGTTGTAGCTTGAGCCAAAGCATATTTCCAATTTGTGTCCATTGAGAGTGACGTCTTTGGGACAGAGAGAACCAGGACAGCTGCTGCTACATGTCACAGTGATGGGTCTGTAGGTCTGTCTGTAGGTCTGTCTGTAAGTCTGTCTGTAAGTCTGTCTGTAGGTCTGTCTGTAGGTCTGTCTGTAGGTCGGTCTGTAGGTCCGTCTGTAAGTCTGTCTGTAGGTCTGTCTAGAGGACAGTCTGTAGGTCTGTGTGTAGGTCAGTCTGTAGGTCTGTGAGTAGGTCAGTCTGTCTGTAGGTCTGTCTGTAGATATGTCTGTAGGTCTGTCTGTAGGTCTGTCTGTAGGTCAGTCTGTAGGTCTGTCTGTAAGTCTGTCTTTAGGTCTGTCTGTAGGTCAGTCTGTAGGTCTGTCTGTAGGTCTGTCTGCAGGTCAGTCTGTAGGTCTGTCTGCAGGTTAGTCTGTAGATGTGTCTGTAGGTCTGTCTGTAGGTATGTCTGTAGGTCTGTCTGTAAGTCAGTCTGTAGATCTTTCTGTAGGTCTGTCTGTAGGTCAGTCTGTAGGTCTGTCTGTAGGTCTGTCTGCAGGTCAGTCTGTAGGTCTGTCTGTAGGTCTGTCTGCAGGTCAGTCTGTAGGTCTGTCTGTAGGTCTGTCTGTAAGTCTGTCTGTAGGTCAGTCTGTAGGTCTGTCTGTAGGTTTGTCTGTAGGTCAGTCTGTAGGTCTGTCTGTAGATCTGCCTGTAGGTCGGTCTGTAGGTCCGTCTGTAAGTCTGTCTGTAAGTCTGTCTGTAGGTCTGTCTAGAGGACAGTCTGTAGGTCTGTGAGTAGGTCAGTCTGTCTGTAGGTCTGTCTGTAGGACAGTCTGTAGATCTGTCTGTAGGTCTGGCTGTAGGTCTGTCTGTAGGTCAGTCTGTAGGTCTGTCTGTAAGTCTGTCTTTAGGTCTGTCTGTAGGTCAGTCTGTAGGTCTGTCTGTAGGTCTGTCTGCAGGTCAGTCTGTAGGTCTGTCTGTAGGTCTGTCTGCAGGTTAGTCTGTAGATGTGTCTGTAGGTCTGTCTGTAGGTATGTCTGTAGGTCTGTCTGTAAGTCAGTCTGTAGATCTGTCTGTAGGTCTGTCTGTAGGTCAGTCTGTAGGTCTGTCTGTAGGTCTGTCTGCAGGTCAGTCTGTAGGTCTGTCTGTAGGTCTGTCTGCAGGTCAGTCTGTAGGTCTGTCTGTAGGTCTGTCTGTAGGTCTGTCTGTAAGTCTGTCTGTAGGTCAGTCTGTAGGTCTGTCTGTAGGTTTGTCTGTAGGTCAGTCTGTAGGTCTGTCTGTAGATCTGCCTGTAGGTCTGTCTGTAGATGTGCCTGTAGGTCTGTGTAGGTCTGTCTGTAGGTCAGTCTGTAAGCCTGTTTGTAGATGTGTCTGTAGGTCTGTCTGTAGGACAGTCTGTAGGTCTGTCTGTAGAACAGTCTGTAGGTCTGTGTGTAGGTCTGTCTGTAGATGTGTCTGTAGGTCAGTCTGTAGGTCTGTCTGTAAGTCTGTCTGTAGGACAGTCTGTAGGTCAGTGTGTAGGTCTGTCTGTAGATGTGTCTGTAGATGTGTCTGTAGGTCTGTCTGTAGGTCTGTCTGTAGGTCAGTCAGTAGGTCAGTCTGTAGGTCTGTCTGTAGGTCAGTCTTTAGGTCTGTCTGTAGGTCTGTCTCTAGGTCAGTCTGTAGATGTGTCTGTAGGTCAGTCTGTAAGTCTGTCTGTAGATGTGTGTGTAGGTCTGTCTGTAGAACAGTCTGTAGGTCTGTCTGTAGGACAGTCAGCAGGTCAGTCTGTAGGTCTGTCTGTAGGTCTGTTTGTAGGTCAGTCTGTAGGTCTGTCTGTAGGTCTGTGTGTAGGTCTGTCTGTAGATGTGTCTGTAGATGTGTATGCAGGTCTGTCTGTAGGTCTGTCTGTTGATGTGTCTGTAGTACAGTCTGCAAGTCAGTCTGTAGGTCTGTCTGTAGGTCTGTGTGTAGGTCTGTCTGTAGATGTGTCTGTAGATGTGTCTGTAGATGTGTCTGTAGATGTGTCTGTAGGTCTGTCTGTAGGTCGGTGTGTAGGTCTGTCTGTAGATGTGTCTGTAGGTCTGTCTGTAGGTAATCTTTAGTAAGTAAGTAATCTTTATTTATATACCGCCTTTTCACTGCACATCAGAGTCTCAAAGCGGTTTACAATTGTGATTTTTGGGAGTGGGGCCAGTACACGAGGCGCATGCCAGACCTATTGTACATATTTTTTAGTGGTAGGGGAAACCGGAGCACCCGGAGGAAACCTACGCAGACACAGGGAGAACATGCAAACTCCACTCAGAAAGGCCCTGGTCCAACTGGGATTTGAACCCAGGACCTTCTTGCTGAGAGGCGAGAGTGCTATCCACTCAGGTGGCTGAGTTCGGTGTGTAGGTCTGTCTGTAGGTCTGTCTGTAGATGTGTCTGTAGGTCAGTCTGTACGTCTGTCTGTAGGTCAGTCTGTAGGTCTGTCTGTAGGTCTGTCTGTAGGTCTGTCTGTAGGACAGGTTTCTCTCTGGTCTCTCACTCTGGTCTCTCTCTCTCTCTAGTCTCTCTTTGGTGTCTCTGGACCTGGTCCTGGTCCTAGTCCTGGTCCTGGTTCTGGTCCTGGTCCTGGTCCTGGTCCTGGTCTACTTTGGTTAATAGTGCGATTTGAATGCTGTTGTTTGTTTGATGGTTTAAGATTCAGTTTTCAACCAAATTATTTCTTAATGAACAGGTTTAAAAGACCAGAGCGAGACTAGAGAGAGACCAGAGCGAGACCAGAGAGAGACCAGACACGCCAGAGCGAGACTAGAGAGAGACCAGAGCGAGACCAGAGAGACCAGAGCGAGACAAGAGAGGCCAGAGCGAGACTAGAGAGAGACCAGAACTTCCCTCAGACTCCATCATGAACGGTGAGTGTTTTTTGTCAAAATGATTCATTCCAAACTTTTCACACAAAAAGTTTGGTCACTCGCTCTGGTCTCTCTCTGTTCTCTCTCTCTGGTCTCTCTCTGGTCTCACTCTGGTTTCTGGTCTCTCTCTGGTCTCTCTCTCTGGTCTCTCTCTGGTCTCACTCTCTGGTCTCTCTCTGATCTCTGGTCTCTCTCTGGTCTCCCTCTGGTCTTCCTCTGGTCTCTCTCTGGTCTCTCTCTGGTCTCTCTCTGGTCTCTGTTTGGTCTCTCTCTGGTCTCTCTTTGGTCTCTCTCTGGTATCTCTCTGGTCTCTCTCTGGTCTCTCTCTGGTCTCTCTCTCTGGTCTCTCTCTGGTCTCTCTCTGGTCTCTCTCTGGTCTCTCTCTCTGGTCTCTCTCTGGTATCACTCTGGCTTCTGGTCTCTCTCTGGTCTCACTCTGGTCTCTGGTCTCTCTCTGATCTCTTGTCTCCCTCTCGTCTCTCTATGGTCTCTCTCTGGTCTCCCTCTGGTCTCTCTCTGGTCTCTCGCTCTTTCTGGTCTCTCTCTGGTCTCTCTTTGGTCTCTCTCTGGTCTCTCTCTGGTCTCTCTCTCTGGTCTCTCTCTGGTCTCTCTCTGGTCTCTCTCTGGTCTCTCTTTGGTCTCTCTCTGGTCTCTCTTTGGTCTCTCTTTGGTCTCTCTCTGGTCTCTCTCTGGTCTCTCTCTGGTCTCTCCTAACCCCATGTGTTTGAGCAGGTGTGAGGGTCTTGCTGGTCCTCTCAGTCTCAGGTCAGTCCTCAGACCATGTTGAGTCCTTATGGTCCTCATGGGGTGAGGACTGATGGTTCTGTCCTGTGTCCAGGCGTCCTCCATGGGGTCGTGTCCCTGAGGTTGTACCATAAACAGAACCAGGAACGGACCTGGTCTGAGGCTGTGTCCGCCTGCGCCGCCCTGAACCTGACTCTGGCCTCGATCCAGACCTCGGACCAGAACTCTGCAGCCAGACCAGGCTGGGGGAAGGTCTGGACCGGTCTGAGCCGGGTCTGGGACTGGACGGGGGCGGGGTCTGCTGAGCCGGTCTCAGCCAATGAGGAGTGGTTTGAGGATTGGGCACCAATGGAGCCCCGGGACAAGAAGAACTGTACCGCCCTCCGCACCAGCGACGGACTGTACCGAGACCCTGAGGGCCAGCTGCTATAGAGGTGAGACCAGAACGAGACCAAAGGGAGACCAGAGGGAGAGACCAGAGGGAGACCAGAGAGAGACCAGAGGGAGACCAGAGAGAGACCAGAGAGAGACCAGAGGGAGACCAGAGGGAGACCAGAGGGAGACCAGAGGGAGACCAGAGGGAGACCAGAGAGAGACCAGAGAGGGACCAGCATCGCCATGGGAACCTGATGCTGTGTATTGGTTTTTTGCTGCAGAATCGGACCAGACTTACTGGATCCTGGACCAGTCCCTGGACTGGAAACAGGCCCGGTCTCAGTGTAAGGCCAACTTCGCCAACCTCAGCTCCGTCCTGAACCAGAACCAAACCCAGGATATCCTCCAGGCGCTCCAGTCGCTGAACCAGGCAGGTATCACCAACACTACCTCATCTACCGTAGACTGAGGCTGTAGACCCAGGACTGAGGCTGTAGACCCAGAACCAATGCCGTAGACCCGACTGAGACTGTAGACCCAGGACTGAGGCTGTAGACCCAGGACTGAGGCTGTAGACCCAGGACTGAGGCTGTAGACCCAGGACTGAGGCTGTAGACCCAGTTTCTCTGTGTTTAGGGGAGGAGGTCTGGATCGGGCTGTACCTGCGGTGACTTTGGGTGGATGGGTCCTGGGTCCAGTGGTCTGGGTGGGACCAGGACCCGCTGGACTCGGATAAAGCCTGCATGGTTCTGGATCAGAGCGGGAAGTGGGACCAGGAGAAATGTGAACAACGGTTCCAGTTCGTCTGTCACCAAGGTCTGAGCAAAAGTATTCATACCCCTGAACAACAGACATAAACATGTGTGTGTGTGTGTATGTCTGTGTGTGTGTCTGTGTGTGTGTCTGTCTGTCTGTGTGTGTGTGTGTGTGTCTGTGTGTGTGTGTGTGTGTCTGTGTGTGTGTAGATATTCCTGATGAGGTGAAAATGAAAAGAATCAAAGTGAAGCTCCGTCTGAGTTCTGGATCCGCTGATCTCACTGACCCCAAGATCCACAGGGCTCTGCTCTCCCAGGTCCAGACCAGACCAGGACCAGACCAGACCAGGACCAGACCAGGACCAGGACCAGGACCAGACAAGGACCAGACCAGGACCAGACCAGGACCAGACCAGACCAGACCAGGCTATAGATGCGGTCCCCACAGGTGTTGACTCCAACAGCAGACTCCTCCCACTTCATTTTCAGAGGAAGTGGAAGGAGTCTGCTCTGATTGGTCCAGTCCAGAGGCCCCTGAGGTCCCTGAGGTCCAGAGGCCCCTGAGGACCAGAGGTTCCTGAGGTCCTGAGATTCATGTAAACATTGATTGAATGTTATCAATGTGTTTAGAGAAGACTCAATGTTTAGTTTGTTTTCTGGTCTCTCTCTGGTCTCTCTCTGGACTCTCTCTGGTCTCTCTCACTGGTCTCTCTCTGGTCTCTCACTCTGGTCTCTCACTGGGGTCTCTCTCTGGTCTCTCTCACTGGGGTCTCTCTCTGGTCTCTCTCACTGGGGTCTCTCTCTGGTCTCGCTCACTGGGGTCTCTCTCTGGTGTCTCTCACTGGTGTCTCTCTGGTCTCTCTCACTGGTCTCTCTCTGGTCTCTCTCACTGGTCTCTCTCTGGTCTCTCACTCTGGTCTCTCTCTGGTTGTAGATGGAGCAGAGGCTGGAGATGTCTGGAGTGTCAGGGGTGAGGCTGGTGCTGGGAGAGTGTGTGAAGGAGCCTGAGACAGCGCCCCCTGCAGACCCGGAGCTGCGCTGCACAGACTCAGTCCATAACTAACACTTCATTATATGTAGCATCGAGGGTCCGGTGCGGGCGTCTTACTACCACTAGACACTTATTCACTACCTCATGCCAACTGCAACGCCACCCTATTGTTTAGTTAAGGTATAGGGAAACCCAATTTCTCCCGCAAATACAAAGGACACAGGTTCGGAGGACATTGAGGACAGAGACAATAAGTCATAGAAAACATAATTTATCATAAATTAAATTGGTTAGGTCTAATTAAAATAAGTTTCTGTATCAGACATGGAGTTATGCCAGGCACAGTCTGGATCCGTACACGTTGTTGGTCCACACAAACTTCACTCAGGCATGGGACATGAAGGGGTGAAGAAGAGGAAAGCATGTTAGCACCAATACCGATCAACGCGCCCAACACACACGCGAGGGCAAAGTCCAGTGGATCCAGCCAGTTTGGAGACACGGGTACCTGCGGCACAGCGCGCTGCCACGCTTGTTGACGTCAGAGGTGAGCGAGGGTGGGTCCGACAACGTCAGCCCTTTTTATACGCTGCTCACCTCTGCTAAATAAATAAATAAAAACAGGTGGACAGTAGACCACACTGCTACATATAGTTTAACTGTAATTGAAGTGTGTTATACAAATAAACCTGACTTTGAATCCATTTAACTACTTTCATTATTGAACTACACCCCTGGTCTTATCTCTGGTCTCTCTCTGGTCTCTTTCTCTGGTCTCTTTCTCTGGTCTCTCTCTGATCTCTCTCTGGTCTCTCTCTCTGGTCTCTCTCTCTCTGGTCTTTCTCTCTGGTCTCTCTCTCTGGTCTCTCTCTGATCTCTCTCTGGTCTCTCTCTGTCTCTCTGGTCTCTCTCTGATCTCTCTCTGGTCTCTCTCTCTGGTCTTTCTCTCTGGTCTCTCTCTCTCTGATCTCTCTCTGGTCTCTCTCTCTGATCTCTCTCTCTGGTCTCTCTCTGATCTCTCTGGTCTCTCTCTGGTCTCTCTCTGGTCTCTCTCTCTGGTCTCTCTCTGGTCTCTCTCATTGTGTCCTCTGTGAGCAGGAGACAAAGAGGAGCAGGAGGAGTAGAGAGAGGAGCAGGCTTTAGTTGGAGGCAGAAAAGGTGCCTCTAGAGCTGACAGACCGGCACTAAATATGACACTGTATCTCTGTATCTGTGTGTGTGTGTCTGTATGCCTGTGTGTGTCTGTCTGTGTGTGTGTCTGTATGCCTGTGTGTGTCTGTCTGTGTGTGTGTGTGTCTGTATGTCTGTGTGTGTGTCTGTATGTCTGTGTGTGTGTCTGTCTGTGTGTGTGTCTCTGTATCTGTGTGTGTCTGTATGTGTGTGTCTGTATGTCTGTGTGTGTGTCTGTATGTCTGTGTGTGTGTGTCTGTATGTCTGTGTCTGTATGTCTGTGTGTGTGTGTGTGTCTGTATGTCTGTGTCTGTCTGTGTATGTCTGTGTGTGTGTCTGTATCTGTGTGTGTCTGTGTGTGTGTGTGTGTGTCTGTGTGTGTGTGTATGTCTGTGTGTGTGGCTGTGTGTGTGTGTGTGTGTGTGTGTGTGAGACAGAGTCAGGTGTGTTCAGATTTTTATTGTTTGTTGAAAAAAGATGAAATCTTTAAAAAGTGGTTCTTCCCCAAAAACATTTGGTCTTTTTACATTTTACACTTTAGAGTTAGTACTGACGCTATTCATGATATTAATGACATTATTATCATAATCATTAAAAAAAATAGTATTAAAACTATTAATCATAATAATAGTGGGAGGCAGGAGGGGGAGGCAGGAGAAGGAGGCAAGAGGGGGAGGCAGGAGGGGGAGGCAAGAGGGGGAGGCAGGAGGGGGAGGTAGGAGAAGGAGGCAAGAGGGGGAGGCAGGAGGGGGAGGCAAGAGGGGGAGGCAGGAGAAGGAGGCAAGAGGGGGAGGCAAGAGGGGGAGGCAGGAAGGGGAGGCCAGGAGGGGGAGGCAGGAGGAGGAGGCAGGAGGAGGAGGCAGGAGGAGGAGGCAGGAGGAGGAGGCAGGAGGAGGAGGCAAGAGGAGGAGGCAGGAGGGGGAGGCAGGAGGAGGAGGCAAGAAGGGGAGGCAGGAGGGGGAGGCAAGAGGGGGAGGCAAGGGGGAGGAGGAGGGGGACGCAAGAGGAGGAGGCAAGAGGGGAGGCAAGAGGGGGAGGCAAGAGGAGGAGGCAAGAGGGGGAGGCAAGAGGGGGGAGGAGGAGGAGGCAGGAGGGGGAGGCAAGAGGAGGAGGCAAGAGGGGGAGGCTAGAGGGGGAGGCAAGAGGAGGAGGCAAGAGGGGGAGGCAGGAGGGGGAGGCAAGAGGAGGAGGCAAGAGGGGGAGGCAGGAGGAGGAGGCAGGAGGGGGAGGCAAGAGGAGGAGGCAAGAGGGGGAGGCAAGAGGAGGAGGCAAGAGGGGGAGGCAAGAGGGGGAGGCAAGAGGAGGAGGCAAGAGGGGGAGGCAAAAGGAGGAGGCAAAAGGGGGAGGCAGGAGGGGGAGGCAAGAGGAGGAGGCAAGAGGGGGAGGCAAGAGGGGGAGGCAGGAGGGGGAGGCAGGAGGAGGAGGCAGAACACGTCTTCTTTGAAGCTTTATAAGAACCAACAGTGGTTTAATGTTTAATCGCTATGGCAACGCTCACACAAAACCTCCCACACGCATGTTTTTTTCACAGGATGGGAGAGGAAGCAGCTCCACAGCAGTGTGAAACTATCGCTCTCTGGAATGTGCTGATCTCACATGAACAATAACTATGGAGGCAGCGATTCCATAACCACCCTGTAAAAACTATATTCTCTCCTCCCCCCTCACAGGAGAGCACAGGTACAGGTAGACTCCCCCCTCACATAAGAGCACAGGTACAGGTAGACTCTCCCCTCAACTAAGAGCACAGGTACAGGTAGACTCCCCCCCTCACATAAGAGCACAGGTACAGGTAGACTCCCCCCCCACATAAGAGCACAGGTACAGGTAGACTCCCCCCTCACATAAGAGCACAGGTACAGGTAGACTCTCCCCTCAACTAAGAGCACAGGTACAGGTAGACTCCCCCCCTCACATAAGAGCACAGATACAGGTAGACTCCCCCCCCACATAAGAGCACAGGTACAGGTAGACTCCCCCCTCACATAAGAGCACAGGTACAGGTAGACTCCCCCCCTCACATAAGAGCACAGGTACAGGTAGACCCCCCCCCACATAAGAGCACAGGTACAGGTAGACTCCCCCCTCACATAAGAGCACAGGTACAGGTAGACTCCCCCCTCACATAAGAGCACAGGTACAGGTAGACTCCCCCCCCTCACATAAGAGCACAGGTACAGGTAGACTCCCCCCCTCACATAAGAGCACAGGTACAGGTAGACTCCCCCCTCACATAAGAGCACAGGTACAGGTAGACTCCCCCCTCACATAAGAGCACAGGTACAGGTAGACTCCCCCCTCACATAAGAGCACAGGTACAGGTAGACTCCCCCCCTCACATAAGAGCACGGGTACAGGTAGACTCCCCCCCTCACATAAGAGCACAGGTACAGGTAGACTCCCCCCTCACATAAGAGCACAGGTACAGGTGGACTCCCCCCCTCACATAAGAGCACAGGTACAGGTAGACTCCCCCCTCACATAAGAGCACAGGTACAGGTAGACTCCCTCCCTCACATAAGAGCACAGGTACAGGTAGACTCCCCCCCTCACATAAGAGCACAGGTACAGGTAGACTCCCCCCCTCACATAAGAGCACAGGTACAGGTAGACTCCCTCCCTCACATAAGAGCACAGGTACAGGTAGACTCCCTCCCTCACATAAGAGCACAGGTACAGGTAGACCCCACCTCCTTGGGCGTGGCCTGGAACAGCCCTGAGGCCTGAGAGTTGATGAGGTTCCAGAAGTTTTCAAAGGTCACGTCTTCTCCGCTCTGGACCCCCATCTTCTTCAGGAGCGCCCCCACTCCCTCCTCCCCCTGCAGGCTCTGCAACCAGGAGAGACACCATGTGGACCAGGACCAGAGACATCAGAGAGACCAGAACCAGAGAGACCAGGACCAGAGAGACCAGGACCATAGAGAGGGGTCTTGCCTGAGACAGTGTCCGCAGCTGGTCTGGTCTGGTCTGGCCTGGGTCAGTACCTGGGACAGCGTGGGCAGCTGATCTGACATGGTCTGGTCTGGCCTGGGTCAGTACCTGGGACAGCGTGGGCAGCTGGTCTGGTCTGGTCTGGTCTCGGTCAGTACCTGGGACAGTGTGGGCAGCTGGTCTGGTATGGTCTGGTCTGGCCTGGGTCAGTACCTGGGACAGCGTGGGCAGCTGGTCTGGTATGGTCTGGTCTGGCCTGGGTCAGTACCTGGTACAGCATGGGCAGCTGATCTGACATGGTCTGGTCTGGCCTGGGTCAGTACCTGGGACAGCGTGGGCAGCTGGTCTGGTCTGGTCTGGTCTGGGTCAGTACCTGGGACAGCGTGGGCAGCTGGTCTGGTCTGGGTCAGTACCTGGGACAGCGTGGGCAGCTGGTCTGGTCTGGTCTGGTCTGGCCTGGGTCAGTACCTGGGACAGCGTGGGCAGCTGGTCTGGTCTGGTCTGGCCTGGGTCAGTACCTGGGACAGCGTGGGCAGCTGGTCTAGTCTGGTCTGGTCTGGGTCAGTACCTGGGACAGCGTGGGTAGCTGGTCTAGTCTGGTCTGGTCTGGGTCAGTACCTGGGACAGCGTGGGCAGCTGGTCTGGTCTGGTCTGGGTCAGTACCTGGGACAGCGTGGGCAGCTGGTCTGGTCTGGTCTGGTCTGGTCTGGGTCAGTACCTGGGGCAGCGTGGGCAGCTGGTCTGGTCCGGTCTGGTCTGGGTCAGTACCTGGGACAGCGTGGGCAGCTGGTCTAGTCTGGTCTGGTCTGGGTCAGTACCTGGGACAGCGTGGGCAGCTGGTCTGGTCTGGTCTGGCCTGGGTCAGTACCTGGGACAGCGTGGGCAGCTGGTCTGGTCTGGTCTGGCCTGGGTCAGTACCTGGGACAGCGTGGGCAGCTGGTCTAGTCTGGTCTGGTCTGGGTCAGTACCTGGGACAGCGTGGGCAGCTGGTCTGGTCTGGTCTGGGTCAGTACCTGGGACAGCGTGGGCAGCTGGTCTGGTCTGGTCTGGTCTGGTCTGGGTCAGTACCTGGGACAGCGTGGGCAGCTGGTCTGGTCTGGTCTGGTCTGGTCTGGGTCAGTACCTGGGACAGCGTGGGCAGCTGGTCTGGTCTGGTCTGGTCTGGGTCAGTACCTGGGACAGCGTGGGCAGCTGGTCTGGTCTGGTCTGGTCTGGGTCAGTACCTGGGACAGCGTGGGCAGCTGGTCTGGTCTGGTCTGGGTCAGTACCTGGGACAGCGTGGGCAGCTGGTCTGGTCTGGTCTGGGTCAGTACCTGGGACAGCGTGGGCAGCTGGTCTGGTCTGGTCTGGGTCAGTACCTGGGACAGCGTGGGCAGCTGGTCTGGTCCGGTCTGGTCTGGGTCAGTACCTGGGACAGCGTGGGCAGCTGGTCTGGTCCGGTCTGGTCTGGGTCAGTACCTGGGACAGCGTGGGCAGCTGGTGGCTCAGCAGGGTCTGGAACTGTGTGCTGTTCATGGAGGGTTTGTTCTCAGACGCTTTGTGGAACTCAGACACCAGTGTGTTCAAGGCCAGCTCCAGGTCTGAGTACTGTGGAGAGACCAGGACCAGGTGAGGACCAGGGAGGACCAGGGAGAGACCAGGGAGAGTCCAGGGAGAGACCAGGGGAGGACCAGGGAGAGACCAGGACCAGGTGAGAACCAGGGAGGACCAGGGAGAGACCAGGGAGAGACCAGGGGAGGACCAGGGAGAGACCAGGACCAGGTGAGGACCAGGGAGGACCAGGGAGAGACCAGGGAGAGACGAGGGAAGGACCAACGGGAGGGATACAATACAATACAATACAATTTATTCTTGTATAGCCCTAGGTCACAACAGAAGTCATCTCAGAGGACTTAACAAAACCATTGAAATCACCAACACAGGTCAGAGAATCAACAGTTAAAACACATGAAGAATACAGTATAAAGCACACACAGAAGAAAATGTCCATACATGTTGTAGAATGCTAAAGTGTCCTGATCATCACCAATCCTTTCTGTTGGACACTAACTGTCCAACAAGACCCTCCTGCATCGACAAGGAAAAACTCTTAAAAAACCCAGTGGGAAAAAGTGAGAAACCTTGGAGGAGAACTAGGGAAACCCACAGGGAGGGAGACCCATATGAGAAAGGGATCCGCTCCTCCGGACGGACAGACTAATGATCCAGGACCTAAGCTAGCTACAGAACGTGGACCAGTGGACGCTGAACGTGGACAGGTCCGGTGCAGGACTGAAGCACTCCCAGGCGGGTCGGGCGGGGCAGTCCGCAGGTGTAGATGGAGGAGGCCAGGCTCAGAGATCCCGTCATCGTACCATGAAACAGACAATGGGACAACGGGTGAATAGCAATGAACAAACTACAGTCAGAATCCTAAAAATGCTAAACAGATAAAGTAGGAAGGAGGAGAGGATAGTGCTCAAGTTACCATACTTCTCCCAGCAAACTGACTCCCTATGCAGCTTGACTGACAGTCTAAGGAGTTTAACCTTCTCCGAGTCTTACCTTCCTAGCCATATGCTAAACTAAAGAGGACTGTTTTAAACCTAGCCTTGAATAAAGAATAACATACAGCATAATATATAACATAATATACAACATAACACAATACATTATTGAATAATATATAACATAATATATAACATAATACAGCATATATATATAATATATACACTACATATTATATATTACCTAATTATATGCTAAATTAAAGTAAAGTGCTTTAAGCCTGGCCTTGAATGTGGAGACCGTATCTGCTTCCTTAACATAAATGGGAAGCTGATTCCACAGTAAAGGAGCTTGGTAGCTAAATGCTCTGCCACCAACAGTGACCTTTGAGACCTTAGGGACCACCAGACGTCTGGCGTTTTGTGAGCGCAACGCTCGACCTGGTTGATACGACACTAACGTGTCTTGGAGATAAGAAGGAGCCAAGCCATTTATGGCTTTATATGTTAAGAGTAGGATTTTAAACTTTATTCTGTACTCCACAGGGAGCCAGTGGAGTGATTTTAACACCGGAGTTATGTGCTCCCTCCTTTTGGTACCTGTTAAGATCCTAGCTGCTGTATTCGGAACGAGCTGGAAGCTCTTCAAAGAGGCTTTAGGGCACGCTGCCAGTAAAGCGTTACAGTAGTCGAGCCTTGAGGTGACAAACGCGTGAATGAGTTTTTCCGCGTCACTTTTAGGAAGGAAATTCCTAATTTTAGCGATGTTCCGTAAGTGGAAGTACGCCGTTTTAGTTGCTTGGCTTATATAAGCCTTGAAGGAGAGTTCTTGGTCAAAAATGACTCCAAGATTCCTCACAGTGTTACTGGGTATTATACTGACATTATCGAGAGTAACCATCTGGTTAGTGAGGGAGTCACGCAGGTGCTTCGGACCGAGTAGGATCACTTCTGTCTTCTCCGGGTTGAGAAGTAGGAAGTTAAGAGTCATCCACATTTTAAGGTCCTTTATGCAGGCACTGAGCTTTTCTAGCTGATCTGTCTGATTAGGCTTCATCGACAGATAAAGCTGTGTGTCATCTGCATAGCAGTGGAAATTAATTCCATGCTTTTTAATAATGTTTCCCAGTGGCAGCATGTAGAGAGTAAAAAGAATCGGTCCGAGTACCGAACCCTGCGGCACACCGAATTCCACTCCAGAATAAGGCGACGAGTCCTGATTCACATTGACGAAGTGATATCGATCTGATAAATAGGATTTAAACCAGCCAAGGGCTGTTCCTCTAAGACCTATATCACATTCTAGCCTCTGCAGTAGAATGCTGTGGTCTATTGTGTCAAATGCAGCACTAAGGTCCAGTAGGACCAGCACTGACACTTGTCCATTATCGGCAGCTAGTAGTAAGTCATTTGTGACTTTGACTAGTGCCGTTTCAGTGCTATGATGAGCTCTGAATCCTGATTGAAAGACTTCAAACATATCATTTTCCTGCAGGTGGCAGCGGAGCTGCTCAGCTATAAGTTTTTCCAGGAATTTAGATATAAAAGTGAGGTTTGAGATCGGTCTGTAGTTTGTAAGTATTTCTGGGTCCAGGTTTTTTTCTTCAGAAGGGGTTTGATTACCGCGGTTTTAAAAGCTTGTGGGACATAGCCACATTGTATGGATGCGTTTATTATATTTACGATAGGCTCAATTATCAAAGGAAGTATGTCTTTGAAGAGCCATGTCGGGACTGCGTCTAACATGCAAGTTGAGGCTTTTGAGGATGTGACCACAGAGATCACCTCTGCTTGGCTCACAGCCATGAATTTATTAAGGCCCACTGAAGAGTCTAAGTGGGAAGTCACGTATGCCGCTTCAACCTGTCCACCACTAACAGCAGGAGCAACCTCCTCCAGCTTGTCACGGATGGATGTAATTTTATTATTAAAGAAGTGGAGAAAGTCGACACTGCTCAGTGAGCTTGGAATTTTAGGCTCGATTGCGCTATGGCAGTTTGTGAGTTTAGCGACGGTACCAAACAAAAATCTACTGTTGTTTTTATTCGCTTCTATTAAAGTTGAATAGTATTGAGTTCGAGCCCCGCGAAGGGCCTTCTTGTAGTTTCGGAGACCTGCTTTCCACTCCCTGTGGACAGGCTCCGAGTGGGAGTGGCGATATAGCCTCTCCAATTTTCTGACGTCCTGTTTTAAAGTGTGGAGTTGAACACTGTACCAGGGCGACGATGATCTAATCCTAATGGTTTTCTGTTTTAAAGGAGCTGCTGCATTTAATGCAGATTTTAAAGACTCCATAGTGTTGCCCACCGTTTGGTCAATGACTGAGGGACTGCAGCTGCTGTGAACAGGTTCACCTGCAGCAGTATTCAACATAGGCTGTATTAGTTCTTTGAACCTTGTGATAGATTTATCATTTAAGGTTCTTTTCATTATGGTTTTATCTTGCGGGACAGGAAAGTCCTCCAAAGCGAGATCAAACGTGATCAAGAAATGGTCAGACAGCAACGAGCTTTGACGCTGGATGTCAACATTGGAGACATCACAGCCGTAGGTCAGGACAAGGTCCAAGGTGTGGTTATGAATGTGAGTAGGTTCCTCGACATTCTGAGTAAAACCAACACCATCTAGTACGGCGCTGAAAGCTTTGTTTAAGCTGTCAGTGCTGTCGTCCACATGTATATTGAAGTCTCCAGCTATAACTATGTTTTCCCATTCCAAAACTAGGTTTGAAATGAAGTCAGAGAATTCTGTTAGGAACTCGCTGTAAGGACCAGGAGGTCGGTATAAAACTATAAATAGTACTGCTTTTTGTTTTCTCCACCCAGGACAGGTGATTGAAAGTGTTAAGTTTTCAAACGAGTGAAAAGCGTTGTTGGTTTTGGGGCTAAGAACCAAGTTGGTGTGTGATATAATCGCAACACCACCGCCGCGACCTGTAGCTCTGGCTTTCTGGTAGTTAACATGCGTCGGAGGAGTGCACTCATTCAATCTAACGTACTCGTCCTGTTGGAGCCAAGTCTCCGAGAGCGCTAACAGATCCAAGCCCTTGTCTATAATAAGTTCGTTTATGAGAAGCGATTTAGACGAGATTGATCTGACGTTCATTAAACCACATTTAACAACCCTACCGCTAGAACTATTTCTGTCTGTCTGAACTTTTATTAAGTTACTGTGTCTGACACCTAGGTCAGATTTCCTCGCATATAGTGCTTTAGACTTCAAGCGGGGAACACACACAGTTTCAATCTGACTAGGTTCTGAGGCTAGTAACTGAGCACACACAGGCACACACACACATGCACACACAGTTTCAATCTGATTAGCCTCTGAGGCTAGTAACTGAACAGATGGGGGCTCAGAGGTTGTGGCAGAGCAGCTCTGCACCCGGGCCTCAGGTGAGGGACCAGGTGAGGAGGGGAGGACCCGAGCAAAACCAGGGGAGGACCAGAGAGAGACAAGAGAGAGACCAGGACAAACAGGGTGCTAAGCAGGACTAAAGCAGGACTAAAGCAGGACTAAATCAGGTCTAAAGCAGGTCTAAAGCAGGACTAAAGCAGGCCTAAAGCAGGTCTAAAGCAGGACTAAAACAGGTCTAAAGCAGGTCTAAAGCAGGACTAAAGCAGGACTAAAGCAGGACTAAAGCAGGTCTAAAGCAGGACTAAAGCAGGACTAAAGCAGGACTAAAGCAGGACTAAAGCAGGTCTAAAGCAGGACTAAAGCAGGACTAAAGCAGGTCTAAAGCAGGTCTAAAGCAGGACTAAAGCAGGACTAAAGCAGGACTAAAGCAGGACTAAAGCAGGTCTAAAGCAGGACTAAAGCAGGACTAAAGCAGGTCTAAAGCAGGACTAAAGCAGGACTAAAGCAGGTCTAAAGCAGGTCTAAAGCAGGACTAAAGCAGTTCTAAAGCAGGACTAAAGCAGGACTAAAGCAGGACTAAAGCAGGTCTAAAGCAGGACTAAAGCAGGTCTAAAGCAGGTCTAAAGCAGGTCTAAAGCAGGAATAAAGCAGGTCTAAAGCAGGACTAAAGCAGGACTAAAGCAGGACTAATGGAAGTCAGATGTTGTGGAGACATATTTTCTGAATGAGATAACGTTAGAGAATGTGAAGAATGTGATGGAAAGGCGTCGGACAACAGCTCCCATGATGCATCACAGAACTACTATTTTATCTGGATGGAAAAAAAGGAACACAAGCCCCGCCTTCTTCTACAGGTAAACAAGCTCCGTCCAATTCTACAGGTACACAAGTTCCGCCCAATTCTACGGGTAGACCAGCCCCGCCCACTTCCACAGGTACACAAGCATTTTTTTCACATTTTCCAGCCCCCGCGGCCATTTTGAATCACTCCATGAAAGCCCAATTTTTGGCCCATTAGTTAGAACGGCGGAGATAGGTGTGACTACGTACGTTATACAGTCTATGGTTGTTATCAGTGGGTTTTAAGAATCAAAGTTTCGTGTAAAGTTTGTTTTAAGCAGTCAACTGCTCCTGAACCACACTGCTGCTGTGTGAGAGCAGTCATATTGACTCCTGTGGAACCACACTGCTGCTGTGTGAGAGCAGTCATATTGACTCCTGTGGAACCACACTGCTGCTGTGTGAGAGCAGTCATATTGACTCCTGTGGAACCACACTGCTGCTGTGTGAGAGCAGTCATATTGACTCCTGTGGAACCACACTGCTGCTGTGTGAGAGCAGTCATATTGACTCCTGTGGAACCACACTGCTGCTGTGTGAGAGCAGTCATATTGACTCCTGTGGAACCACACTGCTGCTGTGTGATAGCAGTCATATTGACTCCTGTGAAACTACACTGCTGCTGTGTGAGAGCAGTCATATTGACTCCTGTGGAACCACACTGCTGCTGTGTGAGAGCAGTCATATTGACTCCTGTGGAACCACACTGCTGCTGTGTGAGAGCAGTCATATTGACTCCTGCTTACATTATCGAGTTGATAATGTAAATAAAAAACAAACTCTGTTGGGAGGTGTTAGCAGTGGAGTTCGCCACAGGACGCTTCATCGGCATCCACAGGAGTCAATATGACTGCTATCACACAACAAGAGAAGCACAGGTGTAATTACATCATAAACAGCTGAGGCAGCTCAACTCGACAGAACACCAGGACTAAAGCTTTGATACGTGACTGAGGTCTCTCTCTGGTCTCTCTCTCTGGTCTCTCTCTGGTCTCTCTTTCTGGTCTCTCTCTCTGGTCTCTCTCTGGTCTCTCTCTGGTCTCTCTTTCTGGTCTCTCTCTCTGGTCTCTCTCTGGTCTCTCTCTCTGGTCTCTCTCTGGTCTCTCTCTGGTCTCTCTCTGGTCTCTCTCTGGTCTCTCTCTGGTCTCTCTCTGGTCTCTCTCTGGTCTCTCTCTCTGGTCTCTTTCTGGTCTCTCTTTCTGGTCTCTCTCTGGTCTCTCTCTCTGGTCTCTCTCTGGTCTCTCTTTCTGGCCTCTCTCTGGTCTCTCTCTGGTCTCTCTCTCGCTGGTCTCTCTCTGGTCTCTCTTTCTAGTCTCTCTCTGATCTCTCTCTGGTCTCTCTCTGGTCTTTCTTTCTGGTCTCTCTCTGGTCTCTCTCTCTGGTCTCTCTCTCTGGTCTCTCTCTCTGGTCTCTCTCTGGTCTCTCTCTCTGGTCTCTCTCTCTGGTCTCTCTCTCTGGTCTCTCTCTCTGGTCTCTCTCTGGTCTCTCTCTCTGGTCTCTCTCTGGTCTCTCTCTGGTCTCTCTCTGGTCTCTCTCTCTGGTCTCTCTCTGGTCTCTCTCTCTGGTCTCTCTCTGGTCTCTCTCTCTGGTCTCTCTCTCTGGTCTCTCTCTGGTCTCTCTCTGGTCTCTCTCTGGTCTCTCTCTGGTCTCTCTCTGGTCTCTCTCTCTGGTCTCTCTCTGGTCTCTCTCTCTGGTCTCTCTCTCTGGTCTCTCTCTGGTCTCTCTCTCTGGTCTCTCTCTCTGGTCTCTCTCTGGTCTCTCTCTGGTCTCTCTCTCTGGTCTCTCTCTGGTCTCTCTCTCTGGTCTCTCTCTGGTCTCTCTCTGGTCTTTCTTTGACTGTGACACATTTAAGAATTTGTTGAGTCAGACTTTTGAGTTTTTGCTGATGGAAAGTGTCCCACCCACAAGAGCAGGGTCTGAACCAGGTCTAAAGAAAGACTAAAGCAGGACTAAAGCAGGTCTAAAGCAGGACTAAAGCAGGACTAAAGCAGTACTAAAGCAGGACCAAAGCAGGACTAAAGCAGGACCAAAGCAGGACCAAAGCAGGACCAAAGCAGGTCTAAACAGGACTAAAGCAGGACTAAAGCAGGACTAAAGCAGGACTAAAGCAGGTCTAAAGCAGGACTAAAGCAGGTCTAAAGCAGGACTAAAGCAGGACTAAAGCAGGTCTAAAGCAGGTCTAAAGCAGGTCTAAAGCAGGTCTAAAGCAGGTATAAAGCAGGACTAAAGCAGGTCTAAAGCAGGTCTAAAGCAGGACTAAAGCAGGACTAAAGCAGGTCTAAAGCAGGTCTAAAGCGGAACATGGAGAGAGATCCCAGTTCACGCCCTTTCGGGACTCTTCGGCTGATGTCGTCACTTTCTGACGCCTGGAGCTACCTTTGAGCATGTGTTAAAGTTATGCAGTGTTTTCAGAACTCACCTTCGTCGCCATTTCGTAAAAAGTTGAGCAAAAAGTGCTAAAAGTTGAAGCGAAGCGCGATGAGCGAGTGTTTCCGGAGACACACGAGTGGAGCCGAAGATTCCCGAAGCGGAGACTGAACCAGGAGCGGTGTGTGTCAGACCACGCCCCCACTGCAACGAGGCCACGCCCAATGTAGCAAGGCCCCGCCCAATTCGGCCACACCTGTGAAGCAACTGTTGGGGAACCTCGGTGTGTGTTGTTTGGACCCGTGTCGGCTGTTCACCACGAGGAAGACAGGAACTTGTCCAAACAAAAGTGACAGTGACAGTCTCATACAGGATTGACTCTAGATCTGCTTTAGACCTGCTTTAGTCCTGATTTAGTTCTGCTTTAGACCTGTTTTAGTCCTGCTTTAGTCCTGTTTTAGTCCTGCTTTAGACCTGCTTTAGTCCTGCTTTAGTCCTGCTTTAGACCTGCTTTAGACCTGCTTTAGTCCTGTTTTAGTCCTGCTTTTGTCCTGCTTTAGACAATACAATACCATACAATAGAATGTATTGTTGTATAGCCCTAGGCATAGGCGCCGATTTATCTTTTCCCGAGCGGGTGCTCTGTCAGCTGCATGGTCACGTGACACGCACATCACATCATTTCCCTAAACAGAATCGCAAGCTACTAGTTACGTTTAACATCGCATAGATGGGGATTTTCTTTATACATCAGGCTACACAGAATACACATACACTGATGCACAACTCACCATTGCTGTCATGTCATAGTAGGAAGAATGTGCCTTTTCTCGCCGATGTGCGCTTGATGAATTCATTGGCGATATCATCCAAACTCTGTTGCCGTGATGTGGTTTTATGGCAATTAAGTAATGTTACGTGGTTCAGCCTGGCGTGTCCCATTGTTGACCGTAGGTAGGATTTTAGCCTCCGCAGACTTGAAAATGATCTCTCTGACGTGCATGAAGTTACTGGGACAGTCAGTGCAAGTTTTACCAGTTTAGCTATCTCTGGTAACATGTCTCTTAAGTATTCGCCATCACGTCTTAGAAAGTTAACAACGTCGTCAAATGTATCAAGGCTCACTCCTTTTTGTTTGGCCAAATCCATACACATGTCACGATGCAACGTTAACCTCGTCTCATCCAAATCATCTCCGTGGAACTCAATGATGCTTTCACAGCTCTTCTTTCCAGTGAGAAAATCTTCCACTTTCTTCATTTAATCAAACACGGACGGACTAAATCGAGTGTCCAATGAGGTGACTGCTGTGTCAATAACATCATAGTACAGCTGTCTGTAGACGTCCTCGGGAGTTTTAAATGCGTGCTGCGGGGCACCTCCATCCTCCAGGCGGCAGGGACGTTTACGAGGCCTGGGCACAGACGGGCTCTCAAGATGAAGATCACTTGCCTCACCAACCACGCTTTGCCACAGTGTAGTAAATGATGCTTCTTGGCGAAAAGATTTCATGTCATCTCGGAGTGTGTCTATTATCTGCATTGCTTTCTGCATATGCAATTGCCTCTTTTGGAGTGCAACTGATACCGTTTCAATTCGAGAGAAGAATTTCAGCATCAAGTTTAATGAAAAGAATGTACCAAACTTCTGAAGGTTTAAAAGCAATCCGTTGGCTTTTCCTCCAGCGTCCCCTCGGTCATATTGAGCCAAGTCTTCCAGAAAAAGTAAGAGCGCACTGTAGTTGTCTGCAATTGACCGCAGTGAGGCCGTAGTCATTGTCCAGCGCGTTGGGCACAGAGGCCTCAAAGCTGGGCTGTCTTTGGTCTGAATCTGCTGAAACCAAAAAAGCCGCTTTGGTGACTGCCTGATGAGTGTAACTAGATCCCTAATAAGTGACATGAAGTTGCGACAAGACAAGTTGTTCTCAGTCACATCGTGCGCCACAAGATTTAAGACATGAGCAGTGCAATGCGTATATTGAGCTCGAGGTTCAATGGTCTGCACGCGGGCCTGTAGACCATTTCTGATCCCAGAGACATTTGAGGCACCGTCATAACACTGGCCTCTACACTTGTTGAGAGGCAGGGAAAATCTTATAAGAGCACTATCCTCTCCTCCTTCCTACTTTATCTGTTTAGCATTTTTAGGATTCTGACTGTAGTTTGTTCATTGCTATTCACCCGTTGTCCCATTGTCTGTTTCATGGTACGATGACGGGATCTCTGAGCCTGGCCTCTTCCATCTACACCTGCGGACTGCCCCGCCCGACCCGCCTGGGAGTGCTTCAGTCCTGCACCGGACCTGTCCACGTTCAGCGTCCACTGGTCCACGTTCTGTAGCTAGCTTAGGTCCTAGATCATTAGCCTGTCCGTCCGGAGGAGCGGATCCCTTTCTCATATGGGTCTCCCTCCCTGTGGGTTTCCCTAGTTCTCCTCCAAGGTTTCTCACTTTTTCCCACTGGGTTTTTTAAGAGTTTTTCCTTGTCGATGCAGGAGGGTCTTGTTGGACAGTTAGTGTCCAACAGAAAGGATTGGTGATGATCAGGACACTTTAGCATTCTACAACATGTATGGACATTTTCTTCTGTGTGTGCTTTATATTCTTCATGTGTTTTAACTGTTGATTCTCTGACCTGTGTTGGTGATTTCAATGGTTTTGTTAAGTCCTCTGAGATGACTTCTGTTGTGACCTAGGGCTATACAAGAATAAATTGTATTGTATTGTATTGTATTGTAAGAGCGTCTTGGAGAAGCTGAAAAAGCGCTTCTGCTGTGGTGGAGGCTGTTTCATAAAATCCAACAAAAATCTCCTCTGGCTGCAGCTCATCAGTCACAAAGCGGAGGCAGATTGACACTTGTTCAACAGTGATGTCCGCAGTCTCATCCAACATGACAGCAAAAAAATCAGCATCTTTTACTTCCTTGAGAAGTGTTCTCAGCACGCCATGAGACATTATTTCTATCATTTCATTCAGAATTTCATGCGACAGCCATTTGCTTTTGAAGTCAATAATTCCCTTGACTGACGTGTTCGAGTTGATGCAGAGGCATGACAACAGATCTCCAAGTTTTAACATCTGTATTTAATTATCTTTACAATCAGATACAGAAATTCCAACAAAGAGGGCTCCTAAAACTATGCATGTCCCTGGCTCGCCCTCGGCTCATTCTCCTGTGTCCTCTCAAGCCAGAGCATTATCAGTCCATGTTCAGGAAGCAGGGGGCGTGTCGTATCAGGCAGGACTTGGGTCCGGCCTCTTCCATCATGTCCCCTCTGTCTGCCGTACCTTAAACAGAATCATTCACACACACTACCACTCCCCAAATTTATTACTTCTTTGAGATAAGGCAGAAGGCTCTCTGGGTCCCCCTCCTTCAGGATTAGCAGAATCCCCCCCCAGATTACCTATCATTAACTCACCCATGCACTTTGGACTAACAAAGGAACATGGGGAAACCAGGTCTTTTTGCTTTAGGAAAAGACAGTTCAAATCAGGGTCAGCCAATATTCACATCTGCATAGTTAAAATATACAACAGTTTCCCTCTTTTGACCTGATTAAAAAATTAGGTCACAATCCACATCGTCGTTTATCATCAATACTTGTGCTTAGTTCCGGCTTGATATCTGTGAAGAGTTAATACAGAAAGAATACAACACAAAACCACATTCGAAACATTCCTTCACAAAACTCTTTGATGACCACCGCTGTGTCATTCTGATTCTTCATCATTAATCAAATTGGTATTATCGTTACAGGAGCTAATCTATTTTAGCAGGTTTCTCTGGGGTCAGTCCCTATACAACGGTATTTTGATTCTCTAATCTGTTGCTGACAAATCGACAGCTCTTAAAATTCTCAAAAATACCTAAATATCTACTTTTGTGCTATATTCAAATTAACCAAAATGCTTTTAAATGTTTTTGAATCTCTGTTGGTTCTAATCTATCTCATTAATCTAAGCTACATTAATCTAGGCTACACTCATGAACATTATCTACTTTTGAAGTAACTACTTTTGGACATAATATGAAGGAAATGGTCTTTTTACCGTTTGATATTGGCCCTGTCTAAAAATAATCTCTATTTTTGAAAGCATCTATCTATTTTACACTCTATTGTGACTCCAAATCTTGGTTGTAGTTTGAGCCAAAGCATATTCCCAATTTTTGAGTTCTGATTGTAACAATTGCATTGGCAATAGACGATTTTTCATTGGCTGGTTCTTGTTCTGCAAATCACTATTCTATGTATTGTATTTCAGACAATTCCAAAAACAACACAGTCGTTCTCCAATATTAAAAACATGAATCTATTCAATTTGCCTGAAAGGGAGCGGGAGGAAGAGAACTATTTTAAAACCGTTCTCTACGATTATATGGCTATGAAATTAATTATTTAATAAACAAAAGCACATTCATGGCTTCTGTCCGCTGCTTATAACTGTTTAAAGAGTTGTCCCAAACTTAATATGTGTAAATACATCAGCTGTTTGTAATAAACAATAACATTTAACCTGTTCTCCAATGGAGCAGCTCAGAGGCTGCATCAAGAGCAATGTTATATTTGAGCTATTTTTAGATTTAAAATTGTGTTAAAGCCTGTCGTTCTATGTCTGCATTTTAATACTACTCTCTATAAACACCTCTGCACCAGTTCCTACAGATGTGGAAAACAGAAACATCTAAAATCTGACTCCATTTGATTCCTTTTTACTTTAGTTATTAGAACAATTTGACCTTATTGATACTTATTTCCACAATAGAACTATTTTGATTATTCACTAGTCTAACTATTATTACTATTGTTTATTCTGACACCTCTTCCTAGCGACCTTTCAACCTATAGCTCCTCGAATCCAATGACATTATAGCTCCAGACTATTTCATTCTATTCTATTATTGTATGATCTATTATCTTAAAGAGTAGATCTGTTTGATGTGTTTATAAGCGCTATTATTTCTCCTTTTAAATTTGCACAACACTAAATTTAGAATGACCCCCTATGGGACAAATATAGAATTTTATTTCATTTTGGCAACTCCGAAAATTACTTAATAATTT